ACCCCTTAAATCGAATTTATTCAATGTGGCCGCCGTATCCGTAAAAAGGTCTATTGCGCGCGGTTCGAGCGCGCGTGGAGCTCCGCTGTTAAGAGAAAGAGTACCATATCAGTTCATAGATCAGAGAGTGATTCAAATGAGGATCGATATTTGTTACCTATAGGATAAATGACAAAGTGTTGTTCTTTAAGATAAAGGAAGCAATAAATAGAGTATGAAGTGTTTCGCGTCTTTTCACTAAGAGAACAATATTTGAATATTCTGATACATAAGATGTTCAGGCATTTTGGTTGAGCAGTATCTTCCATATTCTATTATTAGTTTATGATCATTTGTCCTTAATCTTGCCGTCGCTCGTCGGTGGTTTGACTAGTTATAAAGTCTAGATAGGTAAAAATACTGATTTCCATCAGTGTCTTTCTTCAGAAAAAGATAGCTGGATGGAATTGATTTGGTTTTACTTTATACTTCAATGATATTTTTAGTCAGTTATCTCTAATTTCCCTATTTGTCTAGTTTAGTCGTTTTTGATCCTTTTTTGTTAAACAGAGTACAAGTTTGATTTGCGGAAGAGATGGAACTGACTGTTTCCCTGTATTTGCCAATTCTTTTTATATACTCATGAGGAAGTATTCTGCTTTTTTATAGACTATAATTACACTACGTGCCAAAGCAAATATTTTGACGGAAATTTTACGTAGAGGAAAGAATTACGAATCAAATACTGTATTCCACATGAAAAATATATCAGGATTATAGTTTTTTCAGCTGAGTTGCCTAGGATATTGAATCAATCTACCGCAACAAACACTAGAAGCTCGTTTTTTTTTAAAGCTATTTAAACCAAGAAAGTATTTATAGAATTGGGAGAATGTAGTAGCCTTTCCGCATGGTCATGTCGGTCATGTCCCCATTAATCCACTTCAGTTGGTCAATTTTCCCACCCCATGCTTCAGACTTGAGAGTTACACAATAATAATAGATTTAAATAGTGCGGTGAAAAGTTTGCTACCTATATCAGTTGATAAGTCAAGAAAGCTTTTTGTTACAAAAATACTGCGTCTACACTTTTTCTACCAAAAGTGAGCGCTAACCCCTCTGCGGGGTTGAACGATCGAGGGAGTCTGTCCGCTCGACACGTTTGGCGGAAACGTTACTTAACTACATCAATTGATTAACTTCCTTAGCGAGTGATTTTGAAGCTGGCCTAATGTCCTAAATATACCGTTTAGAATTGCTTTTTGAAACCTCTCTCGTGCACTGAAGAATTTAGAAACCTACAGTTCCCGGCGGTTACTTTTGGCAAATCTTTTCATGGTAGTGTGCCGCCAGAACGGACCAGCAGAAGTGTCTTTTTTCAACCCTTTTTCAGTCCTGGTCTTTAATATCCATCCCCGTTTTTAGAGCAAGCAAACAAGGGTAACAAACGCGAAATACATGGGTAGAAATTATATCATCATTATTTTCATTATAACGCCCTCAAGGTTTTCTTTAAACCATTTCAATTTCGCATATTAGTTTACTCTTTCTTTCTCTTGCATCAGCGAGCAGTGACACTATAGCGAGATATGACTTTTATGGCAGATGCTGTGATACTTAACGTTTTTAACTTCGATCGTCCTCTTCACAGTATGGAAATAGAGTACTGGTTCTTACAAATCAAGAGCCTCTTCTCTATGGATCATATCAGCAAAATTCTTTTAAACTGACATCTCATTTAACTGACAAGCCCAAGCCCGCTGTCCTTGACTCATGTAAGCCTAACAAATCAAGTCGAATCCCGCTTTACGGACACTAGACCACGAGCGGCAAGCCTTCTTTCCTCAGAGCTTCGCGCGGCGAGCGAAAAAGTAAACTTCACTGGGATGCCATAAAACCTAGAGCAGAGTGGAAATGTTGTGTCGCAAGAAAACAGTAAATTTATTGGAACAGACAGCCAAAAGCTAATATAAGCGAAAATTACCTTGAAAATTAAACTGTTCTACTGCATAACGAAATTGTAATCCCAACTTTACATACATATGTACAATGCAGTATATTATTTTTTCGAGATAATGAAATTTGTTTTTGTCCGAAGTTGCGCACAGGTCATTTTGCGTAAAATTTAGCTGTCTCATAAACGCACTTGGAATCCTCAAAGAATCTTAAGTCCGCGAATATTCAACACGCAGCTTTATGTTTGGTCTCTTTTTAAAGCTTAGGAAGTCTACTTTTAAGAAAAAAAAAAAGATTTATGGTGCACCGATGAAGCCTTCCGAATTATTCGTCTTGGGAGACACAGTAATTTTACCAGCGTCATAATTTTTTCCTAGCGGCGTAAACAGCCAGTGTACGTCTGCGCGAAAAATAGTTTGAACTCAATTCGATTGCATTAGCGGAAATTCCCTTGAAAATAGTGATGCCTTAAATAAACAAAAAGCGATAGGATTAACATAAAATTGTACAATTTAACATTACTGTTTCACATGTGCATCTTGGCCAATGGAGCCCCCTAAATTATACCTCGCGATCGAACTGCTGACCTTCTAAACCTTTTTTATAAACTAGTTTAGCCCCCCCTCCCTCTAGCCAATCTGAAATAGCCTTGACCCCCCTTCCTTTTTACCTTCTCCATTTACACTGGAAATAATGACCGGTTCCTAAGCTTACCTGTAAAATATTTGAAGCCAACGTGGTCGCACACAGCGCAAAACATGGTCAACATTCCAGTGATTAACAGCTATTTTGGCGGCTAAGTTTGTCCAAAAATGCTACAGAACGAGGAATAAAACATTTCCAAGGGTAGCACCTATAGAATGGTCAATTTTACGCGTAGTCGTGACCACAAATTGTATCAATTTCTCTCATTTGCAGTTGATGATCATGGCTTCCATTGCACTGCATTGGTTTCTCGTTCCCAGAATCCTCGCGGCACTAGTTTTCCCGGGAAAATTTAAAACGGTTCTGAATACGTGAAAAGCGAGTGGAAGTGGTAAAGAAGATAGCTACTTCCTCATTGACTAAAACAATGAATAGGCGAAGTAAGATGGCAGTTTGCTTATTTTTGTACTAAGAAGATAAATCAGGTTTTTTTTCCCGAAATTAACATTTTAATCATTTTACAATTTTTCTGTTCATCGAACTACAGATCGATGAACAGGAAAGTAGCCTTACTGTATATAAAAATTCTCTCGTGTCAACGAGAACACTTGGGAAGTTTTTCCTTTTCCAAGTGGAGTACTTTCTTGCGTAAATACCTTGAAATGCGGAGATTTCCATGCTTTTTGTTAATTGGCCGCAGTTTTGCTAAAACTGTTTGGGTGTGGAATCTTTTGCAGATAGTATTTCCCGTCGACTTTTTGAAAACGAACCTAACGAAATTTGCAGTCGTTTGGGTGAAAAAGGCCCAAACTGGCAGGTTTTTTGCGCCCGATAAGCTCAAAAGTCACATTAGGAAAGGAAAGAGCGAGGAGGAAGAAAGAAGGAGAAGAGAAACAGCAATGTTAGCATTCTTAGTTTTTATATTAGCTACTTTTTGGCTATGGTTTGACGGCTGAGAGGTCTATTCGGCGGTAACGTTTTTAAAAATCCGGCTGGATATATTTTCATCGCTGATGAGAGGCCGACAATGTATGAAACGGCACAAGAGTACAGCATACTGATTTCGGTTACACACAATTCCTGAATTCTCTCTGACCTTCAAAGCCTCGCAGACCACGAGTTGAAATCACCCTTCTTCGTGAACAGAAGCCCTCCTATCCGGTACGATTTTCGTGGCAGCCTTAAACTGTTTACCGGTGTCAAGTCACGCAAATGGGGGAAAGGGATCCCCATCTAGGGATGTCATCTGTACATTTACTTCTCTCTTAAAGGAAACAACACTCTAGAAACAGCAATTAGCAAAGGAAAAGGACGAGAAAGGAAGAGGATCACTATTAAGAATTTCGTCTCCTCCCTTCCCACGTAGCCTCCCACGCAGGCGTTTTTAGAGGAGCTCGTTTTTCATCCCTCCCCACAAACGCCTACTTAACGGAAAACAACATTCCTTTCTCATTGTTTTATTTGAGTGGTAAGTGACCAATCAACAATTGTGCAATAAAGTGTTGACAGGCTAAATACGACTGAACGTGACCCTAGAGTTACCGTTTTCCTTCTTTTCTTTCCTTCGCTAAGGTTATGCAGTGCACGGAGTATTCTAAATTTTGACTAAATCTTATTTTTGCCGCTCTAAATCTAGCATTTATTAGAGGTCAGAAAGCTTTCTCAGTGTTTAATACAGATCGAGTAATTATCAGATTACCTTGCGGTCAAGGTCAACTTTCCAGAATTTGGAAAGTACAATGTGATTGGCTAAGCTTGGGAAAGGAATGTTGTCTTCCGTTCAGCAGGCGTTTGTGGGGAGGGATGAAAAACGAGCTCACCTGTGTGGGAGGCTACTTCCCACGGGGTGATTGGGGCATTGCCATATTTTCCCTAAACCGGAACGTGCCGCTAAACAGGGTATGGCGGCTTTCAGGGTCTTGTGAGTTTTAAATTTTTCTGTTAAGCTTTTTGACCAGGTTGTCTTTTTGGACCGAAAGGCTTTACAATAAGTGCGAAGTTAATGGTGACTATCTGGTACCAACTATTTTTTCCAATAAGATCTAATTCCGTCATGTGGGTTTAAAAAATTACTTACTGCTGTATGCGGAATCAGTGTGTCATGAAATAAGGCCTCTTGTCTTAAACAGGGTAGAGAAATGAAACGATTTTTGTCTTAATCAGGGTCAGGGTTTGAAGGTTTCGGCGGCACATATAAAAACCTTTACTCAAGTTTCCCTTTGAGTTCCCTTTGAGGCCGGGGTATATCGGCACATTAAACAAATTCGATCAATACAAAAATAAACCTTTTAAAGTTTTCTTTATTCCTTTGCACCTAAAACCAACAGTGACGCACGGAGTCGTTTAACTACGGCACACGCTAAAATTTATGTTTTAGGTCTATCTCTCGCTTTACAATTGCTTCAATAGTAACCACAAGCTTAGAATTCGCTAGCAGGGCGTTTCTTTACCCACTCATTTATTTCGGGCACGTTTAACACCCGTTTATAATGCTCCACCAAGAGCGGGAACTTCTCAAGTTCCCCAGGAACATCCTCTTTACCCTTCGAATAGAAGCTGTTAAAGAGGTCAAAGAAACTGATGTCGGCATGGCTCAGCTGCAGATAAGAAACAGAAAAAAATCGCAGTTACGCCAGGGGCGTAGGATTGGGGTAACCTTTCTTCTGAGTGTGTGCTGTAAGCCTCAGGTAAAAGGCATTTCCCACGAAGCCGTGGTAAGTTTAACGTTGGTTTAGTTTAGTTCCTATTAAAGTATTTAAGCCGCTTTCAGTGTAAGGCTTCATTCGGGCAATTATAAACGGTAATAATCACCGTAGAAAATTGTAGTATTTTATGTTATGATGAAAATATACGTATAATTTTATAGCTGAACTTTCAACTGGTATGTTATTCATGATAATTTAGCGAAGGTACATAGTTCGATTTTACAGTTCAGCTGCATCCCACGGTTTGATACCAGGAAAGAAACATATTTTTGGGAAATATAGTTTTTAAATCTATCCCAACAAACCAGTTCAAAATTTTGCCTTAAAATCCCCCTGATTCTTTCATCTTAACGTGAAATCTGACACGTCACCATCGATCTTTCTCTCAACAGTGCGAAAGACACCCGTTTAAAAAAGCAATTTTTTGCGGTTTTATATTGAAGAAACCTGTTTGGCTGTTTTGCCTTAGGTATAGAAAAACCCTAGCTTTTTACCAAGTTTAATATCATCGGCGGTTTCTTTGCTCTTTTTGACGTGACCATGGATATTTCTCATGGTAAATTTATCTCGGGAAAGTCTGGTCACATGCACCGAGGCAATTTCCCAAGGTAAAAGGGTCATTTACCACGGTAAATAAAAAGTGTCCTGTGTAAACGCACATAATGTATTCGGCTATGCTCACACTATACTGAATAGCTTGTGGTGGTGGCTATCTGAGCTGCTATTAATAGTGTTTTAGTATTTCACCAAATCAGTGAATAACACTTTTCGCGCGTTTTGATTGGCTCCCGTAACTCAGAATATCCTTGGCTATTAACTGTTTTGCGACCGGAGCCAAGATGGCGTCTCACTTCGAGACATTTTCGTAACACGAAATTTAAGCGATAAATGAAGCAGTCGTACAAACAAATACCAAAAAAAAAAAAGAACTTTGGTTTGTCGGTATTTACTGGTAGGTAGACAATTATTTTCATGCTGAATTTGCAACAAAATCGTAAAAATACACTTAATCCCCGAAATGTTTGTAAATTGTAAACAAAGTTCCTACTAAGTGACGTTTTTAATTTACAGAAACTATCCCCCTCAGGGTCGGTGAACAGCGCTTCGCGTGGCGGTTTTTTTTCCACACCACTATTCACCTCCCCTTCGGGGGATAGTTGTATATTATAGAAAATTAACGCTTCATGCATGACACGATTAAGATTCATCCCAAGGCCCAAACACATACTCTCTCACATACTACTTTTGATCAAAAGGATACTCCAATTACCCGCCCATTTAGAGCGGGGTTTTTCATGACTTCTGGAACGACGGGGAGGATACCTACAGAAGCCTGTAGGGCGTTTAAGATATCACGCTTGCGGCGGCGACGAATACTTCGCTTTAAAAGAAGTGAATTCGCGTTTTTTCAATCCATATCAGCGATTATTCCAATCACTTACTTTGTCTAACGCAAGCGAACCCTTCTGGTGTTAAAATTCCTAAGAACAATATCCAAGTTGAACCGAGAGAAAGATTAGTTCGTCGTCCCTTGTAGCTCCTTGTTTACGTTGTCTATAAAAGTACGGTAAACGGGCAAGAAAAACGTGCAACTTGTGTAGCAACATTGCTTCAAAACGAGTTGAAGGGGCGATGTTGCGCGTTTTACCACTCACGTTGAAACCTGTATCTCAACAAATCAGGTTGTTGCAGATTCCAAAAAGTTGCTGCAGAAAGTAGAGAGTAGTTGTACTTTTTGCAACAAAATCTGTCCATGTTGCGCGTTTTACCGACCAAGGCAATCTCGCTCTTAAGCAGGTGACGTAACTCCCGTGTATGGCGTGACTTCCGCGTAATTTTATCCAATCAAAAGTCAGTATTCACGAAACTTGCAGCAACATGATTTGTTACACGTTTTGGATGATCGTTTTACCATACGTTAAAAAGTGAAATTAGGCATTTCCACGGCGTCGTAAACGTGCAGTGATGACGGGAAAGAAATGTACCAAAAAGTGTGCTACACAAGCGGAGTTGTTGCCGTGCCTATTCACTGAACCTACTAGTTTTTTGACGTTTTTGCTGCGTCATTATCATAGCATCTTAAACTCCCTATTAAAAATCGCTGATGAAACGCCTGACGGGTACCAAATTTACACAAATAACTTTAAGAAACAATTTTTTTAACAAGAGAGAATGTCTCAATCGATCATCTTGATATAACTCGGTTGTCACACAATGACGTAACGTGACTCAGGTTCAGTAACAGAAGGGATGACGTCACGCCAGGAAGTCATGCTGCTCAGTATCATGCAAAATGTGCTGACGTTGCCGTATTTTAAAATTTTTAGAAAAGACTTTCTTTGGGACCGGGTGAAGGCTCAGGGAGCGGTCATCGTTTTAGCCTGCAGATACAGGCGTCTCTTCTCGCTTCTCGATCACCGCTTGGGACGCGTCCCTTGTGGCGAGAACGAGGTGAGACGGCTGAATTCGACGGCTATCATCGTTTTATTTATGACTTAATTACTATACTCGTTAGTGTTCTAAGCAGGCCTAATCCCTTGGCACACTTTGCGCATTCTTCTAATCTTACCTTTTCGCCCAGAAAGAAGCCCTTGCCTTCATCCCTGTTTTTGAGAAGAGCTTCAAATTTCTCGAGTCGGGGAGGAAGCGTCGTTCCATAAAACTCCTTTCTTATCTCCTCCTTTATATTTAAAGCAAAACAAATCATAGATCACTAACACTAAGTTCTGGGAAATAGAATTTGGAGTAAAACCTACGGGATTGTACACGGAGAACAACTGAGAAATACACGTCAAATTCCTTAATAATTTACGGACACCTTGGCAACGAGACGACTCTACTTACGGCCCGGGGGGAGCCCCATAGAAAAAAAGTGGAACAAAAGTTTAATCCCGGATTAGCGCTAACCGGCCTTTCAGGAACCGGCCCAGGGTCTTAAAAATGACTGAAGGGTTGGACCTCGGGGCGGTGCCCACCAGTAAAATTACTTGTCGAGTAATAAGTACCTTTAGCTTCCCCCTGGGACTTACGACAATCTTTAGTTAATAAAACCCCGCGTAAAATCTTCGTTTACAAGTCCCTTTCCCGTAAGTGGCCAGCTTCAGAAACAAACAGTCCGTTTTCTCTGCTTCCCAATGGTGTTCTCTTAAGGCTGCTACGACTGAACAAGGTTACTTTCTGTTTAAAATTTAGAGGTCTCTGCAATAGTAAATGACCGGCGGCTAGGCGACTGACCTACTTTTTGGGGCTTTACAACAGTCAGCTCCTTTTAAAACGGACACTGTAGGGACCTCAACTTAGTGTCCTCATTAGTGAGAGTCCGTAATAACGGGATTTTATTTCAGTCAAACTTCTGTAATGTTATTCAGTTTTTTGCTTGGGATTCAGATGCTCTCCGTATTATTAGGGTGTCCGTTATCGCGGGGTGTTTGCAAGGCGAGAGTTTACTGTATTTGGATCGGTAACCTCTATGGATGTTTTATACCGCTAAAACTATAAGTTTCTTTCTTGCTTGTCAAGCGTTACATTAGAAAGATACCATTTTCTGTGGGTAAAACGTTTATTGATGAATGTGTTTAATGACTTGTTGAAAATCACTTTAAGCATTTCCTTAGAACAGAGAGAACTAACGAAGTAATAAGTATCCCGAACTGTCCTGGCTTAATTTTATATGCCTTATTTACACTTTTTTATGCCACGCGAACGCGATTATGTGATTATATGAAGCACGTTCTTTTAGCCAAGCATTTTACTCCAATCACGGTCTGCAAGGGGGTGGGGGTCCTGATCCCACACAAACGCTCCCTTTTGAAGAAAATCCCGCTTCCCGCTATTTTTTTTCCATATCGCTTTCCTGAATCCCTCTTTTGTTTCCATAAACAAAAAACAAACAAGGCACACTTCATAGTTTGGTTTGAAAGGTGACAAAACTCAACCCACGCCCGGTTGATTCGCATTTGCAGCTCAAACGTATGATTTCCCGAATTCACAACATACAAGCAAAACCATCCCGCACCTTGTGCTTAAATTTTGGCGAATCCCGCTTCCAGGGTAGCTTTACAATCCTGTTTCCCGTCAAGAAATTTTGCGTTTTCCCGAATCCCGAAAATACCTTTGAAGACCTTGTTTAATTCTCACCTCAGCGAATTAAGCATTGTTTGGCACTGAGGGTCGGAACTGGCATCTTGAGTAAATCTAGACTGCAAAATAGCCCGTATTTTTGCCTACAACGCGAGCGGTCACTCAATATCTTTATTCTGATAGAGACGATCTGCTAGAAAATTTGTTCAAACTCACGACCCAACATTGCAAAAAGTTCACTTCCGATTGACGTGCGTCGCTCAAAGACGTCGTCGCTCTAACTCCCTAATATAGCCCGAAGCGCTTTGCAAAACCGATGTAAAGAAAAAGACCGACTGATTTGCAGTCTCAGGAGTAAAACCTGACACGCTCTGTATGTGGAGTACTGAAACGGACATTAACTTTCGCATTACCTTCTTCGTTTCGTCTTTCTCATATAATATCTGGCTAAATTGCTTAAATACATCAGTAACTCCATCACTGATCATATCCGCTGTCGCTTCATCAAAACTGTCAGCTGGGCACAAACCTAATCACTATAAGTAAAAATGAAAGCTAGTCCAGCATTCGCCTTCTAATTAACTAACAAAAAGCAAGAAGACAAGATAATTTATTAAAATCAGCTCTGCAGTTTTCAGGGGCACCCAACGAGAATATAGTTCAAAACCACTTAAACATAGCATTGTTAAACGTGTTTTAGTATTTAAACGGTGGATATGGGCATATTTTTATCCCCTATAATTTTTCATCTGTTCGGATTTCCCAGCTGAAAGGCTAGTGATCCGAAAATTATAGGGATCAAAACTTACCTGTTCGGAAATTTCAGCCTGAAAAAAGGCTCCCGAAAATTCTAGGTGACCTTTTTAGGGTAAAAATCCGTTGAAGATGGGCAATTTTACCATTTTTTAGATGTTCGAAAATCCTAGGAGAGGCAAGCAAGCAAGAAATTTTACAACAAATGTTCCGAAAATTCTAGATCTCAAATCGTCTTCCGAACAGATATTTTCCCGAAAATTGTCGTTGGGTGCCCCTGAGTTTTGCATGACATAAAGGTTAAATTTACATAGGCAACTAAACACAGTACAACTAAGGAATAAAAGAAAAATGTAACAACAAAATAGAGACCGAGTTGGCATCACCCAATAGAACTGAGAGAATGAAAAGAAGAAAAAAAGACACAGAGACAAGGAATAAGAAAAAAAAAAGAAAAGAAAAGAAAAGAGAGAAAGAGAGAGAGAGAGAAAGAAAGAAAGAAAGAAAGAAAGAGAAAAAATGGAAAACGGAAGAATGATGAACGAACGAGCGAACGAACGGACGGGCAGTTTGATGGATGGATGGATGGATGGATGGATCCTTGAATGAATGAATGACTCCAATGGAGAGAAAAAGAAACTTGAAAATAAACTTTTATAAACTATATCGGCAGGTAGCCCGCTACGCGGACGTTGTTAGGGTTTCGTTTTCCTTGGGGAAAGAACGCATGACGAAGCTCCTAAACTGACGTCTGCGTGGGAGGCTAATGAGCAGGAGTAGACTGCGAGCCAGCTCTGCTTTTGGGGGCGTCGCGAAAAGCCACGCGAGAACTGCACGCCGGCGAAAGGACACACGAGCGCTCCCCTCCCTACTCGAATCGGAGAGCTTGCTGAAAGACTACGGCAGGAATGATATGGTGATTAACAAATTACGTTTAATACATCACCTCCTTTTTTGCAGATGTACTTCATAATTGTACCAGACTGTGCCAGGATTTTTCCTTCAGGAGTCACAATGAAGGGCATTTGACCAAGAGGTGGTCTGCCAGCTGAAACGGAAAAGTAGTGTTAAGGGCTTTTTCAAGAGTAACGCTAATAATAGCCTGGATATGCTCAATTCGATATTAGGCTACAAGCTGGCCTCTAAACATAATATGCAGAACAGGGGCTATTTTTTTCGCGTTTATCGGGCGTAAAGTGCGAGACACACACCCGTCATGTCTTTGCTCGACTGAAAAAAAAATCCGTCGGGGTTCAAATAAAACCCAAAAAAATCCCTGGACGAAAATGTAACCCCAAGAAAATCCCATGCCAAATTTCCAAGCCATAAAAATTTCCAGAAAGCATTAAATGATATAACTATCAGGAATCGTAGATTGTTTTGAATACCCAATAAAATCCCTTCCTAAACCCGAAATCGAAAATTTAAAACCCAAAAAAATCTTTCGATCTTCCGTGTCACTTGAAATCGGGACTACGTTACAAGCCACCAAAAAAGAACTTAAAGTTTGAAAAACGGCCCTTTTTCATGTTTATCCATTCGTGCCTCTTGATTTTTTGTACTTGCTTTGTTATTTGTACTTTCATTTAATGTTTTGGGCGATTATTTTTTTTATGTTTCACTCAATTTAAAATTGATTGCAGCCTTGAATTTCGATACATTTCGTGACACAAAACTCTTCTAGCCTGTGTACAGCTGTCCCCCCCTCCCCACTCCGATTTTTTCTGAGGGGAGGGGGCCGCTGTGCACAGGCTAAGCTCCTTTTATCTGATGTTAGTTCGGCTGAAGAGAAACCACGCCCGGGGGTACGGTGGGGGGCACTAAAGGGAACTTAGGGTAGAGGTGAGCCTCCAAGGCCTACTGCCTTTATGCGTTACAATTCCGTTCAAATTGCTTAGCAGCCAGGCTTGTCCTTCGCAATGCACTTATCAGCGGCCATCCTGGGGTGGGGCATGGCGCGGGATTCAGCGTCAACTTTGTTCGATAATTTTAAACCCGGGATGGGGGGGATTGGATTGCTTTTGCACTTAGGTAGCGGGATCCCCGGGGGAAAAACCCTGGGGATTTGTAGCGCCGCCGCCAATTTGCAGACGGAGCTGGAAACAAGTGCCGCTCCCGTCTGCGAAAGGACTGCATATGTTGGTGTAAGCGACTGTTATATTTCTCTTGTATTCTGTTCCTTTCAGCTGGCTATCCTTCGCCTATATAGCGACTTTATTTTTCGAAAGAAAACTACGATTCCTTCTATGATAATATTCTGATCACTGAAGTGTTAAATATCTAAAAAATATTCATAAAATTATTTCCGCTGGAATTATTCATATTTTTTTTACTTGATTGAACATGAAGTTTGCATATTAAATTATGTTTACTTTGTGCCTAGGTCGTTCTTCTCTATCGGAAGCATAAAAAGCGAGTAGTAGTAGTATACACGACCCCACAAGATTTCTAGCTTTAATTTTTATCGTGTCAAAATAGAGGTTTTACATTATGATATGTTATTTAAAAAGAGCAAACGAGTATCAAGGGAGGATCGTGCAGTATCAAAAGCACTCTAAGTCATCGTGACTAAGCAATTTTGTACACGACCACATCATTAAATCTTACCGATCGAAAATCAATCCAATAGGTGTCATGTATACGTATTTGCCTTAAGTTTTGATCGCTTTCCGTCTTAAACAGCTATTTAAGGCACTGAATAAACGTCGCTTATAGATTTTGGTTCACTTCAAGTTATATTTACTTACACGCTTTCTCTTTCGGCCATTCTTCGATTGGCACTCGAACGTCTCAATCTCAATCTTTGCAGCCGCGAATGCCAGTCGACATTTTTCTGCTCCACCGCGGCCTTGAAAGTAGAACAACCCACACCTACCGCTGAAGTTCACTCTTCCGAAACTGACCTGCCTTTTAAAAATATGTAAATCTCACACACAAAGGCGTGTCATGTCACGCAACCTTGAAAAACAAACTTAGCGCAAACTTCAATAGTGGCGCGCGGGGTTGCTGGGGGCAGGGTGGGGGTTAGGGGTTGGGGTCAAATTGCTTTCAGAGGAAAGTTGAAATCTAGCTGTTCTTTAGCCTGGAAACTTGGGGTCATGGCAATAAAAAGTGAGTGAGTGATTAAAAGCTGTCCTAATGCCCTAAATATACCGTTTAGAATTGCTTTTTGAAACCTCTCTCGTGCTCTGAAGAATTTAGACAGTTTAGAAAACTACAATTCCCGGCAGTTTCTTTTGGTAAATCGTTTTGGAGGGTGTGCCGCCAGAACGGACCAGAAGAAGTGTCTTTTTCCAACACTTCTTCAGACCTGGCCTCTAATATCCATCCCCGTTTTAAGAGCAGGAAAGGGTCACAAACGCGACATACATGGCAGAAATTATGTCATCATTACTCTGATTAGAACGCCCTCAAAAATGATTCTTCAGACCATTTCAAATTCGCATATTAGTTTACTCTTTCTTTCTCTTGCATTAGCGAGCAGCGACACTAGTGAGATATGACGTTACTTTAGAGATACTTTACCTTTTTAACTTCGTCCTCTAGTCATAGTATGGAAATGGAGCAATGGTTCTCACAAATCAATAGCCTCTTCTGCACAGTCTCCATCGATCATATCAGCTAAATTTGTTTAAACTGACATCTCATTCAGTAACTGAAGCCCAAGCCCGCTGTCCTTGACTCATGTAAGCCTGACGAATTAATAAGTCGAATCCCGCTTTACGGACACTAGAAAGCGAGCGGCCTCCTTCTCAAAGCCAAGCGCGGCGAGCGAAAAAGTAAACCTACGCAAATTTTATGGAAAAAAGGAGGACTTCGCCGCTCGCCCCTCACGCGTGCTCTCGATCTACTGTGATTCAAACGAAAAATAAGAGGCTGCTCGCGCTCATGATACGAACACCCGCTGAATTCGAAAGTTTCTGAAACGAATAGTGTAGAGAACATATATCGTGCTTTCCCCAGGGACAGAGAAAACTGTCCGTAATAGCCTGTTCTAGGTGATCAGATAGTAGAGCGCGGCGTTCAGATGGTGGGGAGCGAGTCATCGTACGCGAGGAAAACGAGGGGAGACTAGGGCGAGAGCAAGAGAAAATGAAACTGGGAACAAAATTTAACTTAAACCCTAGCCCTATTATTCACTTAATCGTAAATACTTTTGTTTTTGGCCATCTAAGCTGAAGAAGAAACAAAAAGCATTTCAAATCCTCTCACCTTTGTTCCCTAGTTTTCGCTATTTTCCTCGTGCACGTTCCCAGGCTTCTCGTTCCCCGCTTTTTACGCAACTACACTCTTTAGTGTGACTGATAATGTCAAACGTTTTGGTAGACCTTGATAACACGAAAACAGTTAACCTTCACAAAAATTATACAACTCAGAGCAGATGCCAGTTTAAAGAGGGGGTGCCATCAGTACAATTTCTTTTCTCGACAGGAAACAATACAAACTCTAAGCCAGCACGAGTTCACACACTATACCGCAGAGACCGCGCAGGGGATGGGTCTCCCCACCCCACTTTTTCGGATGGCAATTTTTTTTTTTACTTTGGTTACCCAGATCTGTCACTTACCACACAAACAAGGTTTAGTAATCTGACAATACTGAACACCCACAAACAGATCGAGAACAGACAAACTATACCTTGTAGCTGTTGCCAATGAGTTTGTAGCTCTTAATGACAATCGGAAAGGCAACTTTGGCACCTTCAGAGAATCCGACTTAAAAATGTCCGGGTGACACTCAACCGTTGAGTGTGTTGGGTTTAGCTTTGAAGTCTATTCATTTAAATTTTTGTCTAACGTGGGGGCCAGGTTGTAACTTGTTGCTCTAAGTGCCGATGTGATAATTACAAATTTATATTACTATTGGCAGTTTTAGATGCACTTATAGCCATTTCAGAAGACTTGAATTTGAAAATTTCCCGGGGGAACAAGCACCCGTACCCCTTAGTTTCCTCACGCTTACGCTTTTGCATCAGCCCCCCCCCACTTATAAATCCGCTCCGCGGGCCCTGTACCGGGTAGCTTTCCGTGCTCACACGGAAAGCTATGCAGTATAGTATGAAGACCTATCCGATATGTGACTGTCCGTCGCTCCGCTTCGTTATAAAAATCAAGCCGAAATAACCGTTCTTATGTGTGAACAAAAGCCCTATCCAGTATAGTAAACATAGGTCGCATAGAGGAGTTGGGCTCGCTATTGATTATTTCGGCTTATTATATCAGTCGCATCAAGTGATGCAAGATACATGTAGAATCTTTAAAAGTTTCCTTTATTCGTTTGTGGACGTCAAGCCGACGGCGATGACGTCATTCAACTACGTTACACGCTTACATCTCGGTTTTCGGGCGTTTGTTTACCCACTCGTTAATTTCGGGTACGCTTAACACACGGTTATAAAGCTGCACCAACGGCGGGAACTTCTCTAGTTGCTCAGGAACAGTTTTTTCACCCTTGGAAAGAAAGCTGTTACAGAAGTCAAAGAAAATGATGTCGGCATACGTCAGCTGCGGGAAGGAAACAGAAAAAAATCGTTACGCTTGGCGTAGCCATTCTTGGGGGGTGTGGCAAGTTACAGCGAGCCAGTCTTGTAGCAGCTCTCCTAAACCCTAAAATCCAATTCGTATGCTAAAATAACCATAACCATAATTTGTGTAATACGTTATGGGTAGGGGAGAACAGGAAAATAGAAAGAGGAAGGCTGCAGCTAAATCTTGCTAGTCTCTCGATACATGAGTCAGTAAAGTACCCCGTCAAGAGCGTGAATTTCTCACGTATTGCTACTTTCCTAAATAAACGGATCAGACAATAAAAAATACTTTTCGGTAGTTTGGTCCACTTTGGCCTCGTTAGCACCCCCCCCCCCCCACATAAAATCCTGGTTAAGGGCCTGTACTTCAGAACCTGTTGTCAACAAAAGCCTAACAAACTTCGACAAGAGAACGACAACGTAAGACGAGAATTAATTGAATTAATCCGCAACAGCTAGTTGTGTATCTGGGAGACGGGGTGGTCCCAAAAAAAGGCGCGAAAAAGGTACGTCCTGTATAAGGTCCAAACACATATCCTGTCACATTCCACATTTGATCAATGCATCTCTTTCCCCTATTAAAACCGGACTTTTTGGGCCTTCTGAGAAGGCAGGGAAAGGGCATTCATGATAAAGGCACTAAATTTATGCAAAACGTTTAGATATACCGAACACACCTGTATCTTTACTAACAAGAAGGGATATTTGTTAGTTTTTTTGTAGAGCGCGCGGGGGAACACAAAGGGCAGGGGACTTCCTCTCCTTTCTCCTCTCGTGCGCGCATGCGTCCTCGAAATTTCTGCCTTCGCCTTAAATTACCGGCGCCCGCTACGCAGGTTATAGGAGAACAAGCTGCCGACGCTGAATTGGATGTAAACGCACTTGAAGGCTTAGACAGCGGTCAGTAACTAAACGCATAATATAATTATTCATTAGAATTCCAAAGCCTAATCCTCTTCCCATGCTTTGTGCATTCCTCTTATCTCACCTTTTCGCCGAGAAAGAAGTCCTTGCCTTCATTCCTGTTTTTGAGAAGGGCTTCAAATTTCTCAAGTCGTGCAGGAAGCGTCGTTCCAAAAAACTCCTTTTTAAGCTCCTCCTTTATTATTAAGGCAAAAAAAAATTATAGGTCAGTAAAGACTAAATTCTAGGAAATACAAATGCAGCAAAGAGTGAAACCCACGGAATTGTACATGAAGCAAAACCAAAAAGTACAAGTCGAAGCTAACTATACTGACACACCTGAGAGCTCAGTTTATCAACGCCGACATCGACCGCGAAGACAACGAGAACTTCCAAAAGTAAAAAGGCAATAGGTTTGATAAGCAAAACATCAGTTGACATTTTGACCCAGTTGATATAATTGTGACAAACTTTGAAAAAACGGGCGTTTTTGCTGCCGTTGCCGTTGTCTTTGCTAAAGCCCCCTACTATGCTCCCCACTTTTTCAAGCCACACGAATGAGCCTCTCTGTGGGTTCCTGCAGACGTCATTTTCGACGCACGTTTTCCATAAAATCTGGTGGTTTTTCAAGGGTTTCTGGGAAGGGGGCGGGGGGGTATGCGAGAGAAGCAAAAAGGGGACAGAATCCTTCTCTCTCTTCCCCTTCCCATCCTGTAAAATTTCCTCTTCGCACATTCCACAAGGACGGCCAGATACTCAGGTTTCAATCTACACTTGAGCTGTTACATTAGGCTAACTGTAGCAAATTCTAATATGGCGCCTCCAAGTCAAAGGAAGAAGCCGTGCACAGTTGGTATTTCTCTCGGTTCTTCGTCCAATAGTTTGATCACCTAATGATTCTGTTCAAAGAACGTTTTGCCGTGGTCACGAAGCGGGTAATGACTTATCATATCAGTACATATTTTTCTGTTAAATTATCTCTGCAAACCCTTCATTGCTTTTCTGTGCCCATGAAACTAAAAAATTGAAAGAAAAAAAAAAAGGGCTCGACTCGAGGTTGGCTCTTGCTTGCCTCGTAGCTAGTGGTTGACTCGGGCTCGCGTTTAGCTCGTGAAACGATCGACCAAACTCTGTTTAATTTAATCGGAATGCCGATGTGATCGTCGCTTTAATCTCTAAGATAGTCGTTTCATCAATTGGGAGCGTCGTGACTTCAATTTCCTCGCAAATACCCATACAGAGGCTAACGAATGCGACTATTTGAATCACTTTTAGCCAGACATTTTAAAGTTTACTTAACTGCAGCTGATTAACATGTAGTCCCAATTCCCAAAGCAAAATAATTAAAAAATGCCTGTCGCTGAAGGCTGGTGTCTGGAGTAAAGCCTGACAGATAACGCGGAATACTGAAACATTGGAAATTTGCTCTGCATTACCTTCTTCGTTTCGTCTTTCTCAAAGTGCATCTTGATCAATGGCGGAAATAAATCAGTAACTCCATCACTGATCATATCCGCTATCGCTTCATCAAAAACGTCAGCTGGGGACAAACCTAATTACCAAAAGTAAAAATTAAAACAAAGCTACAATGAGGGACAATCCCCTACCTCCCCTCCCTCTCTATACCTCCACCCCTCCTCCCCACAAAATCAGTAATGTATGTAAGAGAAGCGAGAAGCCTGAACCCTAAAAATTAATATCAAGGCATGTGTTTGAATGCTTTAAGATAAGAAAAGAGAAGGAAGACAAAAATTAAATTATATATTTATATTAAACAGTTATTGGATGAGGTTTTTGTGATATCCGGAATAATCAAGGTCGAGGTAAGTGTTATCACTCGAGCCGAAGACCAAGGCTGATAACAATTACCGAGACAAAGAGAAGACCAGTGTTCGCGAGAATAGTTTTGCAAAATTAATGCTTTTTGGGATTTCCTAATCGAACGGTAAAAAGGAGGCATGAAATCTAGATTTGAATTTCTTAATTGAATTCCACCATGAGAACAAATTTCTCGGAAGTGAAATCCGTTTTCGGATCTGGCGTTCGATTGGAAAATCCGAAAACCGGATTTCTCAATCGAACGCAACCATAATAAAACCTTTCCTGTCAGTCACCATGGTGATGTTATTTTTTGTATTGCCTCATGCAGAGCCCTGTGATATTGTATTTAGCCAAGAGTCCATAATCTGGAGAGTACAACTCCCATACTTGGCCTACGCAACAGCGTTTTCACAGACAAGTTATATATAGCATCATTTTGAGCACTTTTTCCCGCGAAAAAGGATGTGCCGTTCTCTCTGCGTGCGCATCCATAGCACGATAATTATAAACAGAAGTAAACGCGATGACTGATTTGTAAGACCAATTTGATCTTCAAAATTTGCGGGAAAATCGATCTAAAAATAAACTGGTCTATGAAAACGTCGTTGCATAGCCACGAGAGAAATGCTCGCTTCGGATTATGGGCTTTTGATTTAGCAAGCTGATTAACAAGTTACGTTCAATAAATCACCTCCTTTTTTGCAGATGTACTTCATAATTGTACCAGACTGTGCCAGGGTTTTTCCTTCAGGAGTCACAATGAAGGGCATTTGACCAAGAGGTGGTCTGCCAGCTGAAACAGAAAAGTAGTGTTAAGGGTTTTTTCAAGAGTGATGATATTAGGCTACAAGCTGGACTCTAAATATGGCATACGCGGGATTTGTCAACTTTGTTCGATAATTTTAAACCCGGGATGGGAGGATTGGATTGATTTTGCCCTTACGTAGCGGGATTCCCGGGGGAAAGACCCACGGGATTTGTAGCGCCGCCGCCAATTTGCAGATGGAGCTGGAAACGAGTGCCATTCCCGTCTGCGAAAGGACTGGGTATGTTATTGTAAGCGACTGTCATATTTCTCTTGTAGTCTGTTCCTTTCAGCTGGCTATCCTTCGCTTACATAGCGACTTTATTTTTCGAAAGAAAACTACGATTCCTTCTATGCTAATATTTTGATCAAAAAGTGTTAAATATCTAAAAAATGTTTAAAAATTATTTCCGCTGGAATTATTCATAGTTTTTTTACTTGAATGAGCATGAAGTTTGCATATTAAATTATGTTTATTTTGTTCCTAAGTCCTTTTTGACTATCGGGAGCATAAAAAGCGAGTAGTAGTGGTATACACGACCCCACAAGCGTTCTAGCTTTAATTTTTATCGTGTCAAAATAGAGGTTTTACGTTTTGATATGTTATTTAAAAAGAGCGAACGAGTTTCAAGGGAGGTTCGTGTAGTATCAAAAGCACTCTAAGTCATCGTGACTAAGCAATTTTGTACACGACCACATCATTAAATCTTACCGATCGAAAATCAGTCGAATATGTGTCATGTATACGTATTTGCCTTAAGCTTTGATCGCTTTCCGTCTTAAACAGCTATTTAAGATACTGAATAAACGTCGCTTATAGATTTTGGTTCCCTTGTATATTTACTTACACGCTTTCTCTTTCGGCCATTCTTCGCTTGGCACTCGCACGTCTTCGTAATCAATCTTTGCAGCCGCGAATGCAAGTCGGCATTTTTCTGCTCCACCGCGGCCTGGAAAGTAGAACAACTTGTATCCAGACATTTCTGCAGAATGTTTCAGTCGATTCTTTTTTACTGTGAGTGCACGCCCTCAACACACCTACCGCTGAAGTTCACTGAAGAGTGTTTACGTTTCCGAAAATGACCTGCCTTTTAAAAATATACCACCTGAAATTAATTATGTAAATCTAGATCATCTCACACACAAAGGCGGGTCATGTCACGCAACCTTGAATAAAAAACTTAGCGGCGCGCGCGGGGTGGGGCGGGGGGTCAAATTGTTTTCAGAAAAAAAGTGAAATCTAGTTGTTCTTTAGCCTGGAACTTAGGTCATAACAATAACAAAAATCGAAACAAAGCCCAAAACCCAAAAGGGTCGCTCGATAGGCTGCTTTATAAAGGATATCTTCAACTGAACTTTGTCAAAGCAAATATTTCAGTTGTCGGACATTTTACGTTGAGGTAAGGATGTTCAGCTGGATGTTGCCAGTTTGGAAATTGTTTACGTAGGAATTATATCAGTTATATATAGTATTGTCACAGGGTGAGATTCCCAAACGTTAAGAACAAATTTACACGTGCGTCTATGATTCTATGACACCACGCTGTGATATCTCTTTCGCTGTTTAATCCTATTCCTCTGTAAGGAAACAATAATAATAATAATAATAATAATAATAATAATAATAATAATAGTAATAATAATAAGCATAAGTATAAGCACTTTATCGCAGAGGAAATTATTTGACAATTTTTCCTTTGCAATATCATGGCTAGAAAAGCGGGCGTTGCTACATACTTCTAATTGAAGGCTTAATATCTAGTGTTTTCCTTCATTCTATCAAGTGTCAACTTTCAGAACTTTTTGCACTTGAAGGAAAGTTTTAAATACCCCTTGAAAAGAGGTCTCATTTGATCATGCATGAATGGATGGCTACCACAGGAGAGATAAAATAGCGAATTACGTCTATAATACCTCCTGGATAAAATTGTCTCGGGACTTAGAGGGAAATCGAGGGGAGAGGTTGAGGAAATTTTAAAAAATGAGAGTAAAAAAGTAATATTCCCTCTTTATGGAGGGGGCACAAGATGCACTTACCATTTAAAATGGGGGAAACCGGAATTCCGATGGAATGCTTCAGAAAATATGGGCTGTCATTTAAGGCGATGGAATTTCTGTATTCCTCAGTCTTGTCTTTGGCTAGTGCCTAGACCGACTTTAAAGCCGGGATCCCCCTCTCAAAAGGTTACATTTAATCGTCGTATGTTTTTGCACAAGATTATCAACCACGCCTGGCTTGGCTCTCAAAAGCTGAATACAGCGCTATCTACCACATAAATCATTATCAAGCGGATGAGTATTAGGGAAACCATTTGCATTAACCACCACTCGATAGTAATTTATCCAGCTGATAGCATTATCCCGGAGGGGAGACTCCGCATATGAACGGGGTGGGGATGCTCGTCGGAAATTTTGAATCAAACCCCTAAAGGAGACCGATCTGGGCGTGGTCCAAGCTTTTTTTGACCCCTAAAAGAGACCATGTTAAAACACAGACAATATATACATTTTTTATACTTTTTCGCGTGCAACCCTAAACGAGACCTTCACGGCTAAATATTATGGCGTTTTGCCCAGAACACCCTAAATGAGACCAAAATCAGAAATTTACACCCCTAAGCGAGACGACGAGTATCCCCACCCCTTTCATATGCGGAGTTCCCCCCGGAGCATTATACACCTTTTGAACAACTGTGGCCAGGTGGCTTGTAGCGCTACGAATATTTTACCAATTGCAAACGTCCGCCAAAACATCAGATACCGGTTTCCTCTAAAAAAATGAACCTTAGAAATGAATGAAGAAACTGTTGGATATTAATGCCAAAGAAACCCAATTGTTGACATCATATCAGTGTAAAAGAGACATCAGGAAGATTAGAATTAAGTATGGTTGTTTCGCCGTGTTTTAGAACGTGAACAATAAAATAATTATACCAAACGGTATCAGAAATAGGTTATCCGGGATGCGGGATTTCCCTTATTTGAAGCTCAGGATTCGAGATTTTAAAGCAAAACGAGGGCGAGATTCGGGATGGAAAGAATGCGGGGATACGGGATTTCGAAAATAACTATCGGAATTACGGGATTGCGCGAAATTAGGTTCGAGATTACGGGATTGAAGAACCCGACTGGGGAGCCTCATAAATGTATTTGATACTTTGTATGTCAACAATGATTTTTTTTTCAATTTTCAGCGATCGTGCGGCCTATGGGTTTCGGGTCACGTGGTCCGAGCGTCTTGGATACGTCCCGAAATGTACTGACCGAGAAGGCCTGGGAAGAAGCGGTACAGGGACCAGGCCTGACCAATGATTGATTGTAATTGATGATAGGCACATTGTTAGATTGTTATAAACCATGGGCGCTTTCCATTCAACAAAATTTTCCGGTTTGAAATTTCGAAAGTTCCACGTGCTCATTCGAACGGTGCATTATATTCCGGTTGCAAAGACCCGACCCAAGCCACCGCACGTTTGGTTATTGTTCTTGTAAGCAGGAAGCAAAAGAGCGGTACTGGACACATCAATTTCGTCAAATGGAAAGGGACATTTCGGTCCGACTGACCGAAATTAGTGATCCAAAATATTCCGGTCGGAACGAACCGAAATGGTCCCTTCCATTTGATTTCTAACCGAAATTTCCGGAATTTTAAGCTGAATGGAAAGCGTCCCATTTTCCCTCGAATAACAGCAATCCTCACATTATGTAAGCTGACTTTAATCATTTTTACTTAAGTTAACATGTGCTACATGCATGGTGTCGATTGCGGGCTCAGAACTCGGAATCGGGACGTTTTTCGACCCAGGTCTTTATTTCAGGCACGGCCAACACACGGTTGATATATGCAACTAACAGAGGATACTTGCCGATTAACTCATCGATATCAGGCGTGGGATTACCTTTGGCTTTCTGGTTGTCTATGCTAACTTTTATGCCGTTAACGAATGCAACGAACGAAATGTCGGCATAGGTGAGCTGGAGAGGAAGAAAAGAGGGAACAAAGAAACGCTTAGTACAGAGCTGAGGCTTTTTAATTTGTTTGAACAACTTTGAAAGTGTTATCAAGGTTTAATGATATCTAACGTAAACATAATAGGCGCCCACTCTCTAATATTCGCTTCTTATCTAATAAACACACCTCCAACGCATTTAAGTTTTATTAAATGCCCCTCTCTCTTTTTTAGACAGGGGGATTTATTTGAGAGTGACCCTTTATTTTCTCAGATCATTTACGGTAATTCATTCAGTCTCAATTTATGAACAAAAAACATAGGATTGTGGTCGGGCAGGAATTAAACTCCGATCACATAAACGGTATATTTTCCGGGTTTTATAACCAGTTTCCTCCAATAATTGTGCTGTCATGAAGGGGGATGGGTATGGTTTGAGGTCAGTAGGGTGGGTCCGGCGCCAAAATGTAACTGCCGAATTCTCGGCACGGCTGTGAGTTAAGGTAACTTATTTATCCTGTTTGTTTACCTTGTCTCCAAAAAAGAAGCTCTTGCCTTCTTCTCGGCTTTTGAGAATAGCTTCAAATTTGCCAAGCCGCTCAGGAAGAGTAGTCAAGAAAAACTTCGTCATTAGCTCCTTCTAAAATAGAGATACCGGTAAATATGGTCAGACATTCTTAGAAAAAATAACGAAAGGCAGTCACACCTTTGTCGAATATCACGTGATAACAGATTGGGAAACAACCGATTAACTTTCTTCTTTTTTTTGGATGGCCTATCCGGTCAGAAGTTAAAATGATCAAAGACTAGTAGAGTCGGTTAACTAAATAAAAACAAGTTTCTTTTTAATTTTTCGATAATGTTATTGTTTTTTAATGAGAATGGACGATTGTCCATAGAGGGGTTCCCAAATAGGGTTCTTCTATCCCGTAAACCCGTACCAAATTTCACGCAATCCAATAGTCCCGATAGTTATTTTCAACATCCCGCATCCAGCTGTGTATAGAGAGGTTAAGCATCACGTTTACTTCAGACGGCAAAAGCGAACTTGTACCACGTGACTAAGTTACTGTTCATTATTTCTACGCATAAATTAGTAGTTTCACGCAATTTTTTATCCATAGGAATTGTTTTGAGCTGTTTTTATCTGCTGATTTTCTATTTCGAGAAATCCTCAACTTGAATCTGACGTTTGCCGGAAGCTTAAACTCTCTAATAATTTCAATCCAGAATCTCACCCTCGTTTTGCTTTAAAATCCCGAATGCCGAAAATCCTCCTGGACACCCTCGATAGAAGCTTCTTTTCCAACACCCGGGGTAGCCTGCGCCACAGACGAAACTAAACTCTGGTTAAGTTCGTCTACGAAACAGCTCCGAAATCCTTATTTTGGGCCCGGCCCACCTGTATACCAGGAGTTGAGTATGCGCCATGATTAGCCTGTTAAGAAAGCTTCTAGAGAGCTTTAGATTCTAAGAAGAGGACGACTACGTATGAGTACGAGATTTTCTCCATACTGAGTAGTGCACGCGCGTAAACTAGCGTCATTTTGGCGGGAAAACGTGATTGACGTCGTCATTCTACTACGAGTTTTAGGGAAAGTTCATTTAATATGACAAGGGGGGGGGATGAAGATATTGAGGGGGGGCTCCGAAATTTTTAAGAAACCCGAAGGGGGGGCTCTGAAAAAATTGTTGCGCTAGGAGGGGGGCTCCGAAAATTTGTATACTTCAAAACCAACACATGACGTCATCATACAGATCGGATGGTTTTCAACTCAACAATTTAATGACCAGTGCAACTCAGCTATATCACGTGGTTTACAGATATAAGAAATGTAGTCTCAGTAATTATTACACTCTTGTTCATCCCAAAAATGCTTTAGAAAATTGTATCACAACTGTATCTCAAGTTTGTCATAGTATAAACCATTGAAGACAATAACGGTAAATATATTTAATACAGTCTAGCGATCTTTTTTTCAGGGAGCAAAGGAATTGAAGGAGGAGGGGGGGGCTCTGAAATTTTTTTCGACTACCAAGGAGGGGGCTCCGGGCTCCTAAAAATTGAACCGCTAGCGAGGGGGCTGCTAAAATTTCAAGCTTCGAGTTTCAATATCTTTCCCCCCCCTCCTTGTCATATTAAATGAACTTTCCCTTACAAGAATGTCGTGGTAGCGGAAACGAGTCATAAAGTGTTGGAGGTCTTATCATTTTGCGGCTGAGAGATAACTTAACCTCCCTATCAATAAAGAAAAAAAATTCATTATTTTTTTGGTGAAAAAGAAGTGCAATGAGGCTTTCCGGGGGGTCAATTATTTAAGAATACGCGAAAAAACTTTAAACCAAATCTCGTACTCGTAGTCGTTCTCGTCCTAGAATCTAAAAGTCTCTATTGTCAATTTGCCAATCAGCATGAAAGGAAATTCGAAACGGATTTCCGGTAATTCGTTGAGTCTGTTGGGAGCACAGAACAAGAATCGCGTCCCTGCTTCGCAGACGTTACTAACCGAGGTTAAATTACCTCTGCGAAGCAGACTAGTCTAATGTTCAACTTTAAAGTTCAGCTTCTTACCCTTTTATATACCATTTTTTGACAGAAAATGGACCACTTTCTTAAACCTACTGACAAATGATACTCCTTACACATGCCTATTTTACAGCTTTTCATCCCGGCTTTTAAAATACAAATGCACTACTGTCCTTAAATATGACTAAATCACAAAACCAGGACGTTTTTCAACTTTTTTACAACCATTAAATGCATCCTCAAGCCGTTTTCATATACTTCAAATGGTAAAACCCCGACCATTTCACATTGCTGAAACCTTAAAAAAGGTACCCCTTTCGGGTGGAGCCTCCCCGTATGGGCCATGATAGGGAGTATCCCACCCCCGCCCCCCCGGACACTAGGGAGCTTTAGCATCGACGACGGCAACGGCAGCGAAAACGTCAGTTTTAAAATGAATTCCCGTCTTTTCAATCTTTGTCGCGTTTGTTCCAATTTGCTGAAAATGGCAAATTCAGGCGAATTTCCCTGGAGTTGATTTCTTGAGGACCGCACTCAAGTTTAGAGAGAGAAAAAGAGATTCGTCGTGGCTTGTTCACGTCCTCCATAAAACTTGCAATTAGGCATTTTCACGTCGTAGCCGTGCAAGGACGGTAAAGAAATTTACCAACAAAAAAAAGCATGATGCACGTGCAGAGTTGTTGTTTTGCCAATCTAAACCTATTGATTTTTCAACGTCCTCGTTGCCGTCGCCGTCGTCGTTGCTAAAGCTCTCTAGTCTATTAAAGTTGAAGAATCATACCTTTTTTCCCTCATCTTTCTCAAAGTGTCCTTTGGCCAAATCATTCCGCAGATCATTAACACCATCATGGATCATATCAGCAAGTGCTTCGTCAAAACTGTCCGATGGACTCAAAGCTGACAAGTAAAGTGGAACCTCGATATCACGAACCTCTATATAACCAAGTCCTCGGTATAACGAAAATTTCTTCATCCTAGCAATAGCAAAATAATTATATCAAAAAGAACCTCCATGTAACGAAACATCGGTATAGCAAGCAAATTTTGCCAGTCCCTTGGCCCTTCGTGACGTCGAGGTTCCACTGTACATTTATAAAAATCAGACACGAACAGAGGGTTGTAGGTTCAATTCCTGTCGGGTATTCAGAGTTTTCTTTGTCCTGTGCTCCTGACATGAGGGTTGTCCAATACTCACAAATAGACTCCATTGGTGTTAGTAGTGATAAGAATGGTCTCCATTGGTACCAATGGTACGATTGGTACCAATAGAAAAGCATCCTATTCCAATGGTTCTATTGGTGAATATGCATCTCATTAAGCAGACTTAGATTATTTTCGCATGTGACCTGGTTGGGTACAGGGCAATTCCAATGGTCCATTGGTACCAATGGTACGATTGGTACCAATGGAAAAGCACCCTATTCCAATGGTTTTGTTCGTGAATATGCATCTCATTAAGGAGACTTAGATTATTTTCTCATGTGGTCTAGCTGGGTACAGAGCAATTCCAATGGTCCATTGGTACCAATGGTACGATTGGTACCAATAGAAAAGCACCCTATTCCAATGGTTCTGTTGGTGAATATGCATCTCATTAAGCAGACTTAGATTATTTTCGCATGTGACCTGGTTGGGTACAGGGCAATTCCAATGGTCCATTGGTACCAATGGTACGATTGGTACCAATGGAAAAGCACCCTATTCCAATGGTTTTGTTCGTGAATATGCATCTCATTAAGGAGACTTAGATTATTTTCTCATGTGGTCTAGCTGGGTACAGAGCAATTCCAATGGTCCATTGGTACCAATGGTACGATTGGTACCAATAGAAAAGCACCCTACTCCAATGGTTCTATTGGTGAATATGCATCTCATCAAGGGGACTTAGATTATTTGCTCATGTGGTCTGGCTGGGTACAGGGCAATTCCAATGGTCCATTGGTACCAATGGTACGATTGGTACCAATAGAAAAGCATTCTATTCCAATGGTTCTATTGGTGAATATGCATCTCATTAAGGAGACTTAGATTATTTTCCCATGTGACCTGGTTGGGTACAGGGCAATTCCAATGGTCCATTGGTATCAATGGTACGATTGGTACCAATGGAAAAGCACCCTATTCCAATGGTTCTATTGGTAAATATGCTTCTCATTAAGGAGACTTAGATTATTTTCTCATGTGGTCTAGCTGGGTACAGGGCAATTCCAATGGTCCATTGGTACCAATGGTACGATTGGTACCAATGGAAAAGCACCCTATTCCAATGGTTTTGTTGGTGAATATGCATCTCATTAAGGAGACTTAGATTATTTTCTCATGTGGTCTAGCTGGGTACAGAGCAATTCCAATGGTCCATTGGTACCAATGGTACGATTGGTACCAATAGAAAAGCACCCTATTCCAATGGTTCTATTGGTGAATATGCATCTCATTAAGGGGACTTAGATTATTTGCTCATGTGGTCTGGCTGGGTACAGGGCAATTCCAATGGTCCATTGGTACCAATGGTACGATTGGTACCAATAGAAAAGCACCCTATTCCAATGGTTCTATTGGTGAATATGCATCTCATTAAGGGGACTTAGATTATTTGCTCATGTGGTCTGGCTGGGTACAGGGCAATTCCAATGGTCCATTGGTACCAATGGTACGATTGGTACCAATAGAAAAGCATTCTATTCCATTGGTTCTATTGGTGAATATGCTTCTCATTAAGGAGACTTAGACTATTTTCTCATGTGGTCTAGCTGGGTACAGGGCAATTCCAATGGTCCATTGGTACCAATGGTACGATTGGTACCGATGGAAAAGCACCCTATTCCAATGGTTCTATTGGTGAATATGCATCTCATTAAGAGAGTTAGATTATTTTCTCAAGTGGTCTAGCTGGGTACAGGGCAATTCCAATGGTCCATTGGTACCAATGGTACGATTGGTACCAATGAAAAAGCACCCTATTCCAATGGTTCTATTGGGAAATACGCGTCTCATTAAGGAGACTTAGATTATTTTCTCATGTGGTCTAGCTGGGTACAGGGCAATTCCAATGGTACGATTGGTACCGATGGAAAAGCACCCTATTCCAATGGTTCTGTTGGTGAATATGCTTCTCATTAAGGGGACTTAGATTATTTTCTCATGTGGTCTAGCTGGGTACAGGGCAATTCCAATGGTCCATTGGTACCGGTGGTACTATTGGTACGAATAGAAAAGCAACCTATTCCAATGGTTCTATTGGTGAATATGCATCTCATTAAGAGAGTTAGATTATTTTCTCAAGTGGTCTAGCTGGGTACAGGGCAATTCCAATGGTCCATTGGTACCAATGGTACGATTCGTAGCAATGGAAAAGCACCCTATTCCAATGGTTCTATTGGTGAATATGCATCTCATTAACGAGACTTATTAAGGGGACTTAGATTATTTTCTCATGTGGTCTAGCTGGGTACAGGGCAATTCCAATGGTCCATTGGTACCAATGGTACGATTGGTACCAACAGAAAAGCACCCTATTCCAATGGTTCTATTGGTGAATATGGATGTCATTAAGAGAGTTAGATTATTTTCTCATGTGGTCTAGCTGGGTACAGGGCAATTCCAATGGTCCATTGGTACCAATGGTACGATTGGCCTCATCGCAAGCTACAGCCGAGAAAAGAGCACGGCAAATACAATTTGTCAAGGACAACGTTGACATTAAATACATCAATGGTTTTACTACGACCTTGATTATAGCACGACAAACCCCACGTCAACAGTCAAAAGTGACTTCAGTCACTTGAATATAAAACGGCTCTCTTAGGAGCAATAGCATGATATAACCACCCTTTTCGGAAACTCTTCATTGAAAACTTGTTTTGGTTTAAACGCTTCCTTGTAGATAATGAAATTGCGCTAAGAAATTTCAGAAGTTAATTTCACAGTGAGTTGAGTACATGCAGTTGTTAAAACCTGTTGCCTCAATACCACTTTGCTAGTTTCGCGCCTTTCCGCGTTGTTTCGGGTTCTTTTAACAAGTAAGAATTACCGAAAAATAGTGCTTGCGTACAGGAAAGAAGACATTCATATGTCATGTTGTTGTTTGCTCGTGAATGACAATAAACAGAACGAACACGACAGTGACGCGTTACCTTTCAATTTTAATGTTCGTACGATGTTTGTTATACTCGCAGCATCTTGAGATATTATTAGCGCTAGATATATAGGTCGCCCTCGCTTTGTAACTATTAGCGCGTTTCTACTTTGTGTGAAAGCGAACTTGTTTTGCGCGGTTAGCATATAGAGCGAGGAATATTCATAAGAATTATGGCGCGTTTTTAATTGGTGTAACAGCGAACTTGTTTTGCGTGGTTGGCTTATAGAACGAGGAATATTCATAATAATTATTAGCGCGTTTTTACTTAGTGTAAAAGGCAACTTGTTTTGTGTGGTTGGCTTATAGAACGAGGAATATTCACAATAATTATTAGTTCGTTTTTACTTGGCGTAAAAGCGAACTTGTTTTGCATGGTTGGCTTATAGAACGAGGAATATTCATAATAATTATTAGCGCGCTTTTACTTGGTGTAAAAGCGAACTTGTTTTGTGTGGTTGGCTTATAGAACGAGGAATATTCATAATAATTATTAGCACGTTTTTACTTGGTGTAAAAGCGAACTTGTTTTGCGTGGTTGGCTTGTAGAACGAGGAATATTCATAAGAATCATAGCGTGCTTTTACTTGGTGTAAAAGCGAACTTGTTTTGCGTGATCGGGATATAGAACGAGGAATATTCATAAGAATTATAGCGCGCTTTTACTTGATGTAAACTTGTTTTGTGTGGCTGGCTTATAGAACGAGTAATATTCATAAGAATTATAGCGCGCTTTTACTTGGTGTAAAAGCGAACTTGGTTTGCGTGGTTGGCTTATAGAACGAGGAATATTCATAATAATTTTTAGCGCGTTTTTACTTGGTGTAAAAACGACCCTTTTTTGCATGGTTGGCTTATAGAACGAGGAATATTCATAATAATTATTAGCACGTTTTTACTTGGTTTTAAAGCGAACTTGTTTTGCATGGTTGGCTTATAGAACGAGGAATATTCATAAGAATCATAGCGCGCTTTTACTTGGTGTAAAAGCGAACTTGTTTTGCGTGATTGGGATATAGAACGAGGAATATTCATAAGAATTATAGCGCGCTTTTACTTGATGTAAAAGCGAACTTGTTTTGCGTGGTTTTCTTATAGAACGAGGAACGTTCATAATAATTATTAGCGCGTTTTCACTTGGTGTAAAAGTGAACTTGTTTTGCACCAATAGAACCATTGGAATGGCATCATTTTCCATTGGTACCAATCGCACCATTGGTACCAATGGACCATCGGAATTGCCCTGTACCCAGCCAGGTCACATGGGAAAATAATGTAAGTCCCCTTAATTAGATGCATATGCACCAACAGAACCATTGGAATAGGGTGCTTTTCTATTGGTACCAATCGTACCATTGGCACCAATGGACCATCAGTTTGACGAATCGTATCCGTTTGTGTTTATTGGACATGTGTGCCTGACATCGTGCACGTGATCACATCATTTCTCATATCACAAATCGTTTGAAATCAGGGTTTGAAATAGCCTGCGCCTGGTTCTCAGATAATAGGGACAGGGTGAAAACAAGGTCATTGGAAACAGGAAACGCGGGATCTAGAAAAGGGGAGTGGGGGTAGCAGGGGATTGGGGCGGGGGGACGCATTTCACTAGCCTGTTCCAGAACGCTGCACCGTACTATCTGAACCGCTGGAACAGGCTTTCATAAACCTAGTTAACAACATCTGATCCCTCTTCATTGCTGTAACAGCACTGTCTTAAAAATATGAATGAGTCACAAAACCAGAACAGTGTCCCTTTTGGGTGGAGCCTCCCAATATAGGCCCCCCTGCTGGGCTAGCAGTGCTCAAATTCAAAGAATTTTACTCATTGTCACTCATTGGTTCAAAAATTGGTTCTGCTACAGGGACACCATTTCACTTCCATGGGACGTTATCGAGACCCACCTTTACCAATCCAAACAACAATGCAAAGTAAATATAGTGGAACCTCTACTTTGGGACACCTCTTTTCAAGAGAAACCTCCATTCATGGGACACAAAATTTGGTCTTGGAAAAATGTTCTCATATTAATCTTTGTACTTGTTACCCATGATATGAAGGGACACTTCTGTTCAAGGAAAAGTGACACCTTTCCTAGGTCCCCAAACCTAGGATTAACCTCAATTCAGGTACAGTGGAACACTGCCTTATGGCCGCTTCATTATTATGGCCAGTTTTTTTTGGCCTAGCAAGACGGCCATACATTTCCTTATAAAAAACCCCCTTTAATGCGGTCCCCCATTAATACGGCCAATGGCCACATATTAAAATCCCAAACAGTACAGTGCACTTCCGTTAATTTGAACCTTCAAGGGAAATAGAAAAAAATTCAAGTTATCGAGAGTTTGAGTTATCGAGGGTAAAATTATATTAGAAAATGATCTGAAGGGAAATGAAAATTGCTTCGCGTTAGTGGGAGGTTCGAGTTATAGAGGTTTAAGTTACCGGGAGTCGACGGTAGAATCTCTTAAAATTTCACCCCATTAAAACAGCCACTCGTTGGAAATTTAGAAAATTAAAATGCCTGTGACAAGTCAGTTTTATTGACCTAGCAATTTAAAGCTTATTCTTGTACTGTTTTCAGACTACAGTACACTTAAAATGCACTTGTGGCGATTTATAGCCAAATTTTAAAAGAGTTTCATACACCGAAGGAAAATTTTTTTGGCCCATTGGTGACTGTATCAACGGGGTTCCACTGTAGTTTAAGAATGTGTTGTATGGCCTTTCTCACTTTTAAGTGGTGCACTGGTGGGAAATCAACACACAGCTGGTAATCACGACTTTTTATACATTATTCAGGTGAAGACTGCAGCTGATTCCAAGGCAGAATGAAAAAAAAAAACACTGTGATTTTCTTAGTTGATTCATTATTAACAAACTCCAGCCCTACCTATATTCAGGGACACTTACCACAGCTCTGAGAGTGTCCCCTGAATAGAGGTCCGACTGTATATCAAGCTCTATTGGACCCATGAAATAGTCAAACTCCTATCAATTAGCCCTTACACATGACTTGTAACTTCCCTTAATAACTGTTAAAATTAGTTTCCATATGGAATGTAATTTTGTTTACCTCCTTTCTTGCAGATGTATTTCATAATTGCACCAGATTGTCCCAGGATTTTTCCTTCAGGAGTCACGAGAAATGGCATCTGACCAAGTGGTGATCTGCCAGCTAAAATTAACAAGGTAAAAAAAAAAGGTTATTCCTTTGAAAATAATGTACAGTGGAACCCTGTTAATATGGTCACCAATGGGTCAAAAAGATTTGGTCGCATTAACAGGGTGCCCTTATTATCGGGGCAGGCTCTAAAATTGGGTCGATGATCTCAAGTGAAACCTCTCGCCTGGGGCTATGCCATGCCAATGAGTCCTACAATGAAACAGCTGTCAATGGCTGCCACTAATGGGATGATATGGTTAGTTGTGTGCATACATAAGGTACTGGCCATCCTGCGGAGTTGGTATGGTGCTTCCTTGCTTTTAAAAATTGGTATGGTTTTTGAAGGTCTTTAATAGGGTATCATTTTTTCTTATCTCAAGTAATGTGCTCCCAGGGTTTTCCTTAGACTGGGTACCTAAATTGTATGAGCTAAAATTCAAGTATGCAATATTTTATGCCTAGCTACATTAGAAACAAATATTATCTGTTAAAACTGAGCTATCCCTAAGAGTGCTAGTACCGGTATTAGGAAAGCAATTTACCAGTAACAAAGGTTTGTGAGTGTTGTTATTAAAATACAGTGGAACGTCGATTTAACGAAGTGTCAAGAGACGTGAGGATTCATTATATCAAGGTTCTTTTCGATATATTTTACTATTACTGGGGTAAATAAATCATTTGTTATAACGAGGACTTCATTACATAGAGGTTCATTACATCGAGGTTCCACTGTAATTCTTGTTTTTTCCTTTTGAATAGGGTATCATTTCGGGGGGTTTGGCCTTTATTTTGCTTGTCTCATTCTCAAATAGTGTCAGGGTAAGTACCCAGGGTGGCACACACCTATCCGAAATTTCTGGGAGTACCCCCAACCCCCACCCCAGGGTTCTCGCCCTGCTACGAAGGTGTTGTCTCCCGAAGAGAAGAGCACAAGACAAGCTTCTTTATAAAGTTTTTGTTGTTGGAGGTTGATTCATAATTTGGTCCCAACCTTTTACTTTTAATATGCACGCTTTGTCCTTTACTTATTCTTCTCTCTTAAAAAATAAAGCATCATGTAAGCTTTAATAATAGTAATGGAGATTGTAATCGCACGAAAGTGTATAGAAGTCTATGCTGTGCAAGTGATTAATGTTGCATAACGACTGCAGTGTTTGTTTCAACTTCCATAAACCCTGACTAACTAACTTCTAATTTTCTTAACTTACATGCTTTTTCCTCGGCCCATTCTTCGACGCTCAATCGAACATCTTCGAAATCAATTTTAGCAACTGCAAAAGCCCATCTGGCCATTTCTGCTCTACCACGGCCTGGGAAATAGTAAAGCTGGTAACCAGCAGACATCTTCTTCTTTTTCTTTTTACTTTTGTACACCTCAAGTGAAACACTGCTTAGCCTGTCGAAACCTTGAGCTACATCTTAGCCGAACTATAATGTTTGGTTTTGAAATGACTCGGCGTTTAGCTCATACCCAGGCCCTGACAGTAAGCGCTTCACTTGAGTCACGCAACTCTCCCGGATAATCCTGGAGACCACAGGTAGCCCAAGCTCGAAATATGAGCATCGGCGAACATCGACATTGTGTATGGGAAAAAAACCTATCGTTTCTGTAACGTACGAAAATGAAAGGATTTCAATAAACAACAGCTTACCTTACTTAAAATGTGTGTTACGTCTCTCCTGTGTGGTCCACGGGCCGATTTATGACCGTTTTATGGGTTTTCATGTAAACGATTTTCTCTCTCAGTAAAGGTTTACCTACCCTGCGAGCAGAGGCCCTTCGATTTTCCTAGATAAGTCGGGAAGAGGAAGGATCTTGGAAGATCGAAGGGCCACTGCTCGCATGGTAAGGTTTACCTTTATATAGAGAGAAAAAGGTTGGGAGACTCCAGTTTTGTGATCATATCTCCTGTCTCCAGATTAGAGTCTGAAAGCTCAAGGTTAATTTTATCATTTCTTATAGACTCGACCTTCCGACCGATAAAATTTCAAATTTTTTGCATTAATATAACAGCTAGGGTGGCAAGGAGGTTCTATCATCCCTTCGGCCTATCAAGTCAATATTTAAAGCCTTGGGGGGTTGACAGCCATGTTAAAAGGGAAATTTTAACTATTGCGATTGTATTGCAAGAGGCCACATGGATATTACGATAGTTCTACGATAGTAGAGGTACTATTGCAATTGTATTAGGATATTTTTCACGAATGATCTGTTTTTACTTCATGCCTCTTATACTTTAAGAGATAACTATACGAAGCAGTGATCATACAATACTGGTACTATGCTGTTCAAAAATCAAGACGCTAAAGCATTCTAGGAGCAGTAGGGCGGTAGATTGTTTTTAGTTTCTTTTTTACGGTTATTGTCAACTTAAGAATCAAAGATGGCTTCAAAAGGTGCCTTTATTTTCCAAAGAAGTCAAAATGGTAGAAGTATAGAAACTATCGATAGTTCGCTACACTATCGCGATTGCTATCGATTTTTCATTTTTGCTATCGATCCATCACTATCGCAGCGTTAATATCGTGATTTTGTCGATAGTTAGATATTCCCTAGTCCCTAGGCGTCATTATTCCGCGCGTGCAAAGCGTTTCGGGTCACGTGGTCCAAGCGAAGATGTGAGACAGAGACTAGGCAAAGTTCGATAAGCCTTAGAACGCAGTGGGAGCCTCTAAGGAAGAGGGAAAGCCCCAGCGGGGGATACTGCGGATTGCAAGTGACGGGAATATTATCGAAAGGGCAAAAAATCAAAACGCCAAATAAACCCTAGCCTCCCACGCTGGCGTTTTTGGGGGAGTTCGTTTTTCATCCCTCCCCACAAACGCCTGCACAGCCGGAAACAACATTCCTTTCCCATTGTTTTATTTGCGTGGTACGTGACCAATAAACAGTTGTGCAATAAAGTGTTGACAGGCTAAACACGACTGAACGTGACCTTAGAGTTACCGTTTTCCTTCTTTTCTTTCCTTCGCTAAGGTTATGCAGTGCATGGAGTATTCTAAATTTTGACTAAATCTTATTTTTGCCGCTCTGAATCTAAAATTTATTAGAGGTCAGAAAGCTTTCCCAGTGTTTAACGCAGATCGAGTAATTATCAGATTACCTTGCGGTCAAGGTCAACTCTCCAGAATTTGGAAAGTACAATGTGATTGGGTAAGGTTGGGAAAGGAATGTTGTCTTTGGTTGAGCAGGCGTTTGTGGGGAGGGATGAAAAACGAGCTCCCCTAAAAACGCCTGCGTGGCCGGGGGAGGCTAAATAAACCCTGGACCAAAAATGAGCCCCCCCTCCCCCCCCAAAAAAAAAATTCCCGGCTGGAATTTCCGAGCCTTAAAAAATTTCCAGAAAGCATTAACTGATATAAGACGAAAAGGAAAAACATGCGGAAAAAATGTTCGCAGAACTACTTATTTTGTGTCCCTGATCCGCTTCATTGTGGAAAAAGAACTGTTGGTACCACAAATGAAGACAGCTCATGATCATCGCCACCTTTCACATTCTTTTTAAGGGTGTCGGTCCATGGCTGGGAAAGACGGTGCTGAAGAATTGAACTGGAAAATCTGCTGTTTTCCATTTCCAATTTATCTTCATTCTATCACGTATTAACTTTCTGCAATAACCACTTGAAGGAAAAGTTTTGAATACCCCATGGCGAAAAAGTCTGATATTTAAACATGAAAGGTTATTCACACCACAGAATCTCATACTTGGAAAGATAAAACAACTCGGCCTGGCCAATGATCGATTGTAATTGATGACAGGCACATCATTAGATCGTTATAAACCACGGCCGCTTTCTATTCAACAAAAAAATTCAGGTTTGAAATTTCGAAAATTCCACGTGCCCAATGGAATGGTACATTCGGGTTGCACAGACCCGACCAAAGCCAAAGCGCGTTTGGTTATTGTTCTTGTAGACAAGAACCAAACAGCGGTACTGGAGACAACAATTTTGTCAAATGGAAAGGGACAAAGGTGGTCCCAAATATTCCGGTCAGACAGAACCGAAATGGTTCTTTCCATTTGATTTCTAACCGAAATTTCGGGAATTTTGGGCTGAATGGAAAGAGACCCATATTTCCTCCAAAAACAGCAATTCTCGCATTATATAAGCTGACTTTATTTGTATCATTTTTTATTATAATAATAAGTTTACATGTGCTACATGCATCGCGTCGATTGCGGGCTCAGATCTCGGAATCGGGACGTTTCTCGACCCAGGTCTTTATTTCAGGCACGGTCAACACACGGTCGATATAAGCAACCAACAGAGGACACTTGCCGATTATCTCATCGATATCTGGCATGGGATTACCTTTAGCTTTCTGGTTGTCTATGCTAAGCTTTAAGCCGTTAGCGAATTCAACGAACGAAATGTCGGCATAGGTGAGCTGGAGAGGAAGAAAGAGGGAACAAAGAAGGGCTTAGTACAGAGCTGAGGCTTTTTAATTTGTCTGAACAAATTTGAAAATGTTATCAAGGTTTAATGATAACTACCGTAAATGATCTTATAGCCACCCACTTTCTAATAGACGCCTCTTATCCAATATACACCCCTCCAAAGCATTTAAGTTTTGTCAAACGCCCCTCTCTAACAAACGGTCCCTGTCTAATAAACATTCCACTCCCGATAAAAATTTCTCCAAAATACTAACAAAATTAATGGCGAAATGTATAGAGCAAAATCGTTTTTTCACGTCCTTGCTTGATCAAAAATGGTTGCGCATTACATCTCGTTCAATGTTAAGTTCAAAGTAACTAGCGCTCTTTGATCTTTTTGATCTCTTTGCTCAGTATGTCAGCAATTATCCTGTACCTAAAATTTTTACTCCACTTTCAGAGTTAAATTAACTCCAAAAAGAGTAAAAACAACCCATGTAAGGAGTACAAGTAACCCCATTTCGGAGTGATTTTCACTCCAGACTGCGAGTAAAAAGAACTCTTTTTCAGGAGTAAAAATGACCCCAAATTCGGAGTTAAATTAGGAGTTAAAATAGACCCAAAAAAGGGGTTATCCAGTACCTAAAATTTTTACTCCATTTTTGGAGTTATAATAACTCCCTAAAAATTACGGTGTGCGCAGCAGTGTTAACGAGTGTCAAAAAATGGAAGGACTGGAGTTTTGCCGAAAGCAAACCGTATCAGTTTTGTCTAGTTCGTTGCAGTAACAAGAATAAACGCCTGTCTTTTTGAAACGTCTCATATCTATTAAACGCACCCGCTTGGACCCCTAAAATTAAATTGATCTATCAGATCGTTTACGGTATTTTCTTTTCACAACGAAGTCCATATAAACTATGACTCTAGATATGACACTTTTCAACTTCCTTCTGTAGAACTAACTTTACTTTCCAAATCTTTATGCGTTCTTTCATAGCTTAAGGAAACGAAAATGGTCTGTTTTTGCAAGATGGCATCGCTCAAATTAAAATTCTCTTATGACAAGTGATTTCTACTCGACCCTCTGACTTTTACCATCATAGTGAATCAAGTGGAATGGTTTTGAAGCCCAAAAGAGTTCTTTGATATCGGTCTTTTTTTTTTCAGCTTTTTTGGACTTAACGGTGCACAAAGTTCAATAGTATTCCTATCATTTCATGATCTTATCGACCAAAGAAAAATGTCGCATGAAACCCCGTCCAGCGGTCCGGGGCAAGAAGATTTTCTTGCTGGACAAGTTTTAGAAAACAGTAGCCCAATGGGCAAAGGTCTAGGCCAGTCCCTGTAACAAAACCATTAACTAAGTCGAGCAAGAAGTGGCCCCGGGCAAACAAAATGTGAAAACTGCTTGCCCAAAGGACAAGCTGAAATTCAAGTTTATTTTTCCCGAGTCCTGATTTAATAGTTCATTCAGTCTCAATTTACGACAAAAAAACAAAGGATTGTGAACGGTCAGGAAGCTCCCAACACATAAACTGCAGCACCGTCGGTTGTTTTCATCTTTGATATTTGCCGGCGTTCATAACCAGTTTCTTTCACTAACTATGTTGTCACGAATGGGTTGTGATGGGGGATGGGTCAGGGTTTGAGGTCAGTAGGGTGGGTCGGGCGCCAGGATGGAACTGCCAAATTCTCGGCACGGCTCTGAGTTAAGGTTACTTATTTATCCTGTTTATTTACCTTGTCTCCAAAAAAGAAGCCCTTGCCTTCATCTCGGCTTTTGAGAATAGCTTCAAATTTGCCAAGCCGCTCAGGAAGAGTAGTCAAGAAAAACTTCGTCATAAGCTCTACCTAAAATAGAGATAAATTTAAAATGAGTTTCCACATGCACGGCGCGCGCGCGCCGGGTTTAGGTGGGCGTTGACTGGCCTACTCCGTCAGAAGTCAAAATAGCTAGAGTCGGGTAACTCATTAAAAACAAATTACTTTTAAGTTTTCGACCATGTTTCTAAAAAAGAATGGACGATTTTTTATCTCGAGCCTTATCTCGCGCAATCCCGTAATCCCGAGGGTTATTTTCGACACCCCGCATCCCGCCCGTACTTTCAATTCCGAGTCTCGCCATCGTTTTGCTATAAAATTCCGAATCCCGGCTTTCATGTAAGGCAAATTCCGTTTGCCCAAAAAACCTATTAGCCATCCTAAATAGAGGCTTTTTTTCTAACTACTAGTCCCTGGGAAGTGCTAATCAACTAAGTTTAACCCCTTACCCTTTCATCCACCATTTTTGACAAAAAAGAGATCCCTTTCTTAAACCTTTTATTGACAAATGGCACACCTTTCACATACCTAGTTTAGACCTTTGCATCCCGGCTTTTAACTGCTGTAAACGCAATGTCTTTCGAATATGAATAAACTAAAAAAAACAGAACGTTTTCTTGACTTTTTCCTCAGCCATGAAATCCATCTCTAAGCCCTTTTGAGCCCTTTTACAGACCAATAATACAGATTTCCCTACACCTTTCATATACTTCAAAGAGTAAAATTCCTTACCTTTTCACTGAGCCCATAACCCAAAGTGAGCAACTCCCATACTAGGCCTTTACGGCGTTTTTACGGACCAGTTTATTTATAGACAAATTTTAGGGCACTTTTTCCCGCGAAAATAGAATCTCCAGCATGTCTATGAGCACATTCGAAGTATAAGATATCAAAAAGGAACACTAATTAAAAGGCAACAAATGTAATTTTCAGGTCTGTAGGTTTTACTGACTGGTTTGTGGAATTTATAAGATTCAAAATTCGCGCCAAACCGTTCTAAAAATAACCTGGTCTGTGACAACGCCGTGACACGAGCGCATGGAAGTTGCTCGCTGCCGGTTATGGGCCCCTGATGGCTGAAGTCCCCCAAACGTACCCCTTCGGGTGGAGTATCCCACCCCTGGGATACTAGTCAAGCTGTGGAATCATACCTTTTTTGTCTCATCTTTCTCATGGTGTCCTTTGCTCAAATCATTTCGCAAATCATAAACACCATCATGGATCATATCAGCAAGTGCTTCGTCAAAACTGTCCGATGGACTCATACCTGACAAATATATTGGAAATGGTTCGAAATCAGGATTTGAAAACAAGAGCAACGTAGCAAGGACAGCCTTTTGGCCAAATTCCCCCCCCACCCTGTTTCATAGTAACAGTCCCAGACGTCTTTGCGAAAGTTAACTCGGGCCCAGTTTCCTGCTCGTTTCTGAATTGATGAATTGCCTCACCACTGCTTGCAACAGCCGCCCCCAGGGTACATCCTGCGCAACATTTGCTGTACGACTACCCCATGGTGGAGGAGGGGTTTGAAACCTTGACCATGATTAGGACAAAAAAATCCTAAAATACATACCCGATTTAGGACAACACCCTCAATTTTAATACCCTGTTTAGAACAAAGGACAAAACGCACGCCGTCTTGTTTTAACTAAGCCTTTTATGGGCAATTGCTATAGAGCATTTGTCTACGAAATTCATCTAGGAATCGTTTTGGTCCGGGACTGGACTTTAACACGAAATTTCGTAAAATTTGTTCGCTAAAGATCGAAAAATTGTTTTTTTTTTTTCTGTTTTGGCACGCAAACCTGTGAAAGGTAGACAAACGTTAACGGTGGATTATAATTCATTGCGGAATTAATTGCGCTCAATGTAGCACATATAGGAGGTTCTCATGCTGACCGTGATCTACGCCAGTGATAGTCTTTCTTCAAGGGTAATAGGCTGTTACGTAAAGAAGCTCCCAAAATGATCAATTACAGCATTAGCAAAAATCCAACACCTAATTTTAAAGAGGGAAGGAAGGTTTTACCAAGAGGTGCTATTATGATCTCCTGGTTGTAAACGGTCTTGAACAAATGAGAGGGTGGTTTAAAGGGTATTTTCGTGGCTCAAGATCGGCCCTATTTTTTTGTCCTGAAATGTGTAATGGCTATTTTAATGGCTATTTTTTTTCTCGTGAATCACGATTTTGAAAGATTTTTTTACTAATAGGCCTTCAGACGAGATTCTCATAATGCCCGTTATTTTTGTGAATTGTGAAAGGACCGTTTTATTTCCGGAGAAACGTGATCGAGACCCCATCTTTACCACCAACAAACAGCAACGCGAAGTATATAAATCATGCTGTATTCTACCCGATTAGTCAAACCTCTTCCAGGGGCGTGGCTAGCCTTTCGACTAGTTGTAGGCCTGGCTGACTTTCATTTCCACATATCCTGAAAATGCACGCATAAAAACTAGTACGCACTGACCTAACCAACACTTTCAGCTCTTAAGCTTTTTAGCGCATCCCGACAACTCATAATTTATTACAAGCGGTAGAGTGATCAAGACAAAAATTGGTAGGCCCCGGCCTACAGGTCTATGAGCTGGCTATGCCCCTGCCTTCCAACAAACCCTTACACATGACTCCTAAATTTCCTTAACTCAATGAAATAAGTTACTGTAAGTTACTGTTATTTACCTCCTTTCTTGCAGATGTATTTCATAATTGCACCAGACTGGGCAAGAACTTTTCCTTCAGGAGTCACAAGAAATGGCATCTGACCAAAGGGTGCTCTGCCAGCTAAAATCAATAGCAAAAAATCTTCGTTCTTTTACAACATTTGATGTTTCTGTTTTGCCAGCAAATTTGGGTTAACAATAATTATGCTATGGGTGCAAGCCATTTAACCCCCCCCAGGGGGAGGGGGGGGGAGAAGAGTGACCACCACATATTTATACAGAGAGGCCCCATCCTGAGGTCTGACCCCCACCCTTTTATACACCATTTCTGACACAAAAGGTACCCATCCCTTTCTACTGCAGTAAATGCACCAGTGTCTTTCAAATATGAATAAATCCCAAAAACAGAAAGTTTATTTTCTTGACTTTTTCACACCCTTAAAATGTTCTATCTGTGGCCCTTTTGGCCCTTTTTACAGTCCAAAGTGGAAGATTTCCCTACCATTTCATATACTTCAACTAGTGAAATCCTACCCTTTCATATACCTGGTCCCTGAAAAAGGTATCCCTTTTGGGCGGAGCCCCCCGGTAGAGGCCATTGTAGGGCACAGTGGGGGTGAGATTTGGGATTGAGAGTATCCAGAAGATGCAGTAGTTTCAAAAAGTATTTTAATCAGTACTGCTGTGATTCTTGTTTTGAAACACTATATTTGATACTTTGGTTAAAAGCCCAGCCCTTCTAAGACCCCTTATAAAGTTCTATATAAAGCTCAGGGCTTATGAGCGGAAGTTTTAGAAAGTACTTCAACAATCCAAAAAAAGAAAAATAGTATAATATCACTGTCAGGTATCCAAAAGTATTAGTAGAGCAATTTCAAAGGCCCTTGTATATTAGTCTATTAAAATGCCCAGCCAATACACTGAGCAGCATAATGATTAACTGCCCTGCATGAGTGGCCATAATTAAGGGATCAAAATTCAATGATTCACACAATACAGGTTGTATTCATTGTCATTTCACAATAACTTAATAGACCTCAGTGATCATTAGCAACCATTCAATATTTCTGTAAATTATTGTAGATTTCTTTACTTTCAGGTCAACTTTATGATTCAAAAGAATTTTTGGCTATGCAAGTAAACAGCTAGTCTAGTTGAGGACCAACTAACGTAAAGACAAATGACTAAATGTAAATAAATTGCAAGTCATTTTGGAATATGAGGTGTATATTTGTGATATTTGACCTCGAGGAAATGGAGCATGAAAACTCAGAAAGCATGACAAAGAAGTTTGTTTCAGCTGACAGCTCGTGGAACTAGCTTTAAAAATCGCGAAATCGTGCTCATTTAAGGGCCTGTTTATATGCCGTGAGCAAGCCTAGTTAGCCAGGCTGGCCTATTCAAGCCTAATGCTTCCTTAAAAAAACTACTTTATGTTTATATGAGAAGGTGGGCTGGCCCACCTTGCCAAGATCCCAGTTGCTCTAGCCGAGATCTTGGCAAGGGGGCCAGCCAGTGCCTCGACCTTCTATAAACACAACGGAAATTTTAAGAGGACACAAGGTATGAGCCAAGGCAGCTTATATCATCTTAAAATTGTTGCTGTGTTTATATGAGCAGGCAGGCTGGCCAACTTGTAGGGGTATAGAATGGTTTCTCGAAAAAAGTGGGTCTTGGAAAATTTTGCCCGATCTAAAAATCTCGGCAAGCGGGCTAGCCTGCCTCCTCATATATATGCTCGACTAAAACTTTAAGAGGAAACAAGGCATGAACTGAGGCATCCTGGTACAGCACCTGATCTCATATGTAACAGGCCCTAGGACTGCACAAAGATTCGTTTAGAGGTCTCGCCCTGCTACATTTTAAATGTCACGAAACAAAGGAGTTTCTCTGGAAGAGAAGATGGAATCAAGAATCACCCATTAATTAAGTTGTTGGAGGTCAATTCATCTCAAGCTTTATGAAAGTTTCAATCTAACCTTCAACTGACAAGCTTTTACCGTTATAACCATGCATTCTTCTTTCTTGAAAATCGAACGCAAGCTTATAAACTGTACCAGGTTTATTCAACAACAACAACAACAGTTTATTCAAGTGTGGAAGATCAGTCACGAAACTGAAACTTATTTAAGTTACATGCACAAGACTGCTGTGTTCGCTTCAACTTCCATAAAGCTTTAAGAAACTTTTCGAAAGAAATTCACTAATTGATTCTAATTTTTGTACTTACACGCTTTTTCCTTAGCCCATTCTTCGCCACTCAATCGAACATCTTCGAAGTCAATTTTAGCAACTGCAAAAGCCCATCGGGCCATTTCTGCTCTACCACGGATTGGAAAATAGTAAAGCTGGTAACCAGACATCTTTGTCTTCTCACTATTTTTTTCTCTCGTTAATCAGGACTGCACACCTCGAGTTCCAGAGCACCACTTAGCTCGTCAAACATTTTATCAAGCTTATGTTTTCTTTCCATGACTCAGCGGTTAGCTAATGCCCAGGCTCCGGACAGCAATCGCGGTCACTCCAAGTCACGCAAGCAATGTCCTGTGGAACTCTCTACATATTAGGGGAAGAGTGTCACGGTGGTGTGTGAGGGCTGAATATAGACAGTCTGAGAAAAGCTGACAGAAAGCCCAGTGGGGTGCTACGAATTTCAAGTGACGGGGATGATGGAAGGATTTTATTGCACAGGCCGCCCAAATTCTGTGGGAGTTCGTTACACTTTTAATTTATAAGAGAATGTATGAAAATAAACAAAATACGTCCTAAGTTCAATTTTTGACAAAAATGGAAATATTAATGACTTACCTTGTGTTTTTGTTTTATATTTACTGTCGGCTTCGCCTCTAGAGCTATTTGGAAGCCGTTTTATCGACGTTTAATCTTAAAGGCGTAAGGGGTTGCACCTCGGGGAGGAGCCTGAGGCTACGTGCAAGCGGACGCCACAACTCCAAACATTGTTGCGCAAACAATGTTGAGAGTTGTTGCGTGTGTGTTGGCAGTGGTGTGCAAACGGATGCAACAACTCCCAAGAAGAGTTTAACTAGAAAGAGCGCTTTTGAAGTTTTCCTCCAATAAAATGAGACCTTATTTTGGGGTAAATCATTTCTTTTTAGGAAGACTGAGATAATCATGACTGACAATAAAGCCAGTCATGTCAAATATTATAAACATTATAACAGTTATTATAAATTACGCACAAATTCGAGAAAACATAGTTTATAACAACCAGTAACCAGTAAATCACAAATAATATTTATTCTATGCTCCTGTTCTAACTTTATTTGTACACAGTTGTGCCCACGTTCATATGCCATAAGTAGAGCGAATTTCGCATGACCTTGAAAAATGGTTTCGGTAAGTGTTCGTTATTTGTTTTATCAGCCAATGGATGAAAAGATCAAAACATGGACTCTTTGTTTTCCCGCCAAAAAATCCTAATATGGAGAAGGTATTGTTCGATTGGCCAATCGTGCTGCAGTATGACGTCAAAGCGAAGTATCGATTGATTTCTAGAAACTTCTAGCGTTAGCTTAACCAACCAAAGACCAAACACGTTTGTATCCGTTCTATAAACCAATCAAATCGCTCTATTTCCGTTCGTTTGTTGTTTCTGTATTGTTCGCGAGTTTTCATTTCAAGGTCATACGAAAATCGCTCTATCACATCGATAAGAGGCTTATACGTCGGATGCAGGACGTTTTTCCACCCAGGCCTTTATTTCAGGCACGTCCAACACACGCTTGTAATGCCCATCTAACAGAGGAAATTTCTTGAATAACTCTTCGAGGTCTGGTGCTGGTTTACCATCATCTTTCTGTTTTTTCACCATCAAACTGAAGCTGTTAATAAATTCAACGAACGAAAGGTCGGCATAGCTGAGCTGAAGAAAAAAGAAAAGAGAATTGAACTACTCGCTTAGGATAGAGTTCTTTTTGTTTTTGTTTTTTGAATAACTTAACAAGTGAACAAGGCCGAATGAAAACCTATAGTAAGCTTAAGTTGACCCATGAAAAGGAATCCGAGAACATTTTGCTCGTGGAACATGGAATATAGCTCAAGGAATGCGGAATCCCACCAACGATTGGAATGCGGACAAAGACTGGCATCCAAAACCCGGAATCTAGAATCCACGGCATGGAATCCAGAATCCAAGACTTTCTTGGATTCCTTGACGTATATGGGGCAATACAATGAGAAAAAAAAAAGACTGAAAAAAGGCGTGTCCCTTTTCCCAACAGGTCTCCAGCCTAGGCCTCCCGGTTACCAGTCCAGAACCTCTAACACTGAGCTACAGGAGACTCGTGGGAGCCAGGGAACATAATTAACATGGAAAAGAATGGAGAGGAGAAGTCGTTTTTCTCCCACATGCTTACTTACTTTGGCTCCGAGAAAGAACCCTTTGCCTTCGTCCTTACTTTTGAGAAGAGCTTCATATTTCTCAAGTCGGGCAGGAAGAGTTGTTTCCAAAAACTCCTTCAATTTCGTTTCCTTAATAAAGATAACGGTTAGGTAGGTATAAAATGATTACATTTTGCGACATTTTGCCAGTTATTACGATCGAAGTATCCACTGTGAAAAGTTTGAACCCCGCCATAGCCATATATGGGCTATATAGGAATGTGCCGCTGTGAAGGTTATGGTTTTCAAGCAGTTTACTCTAGGATAGGGTATATAAATCAGAGCGTTTGGGTCTAGAATAGGGTATCATTTTTCAGGAAACTGATCAGTTGGTTGAAGATTTTATCTAGACTAGGGATTGTGGTATAACGTTTTGTTTTGGCTAGACTACTGTGCTAGTGACCTCAGTAGTTTCTGGAAAACAGCTACTCTAGGATAGGGGGGATTTGGGGAGTTCACTGTAGTATAGGGTAGCAAAATTCAGCTGAACTAGCTCTGGCATAGGTTAAGGGTTCCAGGGACCCAGCGGCACATCCCCACCCAGAAATTCCTAAAGTACCCCCCCGGGGTTTGAACCCATGAGTCATTTCATAAGTAGGTGGAGCATGATCGTCCGGGTGATCGTAGTCCTGAATATGATTGTTGTTGAAAGTGACTGGCGTGTCGATAACCTGTGCGGTAGTCAGTTATCTTCAGAGTCAAAGTGATTTGTATGATATTCTCATCGACTGTTATCTCCCATTACAATAGGTAGCCAGTATGTCACGCTATGTCTACAACAGTTCCACTTTCTACGGTGCCTGCTCTCCCGGCCTCCCCACCTTATGATTGGTGCGTACTATGATGCGACTACACCTAACGACTACACCACAGAGGCTGATTACGTAACCTTGGGGGAAAGTCTAACCGATCAAGAACAAAAAACATCTTGATAAGTATTTTATTTCGAAGGGAAAAATTGTTACCATCGTCTGAATGAAATACAAATCACCTACATCACCCAACCCCTTAAGTTTTTCTTCTTTCCGGTGTGGTTCCTGAGCCGATTCATTGCCATTTAATGGCTTTTATTGGAACCGGTTTGCTAGCCTGCGTAGCAAGCGTTTCCGCTTGAGTTATACAGGGTGCAGAGGGGTTATTTGTTTTCTTGATTGCAGTTAAATTTTCAGCTTATAATAGCGCGATTCGCCTTTGTTTACTGTAGAATAGAATATGACCGATTAAATCGTCACAGGATATTGTTACGGACCTGGTAAAATCTTATCCAGTGTTCGGTGGGAAAGAACGTCGCCCGAAGGTCAACGCATTCAGCTTTCCGAGCAAGGCACGAAGTGCCGGGTAAAAATAATGGGCGAAAGCCAGAACGAGAGCAATAACTCGAGCGGAAACGCTTCAGCATAGTGCTACGCAGGCTGCCGGTTTGCTCTCTTTATAATCCTTTCACCTGTACTTAAACCGGTTTGAAAAAAGTGATTTATATTTTTGTCAACGAGAGTTGACGGTTATAGGCTACTTTTCTAGCTACAAGTTAAGTCAATCGTACCTTTGCCGCTTCATCCTTTTCAAAGTGTGTTCTGAGCCAGAGATTACGCAAATCAGTAGCTCCATCATGGATCATGTCAGCCACTGCTTCGTCAAAACTGTCACTAGGGGACAAACCTGACAAGTTTATCAGAAATGGTCGGAAATCAGGGTTTGGAAACGCGAGCATCAAGTACAGTTGGAGCCCCGGTCTACCTGAGAGCAAGCCCTCCTAGGGTTCCCGGGGGTAGGAGGTGGGGGAGGCGTTTAGCGTTTACGACTGTCCTTCGCGTCGCTTGTTAGTCGCGTAGTTGGTTTGTTTTAGAGAAACCTGTGCTCGCAGGGTAACTAGAAGTCGTCACGTCCTTTTGCCATGGTAGCAAAATTTCTGTATCTAAAAATACGGCGGGCGAACTGAAAAAAGCGAAAAAATTTACAAGTAAGACTTTCCTTTACATGATAGCAAGCAGGAAGAAAACGGTAGCGTATACTTTTCTTCCATTGTTCAACAATCCAAATGGCCCTCTCTGTCAAGAAAGATAGTTGAGATCCAGAAATTTTGATACCATGGTAACGTGACGTCACACGTCTCCTCTCTATAGAGTGTTTTCACATGACGTCACGGCGGCCATATTGGTGTCCCAAAACAATGAAACGGCGGCCATGTTGGTGTTCCAAACCAATCCTCTGGGAGTTGAACTCTTTTCTTATGCAAACGCTTTCTTTTGTTGCAATAAATTTGGATAGATGCTGGCCACGTGAGTGAAAATACTCTATACGGGCATCCGTATATAAAAAAACTGTTTCGTTTGCCCTAACAGAAAACTCATACATTTTATTTCTCTAAAATTAAACCGCTTGGTGCGGACACCGGTCAATATAATAAGCACAACGGATACCTTTCTGTACCTTGGGTCACAAACACTCATATATCGGTCAAACCCCGCTTGGCAAACTCTGGGTTTCTGCCGTGCGCACGTTATATTTTTACTGTGTGCTTATTGGAAGCAGTCTGACCTGTTTGATTTTGATCCTTCAGTTTTTCTTTCGGTGTTTGACCCTTATCAAATACTAGCGTTTTGGCCTCCTATTAAACAAGTTTCACTTAATTTCCTTGGCTTTTTGCTTCAGCAATTGCTCCTTTGTATCTCTGTATCAGTAAAGAATGTAGCCTGCGTAGCAAGCGTTTCCGTTTGGTTTCGAAGCAAAGCAAGACCGAGGAAGGCGACTTTCGGTTTTGACCCCGCGAGAAATGCACCATTTTTCGCGCGATCTTTGACTCTCGTTCCTCGTTCTTTGCTCCTAAACCGCACAGAAACGCTTGCTACGCAGGCTATAAAGAATGTGTCCGTGGCATTTTCTTCTCACAGCCTGCTTAATACGGACACCCGGACATTACACACAGTATATCATGTCCCCTTGTTGTCCAAATTAAAAAAGTCTGTAGAGGCCCTCTTGGGGGGCGGGGGGGGGAGGGGGGGGGGGGGGGGGAAGGAGGGAGAAGGGTGCTATGCACATGTGTGTTCCTAATGTGAATTTCAAATACGGTCGTTGCGTGTTTGAGGAGTAGGCAATGTCCCTGTTGGTATTCAGCTCATCTTTAAATACCGTAAAATTCTGAAAATAAGCCCCTCCAAATATAAGCCCCCTAATCCGGTAACATAAAAAACCCTCCGTTAAATCGCCCTTCCGATATAAGCGCCCCTGGGGCTTGTACTTGAAAAGTTGCCCTCAAATACAAAGTAAAACAAAGCAAAAACGGTAAGTTAGTTTACTTGCAACTATAAGGCTAACCCAACGGATTTTGAAACGCAAATTTCCCTCCGTAGATAAGCCCCTCAAAAAGGGCCTTTGAAAAATATAAGCCCCGGGGCTTGTTTTCGGAATTTTACAGCATGTCGTTTGTCGCCATTTCATCTATCTTATGCACTGTTTCAAGGCCATGTCGCTTGTCAGGATTTTACCCTAACGGGGACTGCAGCAGGGAGAACAAACCAAAAAATTGCACACTGTATACATCCAGCTCTTTCTGCCCTTTTAGATAAAGCTCCACTACCGATGTTAGTTTTCATACCTGCTTTCTTGCAGATGTATTTCATAATGGCACCAGATTGTGCCAGGATTTTTCCTTCAGGAGTCACGAGAAATGGCATCTGACCAAGTGGTGGTCTGCCCGCTGAAAACAACAACAATTAATGATCAATCAATCAATCAATCAATCAATCAAATACTTTATTTAACTTCGAATTAGATGATAGCAAAAATGCTAATATCTCCACAGGCATCCCAAGCTTGTTACGAGGGGTAACGCAATAGAGCCAAAAAGTTGACTAAATCAATGAATTCACACTGAAACACCCAGAAATACATCTAATTAAACCTTCTTTATTTGGTTTACTGGGAAGTTTCCCCGGTGGTGTGGTCTAGTAACCTTTCACGCAGCACTCATCATTCATATTATGAGCAATGGGTAGGTTACAGTAAGCTCATAAATGGACTGATAGCAGCTGCCACTGGCGCCCTTGTATACTGATGCCCAACCCCTCCCATTTTTTAAGGGAAAAGCCCTTCAGAATGGGTTGTGTTTCAACAGAATAAAGAAATGGCCATCTTCAAAGATTTAATCTACCATAACATCATGGATGACAAATTACTCCTTATCATTGAGACAAGATTTCACCATTTATAATTTTACATGTAAAAATGATGAAATTGCTAAGGCAATTAACGTTCTGTATATTTTTGTGCCAGGATCAACCTGATTCCCAGGATTCTCTGCTAGGAGAGCGCGGTCAAGAGAAAGACACCCTGGTTGGGTCTGGTCATGTGCCTTGTAGATTCTGGGAGATATAAACAAATAAACGATTTGGGGAGGGGCAGATAAGAGCGAGTTTTGTCCCCTCAGAGCATTGGGGGATTCCAATCATGGGTGAGTTTGAGAAAACGGTGCAAATGAGGTTGTGCCAGGATCACAAAACGACATCAGGGTTTAAAACTTAAAAAAACAAAAATGCCATGGCATAAAAAGATGCTGTAGAAAACCTAAACACATGATAGTGCACAATCCTTAACAGAAAAAAGGTTTCTAATTTTTTATTTCAGTTGAACTTGTCCACAATGGTAGCCATGGAGACAGAAGAAAGTGGCCGTGGGTGCGCGTTGTGGAGGGGTGACTGTCAGTGGAGGTTAGACTTTAGGTATTTTGTCAAAAAATTAAGAGAACCGTGAACTAAAGCAAAAATTTTATTCTCTAGACTTCACAGTGCATGGAGTTCTTGATACAATAAGCAACTCAAAAACCCACCATTAAAATTAATGGTGAATTGTCACTGTCACCCATGATATCAATATGCCAAATTAAAATTCACACTCATTTACAGGCTTTCAGTCCAAAAAGGCACCCTGTGCAAAATGCTAAATAGTGAAAAAATTTATTGTTTACCCGTCCTGTTTAAGACCCAACACCCTGAAAACCAAACCTCGTTCAGCAGCACATCCTGGTTGAAGTCAAACAAGGGAGTACCCCATGGCAAAATTCATGGCATGCCCATTTCTGCCTTCAGAATTTTTTTTTTCACCATGTCCTCTGTTTTCTGACAAAACATTTTAACAATCCCTCCTCATCTCCCCTCCCCCGCCCGCCAACCGGCTGTGGTATACATAATGTATGCGGCACCTAATTAAGCACACGCGGGCCAAGCTCTGCCAAGTAGGAGAGGACCCTAGGCCAAAGCAGAGTTTCTATTCCATATAGGTAAAGAAACCATTGATATTGTCCATGAATATACATATTTAGGAACCCGTATCTCCTCAACCGGTAATTTTAATATCTCACTCGAACACTTGAAAGAGAAGGCTCTTCATGCTCTTTTTAGTTTAAGAAAACACACAAACTTTAGCAAATTAAAACCTTCTCTTGCTTGCAAAATATTTGAAACGATGATTTCCCCAATATTATCATATAATAGCGAAATTTGGGGTGTATATGTAAAACATGATTTTAAAGTTTGGGACAATACCCCAATTGAAAAAACCCACTTGAAATTTTGCAAGCGTTACCTAGAAATAAGCAATAAAGCTTCAAATGTTGCAAGTAGAAGTGAATTAGGACGGTTTCCATTAATCATTAATATTTATAAAAATATCCTTTATTACACATTGTATCTTCTGCGTAAAAACGAGGATACTATTGTTAAACAAGCCTTTCGCACTTCGCTAGAACTTCACTGTAATGGTAAAAATAGCTTTTACCATAATCTTATGAAAATATCTGAATATTATGACCTCCCTGATTTTGATCCTAATAATTTAAGTGAAGCTAAGATCAAACACTATATAGATATAATAAAACAAAAATATATTGCATATTGGCAACATACAATCCATCATTCTACGAAGCTACAATTTTACAGCTTATTTAAACATGATTATAAAATTTCAAGTTATCTAGACTTAATTAGAAATTCTGCTAATAGGAAAGATTTAGTTAAAATTCGTATAAGTAACCACAAACTCATGATTGAAACTGGAAGATATAATCAAACTTCCCGTAACGATAGATTCTGCCCTATTTGCAACTCTGGTATAATTGAAGACGAATTTCATTTTCTCTTCCATTGTCCAAAATACTCAATCCCAAGGGAGAAATTCTACAATCAAATACAACAAAATTTTGTCGACTTTAATCAGCTATCTTACACAGAATTAATAATTAAATTGATGAATTCACAGAATTTTTCCGTAAATTCACATTTGTTGAAATTTGTCTCATTATGTAATGATTTACGTAATAATTTGGTATCGAATCATGCTGATGACAGTTGATTGACTATAGTGATCATTGCATTGCATTATCATTGTTATGATTTGTCTGTTTGTTTGTTTGTTTTTTTTTTTATGTTAAAGCTTTTGCAATACTGTAACTACATAATTATAGTCATGCAAATAAAGCTTATGTTGTTGTTGTTGTTCATTGTTACTTTATAGTGGGTTTATACCTCGTATCAAAGTGGGAAAACACTTAATATTTGCCTTATTTCAGCTTATTTACTGTCACTTTCTTTGCGAACAGGTCAACTACACAATTTATAGGAATTTTAAGCTTACAAGCAGTTAGCCGTTCGTGGAGCAGGAACGCGTGACGAACCCCTAACAACGTCTGCGTGGGAGGCTAACAAGCAGTTGATTGCTGACTCACTTCAAGACAAAAGACCATTTTATATTATGTCATTGTGCATTAAGGTGTATTCTGATATTTGATCGTGAGTAATGTATGTGAAGCATAACCACTCGGCAAGCATGACAAAGCAGTTTGTTTCAGAGGCGCGAGGAAGCATGACGCCAAGTGTAAGAATAATCAACTCGATTAAATATGCACAGGCCGGCCACATAATTTTTATAATTATATGGTGACATTTGTCACAAAACAAAGTGATATGTTCACCAAGGAAAAGAAAGAAACAGGACTGTTCAATATACGTTTATGAAAAGGTTCAAAACGAAAACCACATCATGCAATCGAACGAATCCGTTTTCGAAAACGATCACTGTCACGAAACCGATAAAATTGTTCAGAATTGTTGTATGCATAGCACGCGACTCTGCAGTGTTGAATGCGCTTCATTTTCCATAACTTTTAATTCATTGTCACTGAGAACTCGACCAAATTCAGAAAACAACCAACTTGTTCTTATGTTCTACTTACACTCTTTTTCCTTGAGCCATTCTTCTCCAAAATTCACTCGAATGTCTTCGAAATCAATTTTAGCCGCTGAAAATGCCCATCTGTCTATTTCTCCTTTAGCACGGGCTGGAAAATAGTAAAGCTTGTAACCTGACATATTGGTCTTTTTCTTTTTCTTCTTCTTCTTCTTACTTCTAAGCACACCTGCAACACGAGCCAGACGACTCCCTACCTGTGCTGTAGTTTGACTCTGTGTGAATGATACGGGTTATATGGGCAGACGCCCCCGATATGACTCAGCCATTTAACTTTGTTCTCAGGCTTCTGACGTCCATGAACGCGGTTGTCACGTCACTGCAAGTCACGCAAGTATAACGGGCAGAAAATTATAGGAGATAAAAAGCAAGGACGAAGCCATTTTTCTTCTATTGTCTTTATTAGATTTGTCAATACCCTGGATGCCAGACGTTTTTTTATCAAAGTGTGAGCACGCTTTACTTTATCAAATGTGTTTCGAGAGCAGACCCCTGGAGCCAAGGTAGTTTATCTAAGGATCCCTATCACACTCGAACGAACTCGATCAAACGTGACGGCTCAGTACTGTAAGTAGACACATCATGACTAAGCAATTTGTTTCAGCCGTTTAACCCGCCTCTCTCCTACGCGCGGGTAGATATGAAGCGAAAAAAGAGATACGATGCGTGATGCTGAAGGGGAAGGCTACTTTTGCTCATACCATTGTCCCCCCCCACCACCACCCCTCCCCGCAATCTCCCAACTCCTTCGGTGAGGTCACTTTTCACTTTTTCTTTCACTTGTACGAGGGGAGCGCGTACTGTGCGATTCAACTTTTCCAGGCTAGAGGAATACTCATTCACTTGTCTGTAATACCAATCACGTTCACACACTATCATACTCATTTTAGCTTAATTATAAAACAAAAACAAAACTCATCACCCAGACAACCCCTACAACAGTAGCGCAGGTTTTCTCTGAACACACCTTTTCGCTTTATTTACTGTATTTAAGTTAGTTACATTTCCATTTCTCTTACAGACTTTTTCATTTAACCAAATATCCTACTGAAATTATTTTCGAACCCACAAATCTCCCCAACCCTCATCCTCACCCTTATTTCACACTAAACTGGTTGGAAGTAATTGACCTTGTACCAAGCATAAGGCTAGGCAAACCTTCCAATACTAACGGCTTCTTAATATGGAATTAAAAGGCTAACTAGTAATGAGTCAGTAAACAGAAAAGCTGATTCACAACTATTAATCACTTGCGAGGTTGAACAAATCATGGACCTTTATAACAGAAGACAATGAGTTTCGTCAAAGCGTAGCCTCCCACGGTTCGTTGGGAAGGATTGTTTGACGAGCCAAAATAACGTCTGCGTGGTAGGCTGCCCAAAGCGCGGACAAATCAGTAATTATCATTCGATGCAAATTTTTCTTCCTTTTTATTGGTCGAAAGCCCACCACGTGACTGCAAATAACTGCCTACAAATAATGGTCTGCTTATGTGCAATGTCGTCCAACTTTGTTTGGCTGCCAATAATATTCTGCTCATGCGTAAACGAAACCACGCTTTTCTCTTAACTTCTTGCGATCGCTCCTTTGTCAAAAATGGCAGATCGCTTCACTTCGCTTTCATTTTCTTGCAACAAAAGAACTGAAGCTGAAAAGTGTCAAATAAGCTTTATAATGACATTTTTTAAGGAAAAAATAAATAAATAAATGGAAGGCACTGCAAAGGGAAGTCCAGCTGGATAGAACTGTAAAAAGATATAACGTTTTTAATCACTCAACACAGGCTTGCCAACGCAGAAAAGACAAAGGAGTTCGAGTTATCGAGGGTCTACTGTATGTAGAATGGGGACACATCTGAAGAGCCTGTGGTGCCCTGTGGTGCACACAAAACCATGACACCTTTGGGTAGGTGTAATTAGGGGAATTCAGCGTCGTGACCTGCAGTAGCCATTTTAGTTTCTTGGGACAAAATATTAAAACAAAAAAGAGTTAAAATTCTTCCCGGATTGGTCTTGTAACATCATTTGGCAGACTATATGAATGTGGAGGTGGATTGACGCAATTTTCGGGAATTTTATCCTCTTTTAGTCATCATCGAAGTGTTATATACAAGGTATATAGACGTCACTTAACTTGGAAAAATCTCAAAGAAGATAATTAAACTGTGTTCGTATCTTTAATCATTGTTTATAAACGGTAAAAAATTCATCAGGTACAATAAATTCCAATACAATGACTAACATCCTCAGTAAAATCTAAAAATCCTAATCCTAACATTACATTAGCTTACAACAAATATGCCACTTTAAGAACCTGATTTCCATGAATACCGTGTTTAAAAATTATGATAGAGAAGGCGTTTAAATTGATTTAATGAAGCAGACTCTCTAATGTTACGGGGTAACTGTTCCAAAGGGTTGCACCGCTGAAACTAAAGCTATTTTTCACGTAGTTAGTTCTTGGAAAGTGGAAAACAAGTTTGTTTACCGAGTCCCTCAGAGAACCTCGCTTGATATTGAAAGTACACATGACTAGCTGAAGTATGACTCTTATGTTATTTATCACCATAAATTTGACCAAGAATTGAAATGTTTAATAACCGAGAGGTCGCTTACTACGACACATCCTAGACGTGTCCCTGAGATGTAAAAAGGATTCGCTTCTAATCATTACCCGTAAAATGCTGTATAAAGGTGAACTCGAGCGAGAAGCCTTTCTAACGATTTAAATACGGTATCCCCTCTTTCAATTGGTGTAGCGGGGAATCGGAAGGGTTTCTCTTGATTACCATGCGAGCAGGGCCCTTCCTTTCGATCTTCCTAGATATATAAGTCGGGACGTATCTAGGAAGATCGAAGGGCTTCTGCTCGCGGGGCATCTCTTGACATCCCCAGATAATAAAAGTATCTGCATGGTCCTCAACAAAAATAAAACAGCTGAAAATAAAAGTTTACCAGTGATATATACCATTGAATATAAAATCCTTCATAGCTGGTCTAACTTTCCCGAATAAGCGCCCGATCGCTCATTTCAAATTTCGGCCAGCGATCAGGGGCTCGTTTTTCGAAGAGTGTTTAACTAGGAGGAGCGCTTTTGAAGTTTTCCTCCAATAAAGTGAGACCTTAATTTGGGGTAAATCATTTCTTTTTAGGAAGACTGAGATAATTCTGACTGACTGCAGAAACTATTTTACCCCCTTAAAGCCAGTGACGTCAAATATTAGAAACATTATAACAGTTATTATAAAGTTCACACAAATTCGAGAAAACATGGTTTATGAGACTCGATTACCAGCCGCTGTTCGGCAAAATGAGCCCGCACTCATCCTCCCGTCTCTCTTCGGGGAGGATCAAAGACCGGACCCAGGAGACGGCGGAAATCGAGCCTAATGGTTTATTAGAACCAGTAACCAGTAAATCTCAAATCATATATATCCTAACTTTATTTGTACACAGTTGTGCCTACGTTAACATATGCCAAGAGTATCACATCGATAAAGGGCTTAGAAGTCGGATGCAGGTCGTTTCTCGACCCAGGCCTTTATTTCAGGCACGTCCAACACACGCTTGTAATGCCCATCTAACAGAGGAAATTTCTTGAATATCTCATCGAGGTCTGGTGCTGGTTTGCCTTCATCTTTCTGCTTTTTCACCAACAAACTCAAGTTGTTAAAAAATTCAACGAACGAAATGTCGGCGTAGCTGAGCTAGAGAAAAGAAGAAAAGAGAAATGAATTACTCGCTTTAGTACGGAGAAGTTTTGTTTGAACAACTTTAACAGTGAGCGAGGCCGAATAAAAAACCATAATAAGTCGCTCCATGTAATAGAATCCAGATTGAATCCGGAATCCGAGAATATTTTGCTTGTGGAATCAGGAATCCTGGGCTTTGGAATCCGGACTACAGTTCAAGGAATCCAGAATCCAACTGACGATTGGAATCCAGAATCCAAGTTCCACTGACAAAGACTGGAATCCAGTATCTGGAATCCAGAATCTAAGACTGTCTTGGATAGACCTTTTCACTGTTTTTTCTCAACTTTTGGCATGGAAAAAAGGAAAAATCCGTCGAAACCACTCAAAAGAGCGCACTAAGATTAGTAAAATTACCTAGTTTGAAAGTGATTTGCTGAAAACTAACAAAGATATAACTCCTCAAAGCCGTGAAATTTTACAGACGTGTGTATGATGGGAGGCACAAACTTGTCCCCCCCCCCCAACCCCAACTTCGAGGTCAATTAGCCCGAGTATCAGGCATTTCTTGCGGAAAAGGGGAAAGATGGAAGCGCAAAGGGAGAGAGCTCCCCCCTCCCCGCTCCTCCATCTAAAATCTCCTCTCCCCTAACCCCTTAGGAAGGCCTGATACTCAGGCTAGAGGTCAATAAAAGCGCAAAAACGAACGAAGCCAATATACAGCCATCTTGACCGAACAAGCTTGCCAGTGGTCAGTAAAGGATTTTTCATATGGCCAAAAAGAGGACTTTTTCTTACGGGACCAACGCGGGAAATCCCGAGCGGGCAAAATGGGCCCATCTTGGCCGCCCGGGCAGCCAGTCAGAACGCACGATTCGCTTCAGTCATCTTTTCCACTCGCCGACTCAGCTATGCATATAGGAAATGATCTTTTTGCAATAGTCATGGGCGTAGCTCAAATTAATTTTCACCAAAGACAAGTGATTTCTATTTACTGTACAAATTCGACCGTTCCACCATTGTCTTGTGGCGGGGGGTATTGGGGGGTTAGAGAATTTGAGGTGGGTCGAGTGGCTCCGGAATCCCAAAAGCAAATGCAAATAGGTCAGGTTCTACCTTTGATATTTATCCCGTATACTTACCTTGGCTCCAAGAAAAAACCCCTCGCCGTTATCCTTGCTTTTAAGAAGAGCGTCATATTTCTCAAGTCGGGCAGGAAGAGTTGTTCCGAAAAACTCCTTCAATTGCGTCTCCTTAAATAAAGATATAGATAACGGTTAGGCAGGTATCAAATGATTTCATTTTATGACATTCTGCCAGTTAGTAAAGAAAACGATAATAAGTACATGAAAAATAAAAATAGAGCAAACAGACTAAGAAACAAAAAATCTTGCACCAATCGAGTTGACCCAACACCTTCTCCTTTCCTGTGCAGAGTTATGGCCATTTAATGGCATAGCACGCGTTTCCGCTCGAGTTAGCGCGAAAGCTGGAAAGATAGCAATACATTAAAAACCGACGACTGGGAACCTGCATTTTCCCAGGTTAGCCTAAACAGGTTGTTACATAAATGGTATTTAGCACCTATTTAGGCTATAGTTAGGTTCTTAAATAGGTCCTTTATTTTAAGAAAAAAAAAATACATTGTAGCTAAGAGAACATAGTGGTATTCAGCTCATTCGATTCCTTAGGTAAAACCTGTATACCAGTACAATCACAGCTGGAGTAATAAGGCACAGGTCTATTGTCTCCGAAAAGCTAAGGATCCGGAATGTTTATTATTTGCCCAAGTGTACAGAATTCTTTCTTATAGATTGTAGAAAATAAGAACCTGTTCCAGATTTTAGGCTAAAGAGGTTCTTGTATAGAACTGTTATAGAGGAGGCCATACTGGCAAATTTTAGCCCAGCAGGTTCTTAAAAACCAGGTTCTTAGTCGCGGGTTTTTACTGTAACTCAAGCGGAAACGCTTGCTACGCATGCTACCGGTGTGCTCTGTCTGTAATCTTTTGACCTGCGCTTTAACCCGTTAGTGGACAGTTATCAGCAGAGGCTACTTTTCTAGCTACAAGTCAAACTGTGGAATCGTACCTTTGCCGCTTCGTCCTTCTCAAAGTGTGCCTTGAGCAAAAGAGAACGCAAATCATTAACTCCATCATGGATCATATCAGCAACTGCTTCGTCAAAACTGTCACTTGGAGACAAACCTGAAAAGTTTATCAGAAATGGTCATAAATCAGGGTTTGGAAACGCGAGCATCAAGTACAGTGGAAGCCCCGCTATACGGTCACCCGCTTAATTGAGAGGACTGGAAGTTACCCTGCGAGCACAATTTTCTCTCTAGCACGGCTTTTAGTGGCCTGCGAGCAAGCTCTCCTCGGGTTCACGGGGGTAGGGGGTGAGGGAGGCTTTTAGCGTTTACGAAGTCGTTCGCGTCGCTTGTCAGTCGCCTAGTTGGTTTCTTTTAGAGAAACCTGTGCTCGCAGGGTAACTAGAAGTTGTTACGTCTCTTTGCCAACATAGAAAAATTTCTGTATCAACAAACCGTGGTCCTACAAATAAGGCAGGAAAAAAAAAGAAGAAGAAGAAATTGACTTATGACATTGTACGATTGCACTCAGAAACAGAGCGGTGTAGCCCATACATGTACTTTTCTTTAATCGTTCGACAATACAAATGGCCCTCTCTGTCAAGAAAGATTGTTGAGATGCAGAAAACCCCGAATCACAAACTCTCATATATCAAACCCCGCTTTGCGGACACAGGATACCTGCCGTGTGCACTGTATATTTTCATTGTGTGCTTATTGCAAGCAGTCTGCATTTTTGACTTTGATCATTCAGTTTTCCGTCTGGTGTATGACCCTTATCAAATACTAGAGTTTTGGCCTCCTATTAAACAAGTTTCACTTCCTCGGCTTTTTGCTTCAGTCATTGCTCCTTTGTATCTTTGTATCAGTAAAGAATGTGTTGGTGGCATTTTCTTCTGACAGCCCGCTTTGTACGGACATCTGGATAATTGGATAATACAGACAGTATGTCAAGTCCCTATGTCCGTATTAACCATACGTTAGTCACTGCAGGGGCCCTGTTGAGAAGGGGAGGGGGTGGAAGAAAGGTACACACATGTATGTTCCTAGTCTGAATTTCAAATAGGGTAGTTGCGCGTTTGAAGAGTAGGCCATGTCCCTGTTGGTATTTAACTCATCTTAAAATATGCCGTTTGTTGCCATTTCAACTATCTTATGCACTGTTTTAAGGCCATGTCGCTTGTTAGAATTTTACCCTAACAGGGACTAACTGTATATCAGGGATGTGTTAAAGGAACAAACCAAAAAATTGCAGACTGTATACATCCAGCTCTTTCTGTCCTCTTATTTAGACGTAGCTCCACTACCGACATTACTTCTTTAATACCTGATTTCTTGCAGATGTATTTCATAATTGCACCAGATTGTGCCAGGATCTTTCCTTCAGGAGTCACGAGAAATGGCATCTGACCAAGTGGTGGTCTGCCAGCTGAAAACAACAACAATTAACGATCAATCAATCAATCAGAGACCTTATTTAACTTCGAATTAGATGATGGCAAAATTACTAATATCTCCAAAGGCATCCCAAGCTTGTTACGAGGGGTAACGCCATAGAGACAAAAACCCGACTAAATCAATGAATTGAATTCACGCCGAAAAAGCCAGAAATACATCTAATTAAACCTTCTTTATTTGGTTTATTGGGAAGTTTCCCCGGTGGGTGTGGTCTACCTTTCACGGCTTACACGGAGTAAGCTCATAAATTGATTGATAGCGGCTGCAACTGGCACCCTTGAATGCAGACGACCAGCCCCTCCCATCCTCTGGAAGGGGAAAAAACAGCTATCTTCAAAGATTTAATCTACTACAACATCATGGGTGACAAATTACTCCATATTATTGCAGCAACATTTCAACGTTTAGGATTTTACATGTAAAAATGGCAAATCGCCATGACAACATTCTGTATTATTTTAGTGCCAGGATCAACCTGATTCCCACAAATCTCTCCTAGGAGAGGGCGCACAAGAGAGAGACACCCTGGTTGGGTTTGGTCACATACCTCGTATAGATTCTGGGAGATATAGACAAATAAACGATTTGGGAAGGGGCGAGAATTGTGAGTTTTCTCTAGATTGAGAATTTGGAGATTCCAGTTATAGATGTTTAGACTTCACAGTGCATGGAGTTCTTCACACAATAAGCAACTCAAAAGCCCACCATTGTCATGGTGAATTGTCACTGTCACCCATGATATCAATATGCCAAAATTCACACTCATTTTGAGGCTTGCAGTCCAAAACGGCACCTCGTACAAAAGGCTAAAAAGTGAAATTGTATACCTGATCTGTTCAAGACCCAACACCCTGAAAACCATACCTTGTTCAGCAGCACATAGTGGTTGAGGCCAAATAGGGGAGTTCCCCTTGGCAAAATTGACATTCCTTTCTGGCTTCAGAATTTTTTGGGGGGGCCACTTCCTCTGTTTTTTGTCAAAACATCATAACAATCCCTTCTTAACTGCCCCCTCCCCCGTACCTGGCGCACGGGCTCAAGTTGAATAACAAACAAAATTTCACACACTTCCCGCCGTCGTGACTTCCTGTGTTTATTTACCTAAATGTTTTCGTCAAACCCGGCCACCGCAGTCAAGAGACATGAGCACTTGATATATTCTATTAATTTTAGGGGCCATAATGTTAAGTTTTAACGAAGAGAAGTTTGTAAAACAGCAAAAGTGTTCTATGTGCAGCAAGCAATATTCTCACCACTAAAAAGGATCAGATTACACGAGGAGATAGGGAAAGCTTGACAAACGAAGAATGCAGTCGCTTCTGTTGGAAAATCTGGTGTTGGGGAAAAAATCTAACCAGCAAACAAAAACAATGAGAACAAAAACGAATTACAAGCCTAAAGCGAACGACAAAGGAAAAGAAAACAACGCCATTTTTTTCGAAACGTGGCCGAGTTCAGTATAAAAATAATGAACTAAAATTAAATACCGACGTGCCGTACATCGCATGTCCTTGCAAACATTTCAGATGGCCCAGCGAATCATTCTAAGTTTCAATCCGATAACAAAAAGCCTCGGGAAATTTGAAAGGAGGTTTAAATGATTAAACTGTGCAAATATTTATCAACAATGTGAAACCGAACCGACAGTAGATTTGTAGCTGGTCTTAATAATATTCTCGATCGCTTCCTCTGCAAAGCTGACTTTATTCTTTCAAGGCACTTCACACTTTTACATAGCAGGTTTGTAAAGCCACCAGACTGAATCTGAGAACTTTTCAAGAAAATAATCCTTGCAACAGGAAGGGACCAAGAAACGGTCAAATGGGAAAAAAGGAATTTTATTCCTAAGCAAATTACGCATGATTTGTTCGTTGGCACTCTATCGATAGGTATACCTAGTTATAATAATAATATGGTGACATTCGTCACGAAGCAAAGTGTCCTGGAGTTAGAAACAAAACCGTTCAATATCCGTTTTAAATATCAACAGGTACAAAACGGAAACCACATCTTGCAATCGAACGAAATTCGTTTTCGACAACTATCACTGTCACGAAACCGATAAAATTGTTGTCTGCAAAGCACGCGACTGTGTAGTGTTTGTTTCATTTTCCATAACTTTTAATTGATTTTCACCGAGAACTAGACCAAAATTCAGAGGACAATCAATTAAGCTTTCGAATGAAATTCACCAACTTGATCTTATTCTTTTTACTTACACTCTTTTTCCTTGACCCATTCGTCTCGATTCAATCGAATGTCTTCGAACTCAATTTCAGCAGCTGAAAATGCCCATCTGTCGATTTCTGCTCTACCGCGGATTGCAAAATAGTAAAGCTTGTAACCTGACATATTTCGTCTTTTTCTTTCTTTTCGTCCTCTTCTTACTTCTAGGAATTTCTGTACCACGAGCCAGACGACCTCTGAGCGGTAGTTTGACTCTGTCTGAACGAAACGCCTCCGCCGTGACTCATCGATTTAAATTGGTACTCAGGCTTCGGACGTCCATGAATGCATTTGTCACGTCACTGCACGTCACGCAAGTAACGGCAGAAAAAGCAAGGATGAATCTATTTCTTCTATTGGGTTTGTTAATACCCTGGACGCCAGAGGAGTTTTATCAAACTGTGAGCACTGTTCTGACTTTATCATAAGTATTTCAAGAGCGGACTTCTGGAGCCAGGGTAGTTTGTCAGTGGAACAGGGATCCGCGTCACACTCGCACCCGATCAAACGTGGCAGCTAATGTTAGTAGACATGACTAAGCACCCCCGTGGAGAGGTCTGAAGCGAAAAAAGAAATACGATACGCAAACACTATTTTCGCTCATCCTATTGTCCCCTCCCCCCAGCCCTCCCCCCCGCCCAACTTCTTCAGTGCGCTCACTTTTTCATTCATTGTATATGAGGACAGCACGTACTGATTCACCTAAAGGTTGGGGGAAGCTATAACTTTCCCAGGCTAGAGGAATACTCATTCACTTGCTAGTCGATACCAATCAAGTTCAACGCTATCATAGTCATCCTAGCTTAAACCGGCAGGGGTCTTTGGCAGAACGCAGAACGCTGAATGCAGAATGCAGAACGCCAAATGACTCTGAAGTTTAAGTAAGGGTTAGATAGGAAACTGAGTGAATCAAGGTTCAGGTCAATTTTCCCGGTATAACGACTCTAAATGGAATCTGATTCACTCAGTTTCCTAACCCTAATCACTAAAATTCAGAGTCATTTGGCGTTCTGCATTCTGCATTCAGCGTTCTGCAAAATACCCCGGCCGGCTTAAAACAAAAACAAAAACAAAACTTATCACCCAGACACTCCCACAACAGTAGCGCAGTTTTTACTTGCCGCACACCTTGTCGTTTTATTTAACTTATTTAAGTACGTTACATTTCCATTTCTCTTACACACTTTTTCATTTAACCAAATATCTACTGAATTTATTTTCGAACTCACACTCCCCGAACCTCGCCTTAAGCCCTTATCATGCTTTAATACTGCACACTGGACTGGTTGAAAGTATTAAATTGACCCTGTACCGAGCATAAGGCTAAGCAAACATTCCAATACTAGAGGCGACGTAATAACATAGAAAGAAAACGCTAACTAGCAATGAGTCAGTAAACAGAAAAGCTGATGACGACTATTAATCTTTGACACGGTACGAATCATGTACCATTAAAACTTAAGACAATGAGTTTCCTCAAAGCGCGGCCAAATGTAATTATTTCCGGTTTTAAGTGATGTAATAGTTTCATTTAAGCGATAAGATGGTGGTGTGAATTGCTAAGTATTGAATTTTTGGTTAATGGTAGAATGTTGGCCTCCTGAGTGGGAACGGTGTGATGTCATATGACGTCAGAAATTCAACTTAGTGGCAACCATCATTAGCTTGAATAATTTCTGAGCCGGAAGTTTCGTAGTTGATAATGACATCAACAAAAATATAACATTTTCTTTCAACAAGCAAGAAGCTGAAAAATGTCAAAATAAGCTTTATAGTGACATTTTTTTAAGTAAAAAATAAAAGAAAACACTGTATAGGAAAGTCGCTGGATAGAATTATGGAATGATTATAGCCAACTCGGCGCTACATTCCTCGTTGACTAGCTACCATCTCACATCCAACGCGCATTATCCTATGATTTTCACGGCAAACCATAAAGGGGAGGAGAAGGGGGCACTTAATTCATTGGTAGTTAATTAAGCTATATAAAGGGTGGGCGGGGCTCATCTTGGACCGGTGGAATGCCTCTTAAAATGTACACACATATTGCAGGAGATATGGCTGCGTTAGTTCAACATGGAGGTAAACTTCCGTTATCGAACAACGGCGACGGTTCGGAGAATAGTTGTTGTATCATGCGTTTCAGTGGAGAAAAGATTTTTTAAGGCAACGTTTTTTGATGCTGAAAGTATATAAGTTTTCTCCACACCATGATAGTTTTAAATGCATTTCCAGCCATTTCAAAGGGCTTAAATTTAAACGTTTTCCAGGGAAGCATGCCCCCGGACCCCCTAGTTGCCTCACGCTAACGCGTTCGAAGTGAGCCGCCCAACTGCAAACTTGCTGCGCAATTCAATCTCAGACAACCAAAGCTCCCCCTTCCCTAGAGACTTGCCCCTTCAGCTTCATTTGGTCCGTTTCCTCGTTGGATCGCACCTCCGCGTAATTAAAAAAAAACCTGGCTACAGGTCTGCCCTGGTTGTTGAAACGTTGGATAGCGCTTTATCCACCGGATAACAGACTATCCATGCAGCGGATAATTGTTAGAGAATCCAACTGCAATTGCACTTCGCCGCACTGGATAGAGATTTATCCAGTGGAAAGCGTTATCCACCTTTTGAACAAATGGGGCATACATCATAACAAACAGTAAACAGCCGATCACGGAATATATACTGACTTTATTTGTATACTACAGTTTTGCCTATGTTACCAAAGACAAATACCATGTCGATAGGAAGCTTAGAAGTCGGATTGGGGGCGTTTCTCAATACAGGTTTTAATTTCTTCCACGGCTAACACACGCTTGTAATACTCATACAACAGAGAGAACTTCTTCAATATCTCCTCGATATCCGGTAAATGTTCTTTTTTTTCTTTCTCTTTCTGGATATCTACGTTCACCTTCAGGCTTTGAAAGAATTCAACGAACGCAATGTCGGCATAGGTAAGCTGCAAGAAAAAAATACAGGGAAAAACAAATTCCTTGCTGATTTTTAAGTTGCAATATTTTTAATTCCATGTTGCATTGTCGCTAAAACGAATTCTTCTGACTTATAACTACTCTAAGTGGCATAGAACATACAGCAAACATATATCAGACCATGCGTCAAAGTGGTCGCTTGCAGGAGGCTAGAAACAATAGGTAATTACTAAGCCGTCAGCCCTGAAAAGTGGTCGCGGTCGCAGGTGGTCGTTTTACGAGGGCTTCCAACTGTAAGGCTTTGACTGGGAAAATTTTGATATTTTGGATAGGTGGTCGCTTATATTATGGGAGTGGCCACTTAAAACAGGTGGTCGCACATCATGGATGTTCGACTTTCTATTTCATTTTATATCAACTTGTTTTAGTTTGAACGATCTCCGGTGCAAATTGTTACTAATGCAATTTAAAAATTTTTTCCATGTTTTTCTTTCTTTTTCTTTTTTTATTTTTCAGTATGCTGTGCACGCTTTTGAAATACTTAAAAGTTTACAGTAATGCGAAAAAGAGTTTGTTGTTGCTGTTGTTGTTGTATCCTGTATGTTTACCTTTTCTCCAAAAAAGAAGCCCTTGCCTTCATCTCGGCTTTTGAGAAGAGCTTCATATTTCCCAAGCCGGTCAGGAACTGTTGTTTCGAAAAACTCCTTCCATAGCTTTTTCTAAATAAAGATAACGGTAAGAAGAAATATGACCACAATAAAAGTGAGTATGTCATTCAGCCGGTTTAATACCTTAACATAGGAAATTCACCCCACCCCCCGCCCCCCTGCCTCATCCAAATGCTCCATTACCTAAGCTGACGCTATAGCCAAAACGGTCTAGCGGTAGTTAGAAACCATTTCTTTTAATCTATTCGTCCAAATTACGGAAAAATAAATAGTTTGCAGAATAGGTGCTATTTTTTCGCGTTTTAAAAGGTGAACGAAGCATGAACGGACTTAGAGCGCTTGCCTGCTCTCGCCAGCAAAACGCGGAATACTAACTCCTGTTCTCTAGGGTAGAATATAAACGGATCACTGTTGGCAGAGGCTACCTTCCGCACACCCAGTGTGTTCACAGGGTGTGGTAGCCTGTGTCGCAGACGTAATATAACCTCAGTTGGTAACGCAGCGTTGTTCTGTGCCCCCAACGAACTCAACGAATTACCAGAGGAGAATTTCGAATTTCTTTTCAATTAAAACAGGCTGATTTAGGAACAGAGCGGGAACGTGAGTTGACGACGGCGCGCGCACATCAAACAACTGGCTTGAAAAATGGCAGGGCGGCAAATTTGGAACCGGAAGTTGATTTTAATCCTTTCCTCGCGCTTTCCCGTCGTCAAATGACGTTCCCGTTCGGTTGCTAAGTCAGCCTACTGTGATTGGAAAATCGACAATGGCTTTGTTAACAGGCGCGCACTCAAATCTTAGTACACAGGTGGGGGCCCAGAACAAAGACTTCGGCGCTCTTCCGCAGACGGACTTAACCAGAGTTTAGTTTTGTCTGTGCCGCAGGCTAAGGGTATGGCTATTGGGGTCTAACTGTGGAATCGTACCTTCTCCTCCTCGTCCTTCTGAAAGTGTGCTTTGACCATAGCAACTCGCAAATCATCCACACCACCAAGGATCATATCAGCTTGCGCTTCATCAAAACTGTCTGATGGACTTAAACCTGACAGGTATATCAAAATATAGTTTGAAAATCAGGGTTTAGCCACTACTGGTTTCCCTACGATTGTCGACCTATGGGCCTGCGCAGAAATTCCATACTGTTGACGCGTCACCACCCACATTTGGCTTGGTCTCTTTTCCAACACTTAGCATAAGCAGCACCTCATAATTAAGACGAGATACTGCTACGAAATAGCCTGTACACAGACGTTGTTTTATTTTTCTTTTCGTTTTCGTCGAGCGCGGAACGTGAGAAAGAATTCCCCCACCACTACCCCCTTGCGCTAGCGCTGGCGGTCAATAAATCCCCCGCAGTTTATATTTTATCACGCGCGTTCGACGGACTTTGAAGAGAAAATAGAGGGTCTGTGAACGGCTAGCTACGGAATTAAGGAGGAGATCAACCTTGCAAAGATCCACGCTGGATTCACCCCTTTACATGGGGTGAATCGGAAACTCTGAAGAATGTAGTTTTGCTTACCTCCTTTTTTGCAGATGTATTTCAGAATTGCACCAGACTGTGCAAGGATCTTTCCTTCAGGAGTCACAACAAAGGGCATCTGACCAAGAGGTGGTCTGCCAGCTAAAAAATAAAAAAAAAAATAAAAACTACATATTCTATGGCTGGTTTTCACACAACTTCATCCATTATTATACTAAAGAATGATTAATCCTCCTGTAGTGAGCTTTTACTTGCGGGAAAAGCAGGAAGTCTTAGAGCAGCTTAAAAACTGATACTTATGAAAATTTTCACTTGGAAAGGATTCTTTATTTTGTGAGCAGATATACAGGGTATGCTTGAATTTCAAGGCTTTTGCATGATGCAGTATCTACATGGCGACTGAGAAACACATTTGAGGGGGGGCTTATTTAATTTTGCAAAGACAATGGTATCAGTCCTCCATAAAGAACTAGAATACAAAATGGCAAAGCTCAATTTCAAAAAAAGTTGGATGTTATGCAGTCCAGGATCAAAAACACATCGGACATTCCAACAATGAATAAACCATCCCGACCCTGGATTAGTCAAAATGAAGTTTTAGAGTTATAATTAATTTATACAGGCTAACATTTATTGGTAATAAATAATCATTTATCAGTAATAAGGGGGAGGCAGGGGAAGATCTAGGGGAAGGGTGCAGGGGGTGCACACCCCACCCCCCCCCAGCAAGAGACGAGTGCACCCTCTCCTGAAAAAATCCTGGATCCGCCCCTGGGAGGTGAGGGAGGCTTAAAAGAGAGGGGCACCCCTAATGAAAAATCCTTCCGCCCCTGGGAAAAGGGGGCTTAAAAGAAGGGGGGGGAACGCTTATTAGAGCCAGCGGGGGGGGGGGGAGGCGGCTTAACAAACGATTTACAGTATTAGTGATATTGTGATATTTGATCTTAAGTATACGAAGCTTGAACACTCAGCAAGCATGACAAAGCAGTTCGTGATGCATGACAAAAGCAGTTCGTGATGCATGACAAAGCAGTTCGTGATGCATGACCAAGGGTGACCAAGCAGTTTGTTACTTTTTTTCAGGGGCGCGTGGACGCATGATGTCAAGCTCTAAAAATCGTTAACTCGACCTCATTAAACATGCACAGAGTTCCAACAAGGAGGAGATATACAAACAAGATCGTTCAAAAAACGTTTATCAAAAGGTAAAAATGAAAACCCACATCATGCAATCGAACGAAGCAAAGATCACTGTCACGAAACCGATCATGATACATTACAGTTGCGTGCATAGCACGCGTCATTGCTGTTTTAAAAACTTCAGCTTCCATACAACTTAAAAATTTCATTATCACGGAAACCTCTACCAAATTCAATCAACAATCAAATGGGTCTTTCGAATTCACCAGCTTATTCTTATCTCCTCAGTCTCCTACTTACATTCTTTTTCCTTGAGCCACTCTTCTCGATTCAATCGAATATCCTCGAAATCAATTTTAGCAGCTGCAAAAGCCCATCGGTCCATTTCTCCTCTTGCACGCACCGGAAAATAGTAAAGCTTGTAACCTCCACCAGACATATTTCGTGTTTTTCTTTCCTCTTCTTATTGTCTTCTTCTTACTTCTCGTCTAGGTACACCTGCACCGCGAGATTTTGTCTGTGTCAGTGACCTTATAATGTTTGGTTCAAGTATGTCAACTATGCATGAGTCGGCGATTTTTAGCTCGTGCTCAGGCTTCGGACGTCCGTGAATGCGGTTGTCACGTCACTGCAAGTCACGCAAGTATAACAGCAGACAACTATAGGAAAAAGCAAGGACGAAGCCATTTTTCTTCTATTGTCTTTATTGGGTTTGTGAATACCCTGGATGCCACAGGTTTTTTTTTATCAAACTGTCAGCACGGTTTACTTTATCACAGGTGTTTCGAGAGCGGAGCCCTGGAGCCGAGGACGTTTGTCAAAGGACCTATCGGACTCGAGCTCGATCAAACGTGACGGCTCGGTACTGAAAGTAGACATGACTAAGCAATTTGTTTCAGCCGTTTAACCCGTCTCCCTCCTACGCTAGGATAGATATGAAGCGAAAAAAAAAGAAATACTATGCGTGATGGGAAGGGGAATCAATCTCCCAACTCCTTCGGTGTGCTCAGTTTTTTGTTTGTTGCACCAGAGGAGCGCGTACCGCGCGATTCATCTGAAAGGTTGGGGGAAGCAATAACTTTTACAGACTAGAGGAATATTAATCCACTCGTCAGCAAAACCAATCAAGTTCACACTACCATGCACTCAAAAACAAACTTATCACCCAGACACTCCCACAACGGTAGCTCAGTTTTTACTTAGCACACTAAAGGCTTCTTAAAATAGAATGAAAAGGCTAACTAGCAATGAGTCAGTAAACAGAAAAGCTGATTCACAACTATTAATCACTTGTGAGATTGAACAAATCATGTACCATTATAACGCAAGGTAATGAGTTTCGTCAAAGCTTAGCCTCCCACGCAGACGTTCTTGGGGAGCGGAGGGGAGGATTGCGTGACGAGCCAAGAGAACGTCTGCGTCGGATACTAGTCAAAGCGCGGACAAATGTAATTATTTCTGGTTTCAAGTAATATAGTTCCATTTGCGATAAGACGTTGGAGTTGAAGTTTAATTGCTAAGAATTTTGGGTGAACGGTACAATATTGCATCCTAATAATGAGAATATTGTGTTGTCACATGACGTCACAAATTCACCACATTGCAACCTAGTTTTCAGGGTTCGCTCTCTCCTGGAAACGAGGTTGACCATTTTGAACTTAGTGGCAGCCATCTTGATTTTGAAGCAACGCAGTTGACGATGACGTCAACAAAAATGTAACATTTTCTTTCAACAAAGAACTGAATCAGCTGCTGAAAAATGTCAAAATGAGCTTTACAGTCAGTGATATTTTTTAAGGAAAAAAAATAAAAGGAAGGCACTGTATAAGGAAGTCACTAGATAGAGTATAGAAATGATATAACGTCTTTAATCGCCCACTCAACGCAGGTTTGCGCACGCAGAAAAGACAATTAAAGGAATTTTCTATCCATGGCGGGTAATTTGTATTCCGATAACTATTTCTGATTCTTACCGTTATAGAGCCATCAAACCCTGAACATTTACCTTTAGACCTCTCCAAGACTTCAATGGTTACTTTATGAAGTGATACCAACTCTTAAAGGGGTAATTAAATAACTATACAAAAACGCCAGCCTTTTCTATACACAGCAGAGTATACAGAGTATAGAGTGTTTTCACTCACGTGACCAGCATCTATGCAAATTTATTGGAACAAAAGAAAGCGTTTGCATCAGAAAAAAGTTCAACTCCCAGATGATTTGTTTGGGACACCAATATGGCCGCCGTGACGTCATGTCAAAACACTCTAAAAATTTATTAATGTTTTGTATGTAAAAATTACTATGGATGAAGGGGAACATATCTGACGAGTCTAATGGACACAAAACTATGACAACTTTGTGGTAGGTGTATTTAGGGGAATTACGTAGCTTTTTTAGATTCTTGGGACAAAACAAATAAGAGATAAAATTCTTCCAGGATTGCTTTCGTAAGGCAATTTGCAGACTATGAATATGGGGATGGTTTGACGCAATTTTCGCGAATTTTATCCTCTTTTAGTCATCATCGAAGAGTTACACGGTAGATAGACATCACTTAACTTGGAAAAAATCTCGAGAAGAAAAAAATCGGAGAAGTGGCGGCTGTTTACGGTATGCCAACAAATGCCATATAGTTTCAATTGATCGCAGGTTCAGAAAAAGCTTGCAGGGCGTTTTGCTATCCAGGTCTTTATTTCAGGCACATTGAGCACACGGTTGTAATGCTCCGCCAACAGCGGAAACTTCTGGAGTTCCTTGGGAATTGTTGGTTGGCCACCAGCAATGTAACCATTAAAGAAGTCAAAGAACGAAATGTCAGCATAGGTCAGCCGTAGGCAAAATAAAAATAAATAAATAAACATTCGCTTAGTATAAAGACCTTCTTTAATTTGCACGATTTTTTTTCTCAGCCGGGTTTCACGTTAGGCTAGACAAAGAAAGCGTTAAGCTATAACCTTGGACGAGACTTGTTGAGATACATAAAATCTATAGCATTTGGCAAATTCAGCGAGTGGGACTCATCGCGACGAAGTATGAAAGAACTTAATTCGCGTAAAAATGACTTCTTCGCTGCTGTCCCCGTGGTGTTGCTTATACTCTCCTAGTGCTTAACTCGCTTTCTTTAATGATTCAAAGAAGACAGACTGCAAATTGTTGTTACTCGAAATATATAGTCTATGTATGATTTATTCACCTAGTGCATCGCGCTCGTACCTTGTCGCCAAGAAAGAATCCCTTGCCTTCGTCACGGCTTTTTAGCAGGGCTTCAAATTTCTCAAGTCTTGCAGGAAGAGTAGTTTCGTTATACTCCTTCTCTAACCCAGCCTTGAAACAAGATAAATAATATGTTTGAAAACTACTCAAAAGTGGACACACTCGGGAAAGAGACACGATGCTGACACACATAAGGCTGGTTTTCACTAATGACGGAGTCGGAGTCGTAACAGAGTTTATGACTTAGTGAAAATCCGCCGCAAAACTCAGAGTCATACGCGAGTCAGAAGAATCAGAACGTTTCCATTTTCTTCCGACTCCGCTTATGACTACGTCGTTTATGATCTAGTGAAAACCAGACCAATCATGCAGTGCACGTTCCCACGCTTTGTGATTGGTTTTGTTCTTCCGCTTCTGCTGGTGACTCCGACGACCCAGTTTTCACTTGATCGTAAAGACGGAATCGTAAGCGGAATCCGAACGCTGTTTTCACTAGATCGTAAAGGTTCTACGCTTCTTAATACGACTCCGACTCGGTTGCTAGTGAAAGCCAGCCTTCAGACAACAACTCACCACCTGGTCAGAACGTTACCCATGAGCATAGCCATATCACCCAGGCAGTGACAGCCATTGGAGAGAGTCACCTTTACGGCAAACGGCAAACGTAAATTTTGCACCACGTGGCCAGGTTTTTGCTTAACATGTGCTTTACTTTTACTGTTCATTAAAAAATTAGAAAAAATTAAAAAATTAGTAGCTTCACGTTAGTGTTGTGTATAACAATTTGGCCTGTTTAGCTACACGTTTTCTTTTTTAAGAAATTCTCAACTTGAATCTGACGTTTGCCGTAATCGCCACTCTAAATTTCTCTGTTGACAAATGTTTCGCCGTTTTCTGGGGCGCGGAATCCGTTACGATATGTTACCTTTTTAGCCTCGTCTTTCTCAAAAAAGAATTTGATCACGGCGTTACGCAAATCATCAGTAGCATCATGGATCATATCTGCCAGTGTTTCGTCAAAGCTGTCCTCTGGACACAAACCTGACGAGTATACATTGTCAAAATTAAGTTCCCGAAGTTTTGATTGACCTAGAGACACTGCCTACGGTCAACGGCCTGTTCATGCGTAGTTGAGAAAAAAGTCTGTATTACTGCAGACATGCGCAGTTTGATCCTAGCCTTCAAATACGGCCGCCTCTCAACGTGCCAGCATCCGGAAGCCATGAAAAGTGGCTGTAGATTTCGCAGGATAAGTGTTGTCCATAAGCTCGTAGCTTCGTGGTGCAACATCAAGTGGGTGTGTGGAGCGAGCTTTTTTTCACCTGCTATTGGCTCTAGTACAAAACTGGCGGAAGTTTAAGATGACTCCCACACCAGCTTAAAACTACTGTGAGAAACATGTTTTTACCCCGGGGTGGGGGGTAATCCCTATAATGGCCTTTACGGGGAGGCTTCGCCTGAAAGGGATACCTTTTTGAGGCTTCAGGTATATGACAAGGTAGGGATTTGAAGTATCTGAAAGGGTAGGGAAATCTGTCATTTCGGTTTGTACTAAGGCCCAAAAGGGATAATGGATGCATTTTATGACTACGAGAAAGTCGAGAGAACACTCTGGTTTTGTGATTTATTCATATTTTTAAGACAGTGCATTCAAAACAGTTAAGAGGGGTGCAAAGTTATAAATTAAGTTTTTGTAGTGGGTACCATAATGCATTATTATCTGTTGAGTACCCCCCCCCCCCCCGGGGGGGTTTACCTGCTTTCCTGCAGATGTATTTCATAATGGCACCAGATTGTCCCAGGATTTTTCCTTCAGGAGTCACGAGAAATGGCATCTGACCAAGTGGTGGTCTGCCAGCTGAAATAATGAAACAAAAAAGGGTTTCAAACTTTTTGAACATTTTATGTTGTATATTGGAGAACTGCTGCGATTGGTGAAAACATATCTTGGAAGGACAAGGTTAAAGATAGCGAGCTTTATGGTAGTCTAGAAAAGGTGACCTCTACCACTCAAAATAAAAGAATTGCTCTTTCTAGACATGTTTTTCGAGATGAGAGCTCTCTCGAGCGCAGCAGCTCATATCATGGGTACCTGCACATGGGATGGCAGAAATAGGATGTCCCTAAGGTACATATACTAGTAATAACCAAAGGTTATGCAGTGAGGGCGACAACGATCGAACTGGTCAAAACGCTTTTGCTCAAAGGCTGTGCTTTGCGCAAGTTTCAGGTGACAGATGGTGAAAACACGCGAGATCAGATTACGAGTGGTAGAGGGTCCAAAAGCGCGTCATCAAATTGCGTTTTGTGCATTCCATTCATTGTTAGTGGAAGTCCAAACGAATGCTGGCTACATACAGGTGACGCATGCGTAATAACAACCTGGAGGTTGGGATTACGGGCTCCTGTTGTCGCCAGCAATTAACACACTACTGAGTGATACTAGGCTGGAGAATGTTCAAGACCTTGAAAGTTGTATGAGAGGTCGAGCCTTATGGGGTCAGTTTTGTTCCCGTCGTCTCTTAGACGTCGACCGGAAGTAAGTAAGAAGTAAGTATTGGAGAACTTAGTCTGCGATCACAGAAATTTAACTTGAAAATGATGGCCCATTTCTTTCTGTCCTTTTCCGTCATGAGGTCATCATCAGGCCATTGGAAGACTAGACTACGAGTAGTCCCCCATTTTTCCTCAGGGATAGTAGAGCGAGCGAAACGCGAACGCGCGTAAAAATAACCCCACGCGAGAAAAAGCGACACGCGGCGTGGAGAGAGAACACGCGCGCTCGCGCTTCTCTCGCTCTACTATCCCTGAGGAAAAATGAGGGACTACTCGTAGTCACACTTAAAGTTGAGGTATAGTACAGAATAATTTTCAATAAAACTGAGCCGTCATCTCGGGGTTTTCTTTGATTCCAAAGTGTTTTCCGGGTTTGAAAGCAATAACATGCAAAAAGTCGTGTCATAGCTTTTCGTCCCTTGTACGTTAACCCGGGTTCCCGAATCCGGGAAATTTTTTGCTTGTGGAATCGGAAATCCTGGGCCTTGGAATCCGGAATAATGCTAATGACTAGAATCAAGAATCAAAGTTTCACTGACAAAGAATCGAGAATCCAGAACTCGGAATCCACAGCGTGAAAGGAGGGGGGAAGGGGCGGCCACCCTTTCCCCTCCCCAAACTACCTCTCGGCTCACTTCGCTCACCGATTTGTTTTTCTTTTTTCCCTCAATGCTGAGCCTGGTCCCAGGCTAGTTTTGGCGCAGAGTGGCGGCTAATGACGTCAGCCTATTTTGCAATCAAACTTTAGTTAAACATACACAAAGGTTTATGTTAATCGACGTCAAAAAACAGACAAGAGCCTGACATAAAGGTCCAGGCTTATGTAAATAAAATTAAGACAAAAAATATAGAAGTATAAAATTAAATTTTGCATTCGCCAAGACCGTGAAATAAACGTTCATCAAACTAAAAAAGCCAAAAACAGTATCATGCAATCGAACGAAAAAAATGTGTATTAAACAAGGATATCTAATATGAGAAACTGAAAACTGCTGCCATCGATGAAGGAAAATTTTGAACGAGTAAACACGCGAGTTTGTCTTGGAGGTATTGGGGAATAACATATCCCTCAAACTTATACTCCAGGATTAATGATAATAAGACCAGATCAGACAACACGAGATAAGATAAATGAAATCGAGTCTTACTTATCATATTTACTGCGGCACTATCTTCTACTTACAAGCTTTCTCTTTAGCCCATTCTTCACTTTCTTCACCGGTCAGCGACACCTTAAATCGAACATCTTCGAAATCAATTTTAGCAGCCGCAAGAGCCAGTCGGCATTTTTCTCCTTTGGCACGTGCATCAAAGTAGTAAAGCTTGTAGCCAGCCATTTTTTCGTCTCGTTTTCTTGCTCTCTAGGCTCGCCTAGCGTCGATCAATCATACAGCAAATATCTCGTAGCCACAGCAGATGAAAGTGATCTGGGTAAAACTCAAGCTTGTTGACTCAAGCCGAAAGAATCTAAGACCCACCAGCCACCGAAGGACTGGCGTGACTCTTTGTGTACCCTACTATGAAGCGCAGCCAACGACGTTTTTCTGGAAAAATAAACTGCTCACGTTCGAAGGAGCAAATATTGAATAGAAATTTCTACAGCCCGAGAAAGGCTAAAAATTTCCTGACAACCAATTCATTCGTCTAAGTTATTCGGAGTTTTTTTTTATGACTTACCAACAATTTTCGGAGACAGTGTTTTTCACAGCTTATATTTGTATTGTATTGCGATTATTAGTAGAGAAGGTCTCCCAAAAATGTCGGATTAAGACAAAACTTCCCGCAAGAATCTTCTCATGAAAATGCGGATACTCGACCCATCAGTATATAGGTATCAGTATCAAATACTTTCGAGACGACCAAAGTTTCCCCAAGACAACCGATCAGATCAATAGTTTTTAGGATAGCTTCAATTTAAAACATGGAGAAAACCAATACATATGAGGTACCGTATTCATTCGAACGAGCGCCCATCCTCGAACAAGCGCCCATCCTAAAGGTTGAAAAAGTTAATAAGCGCAATTCCCAATGCCCAAAGCAACCTTTATTGAATCAGCTATATCTTTAAGGGGTATGGCCAAAAATTTCCCGAAGGCAAAACCATTTCTAGCCCCCTTAAAAGACCAGCACCTAACCTAATTAAAAATGGCAAGTTCTGCGTCATCATTTAGCCTCGTTCCCAGGGCTTTTTTAGTGTAGACTCAGGAAATGAGGTTGCAGCATCATCGACGTAATTAAGGAAGGGATCGAGAAGGGCAACTGTTTAACAGCAAGGTGGAATCAATACAGATAACCAGTTCTTGTGTTTATTGTAAAGAGAATACCTTATTGCTAACCAAAACACTATCTGAGCGTCATAAGACTACGCTATCTTCACTCGGCTAATTTCAAATTGGCACAACATGCTCCTATATATCACACTGGGATCACTTGCTACCGTTGATGAAGTAAAATGTAGAAATGTCTTGTTTCGAGAATACAGTTGCGCAGAAACCTAACTTACCGTACTTCAATAAAACAGGAAAATACTAAGATGTCACCCTACCTGGCCATTCGTCAGTGTCACTAAGCAGTCTATATATTTGATTTTGCATAGTATTGCTGTTCAACGATGTATTTTACTCTAAAAACGTTTAGCTAACGTTACAAATATGCCTTCCTTTGGTCGGGTGATCAGTTCTCCACAGGTCCGTAGGTCATCAAAGGTCTGCGCCGACTCAATGGAGAAATTCCGCATCACGTGATACAAGACTATTTTCTCTTCCAAGAAGGCAAACCGCTGACCTAAAAAGAAAAAGAGGGCAAAGATTAGGAGAAATTAAATGAGTCACTACTAACGATGTAACAAAGCGGCACTTTTTATTAATATGATTCTTTGACAATTGCGCGCCCACGGAGAAAGAGATCATAGAAATGGACGACAAACAACAACAAAAGAAATCGTTTGTTTGTTTACTAGTAGTTTTTTTTATTCACTTGTTACCTTCGTCTGCTGGAGACGAAACCGCCATTATTACATGGTCAACTGAGTCAAAAAAAAGGTTTAACCGTTTCAACAAGCTTAAAAAAGCTAAATGAACTAGCTTATTCATCAGGTAATTAAAGACCTTGTACGACGGTTGAATGCTCATAACTTTGTCGTAAAACCACTCGCCATAAAACTGGAGCCTTGAAAATTTTCACGTCATTTCAACGACGTCAAGATAAACTCACAAATTCTGATGCAACGCCCATATGATTTAAAGTATGAACGCAAACTCACCAATGCAGTTTCTTGGGCCTGCTGAAAAGGGAATATACGCGAATGGATGTCGTCCTTGGCTGTTTTCTGGAAGGAACCGATCTGGATTGAACTCCAGCGGTGCTGGCCACACATCCGAGTTCCTGTGAAGAGCAAGAGTCGCAACTCCAACAGAAGTTCCTTTGGGAGCTGTGTACCCATCTACAAAGCAACACAAGTCATGTCAAACTGTGCGCTTTCAAGCAAAATTTATTTCTCAAGCCCTCTCAGAGCAGTATTTCCAAGATAACAAAAACTTGATAAAACAAACAAATTGGCGGCCAGAATTAATTGTGTCCCAGAAAAATAGTAGGCCGTTCACACGTTTCCAGTTTTTCACTTTCCAAATGGCGATTGTGATTACAAGGCAAAGCCTTTCATGTGAAACTAAGGGACTGCCCACACTTGGTGTTCGGGAACTAATACCTTGGTACCAGCACTAACTGGGGCTGCATTCACACCTTGAGTACCCGATATGTGACCGAGTTCATAGTTACTCCATTTTGCCCTGCCAGACGTCATTTTGAAACATGAGCTTAGCAATGAGTACAAAGCCGGGAACTGCTCCAGAACTAAAGACGGTGTGTATACAGCGACCCGGTAACCACTTTGTACACGCGTAGGCACCGGCACCGTGCCCGAAGTTCAGCGTGGGTACGTGAAAGATGGGTGAGTTCACATTAGTGCCCAGCGAGTACCGTACTCCGGCACCGTGCCCGGCCATCATTACCAAGTGTGAACGCTGCCTATGACAGCTATAAGCTATTTTCAGATCAGACTTCGCACTTTCCCTCGACTCAAAGAACGACTGCGTAAGTGATTAAGGAATAGGGGACACAGATAAAAATAAATTACTATACCCATATGGAAGTCTTCAGTGGTAGTTCGTGCAAAGAAAGGGACTGACGGGAACAATCGTAAGGCTTCCTGTGAAAGAAGGAATAAAAACAGTCAGACCCATAATGACGCTGCATTTTTCGTACGAGTGCTAGATGGAGTCTAACACGAGCGAGCTAAAAGCCCGTGGCTGTATTTGCCGGTACTATTGTGACAAAAGACAGCAGGAAAGTGTTATTAGAGCCATAGTTGGCACAAACAAACAAAAAATACAGTTTAACCTCCCTTAAACGGCCAACCTTGGGGTACCAGCAAGTGGCGCTGAATGGAGGTTGGCCGCTCAATAGAGGTTCGTTTGTCATAAATTGGCTTAATGTTTAGCAGGAACATCATTTTATTTTGAAACAATTACGCAACGGCAGCATTGCTGGTCCACAATCGGTTATCACCTTCTATCTCGGAGGGTATTTTCCTTCATCATCTTCTTGAAATAAAGCCAAAACGCTTGATGGCCGCTTAACAGAGGTGACCACAATGAGAGAACTCTCGTTGGGACGGCCAAGAGGTGGCCGCCTAGAAGAGGTTAAAGTTCCTATTTTTTTCTACAATTATAGTAGGTATTTCAGTATGAAGAACAAAACGAAATAAAAGCAAAACTAAAAAGGCAGTGTTACCGTTTCTGGGCGTTTCTCTGAGAATTTAACAATCATGATCATAATTTTGTAATATAAATTAAATGATTTATCAAGATTTAGGTATTAGGACAGTATAGGAGGATGCCTAAAATCGACTCTCACCTTAATAACACATTCCAGGTAACGCAGATCCTTTAAATCATCAACTGTTAACGTTTCTGGGCGTTGTTCTGAGAATAATAATAATAATAATAATAATAATAATAATAATAATATTAACAACAATGATAATAATAACGATGATGATGATGATGATGATGATAAAGCTGTTAATAGTTACGGTGAAGGTGATGATGACGATGAAGATGGTGACGACCACGATGATGATGATGATGATGATGATGATGATGATGATGATGATTTTTTGGAGTTTTTTACCGCTGTTTGCCTACGGTTTTCACAAAGAATACCCACTGTTTTCCACTGGTGTTCACGATCTAGACTAATCATTTCGTTACAGTTAGAAACTAGTGAGAACACGAAATATCTTCTTCCGTTTTTTCTTGATTACAAAAAAAAGAGAGAGAGAGAGAGAGAGAGACAATTTTAACACTTTCGAAGAACACAGGGCAACGTCACCTACCGAAACGTAATTACCAAAGAAGGTACTACTAATAACCAGCGCGGGCGACATCGACCGAAGGTCAAAACGTTTTTGCTCCAACGCTGTGCTTCGCGTAAGATTCACGTGATAGATGATCAAAACACGCGTGATTAGATTACGAAATATAGAAGGTCCCAACGCGCATGAGATCAGATTGCGTTCTATACATTCTATTCATTCTGAATGGAAGTCCAAACGAAGCTGGCTATATATGTGCTGTGCATGCGTAATAGCCACCTGGAGATTAGGATTGCGGACTCCTCATGTCAGTGCTAACTGAGAAAAAAAAAAAGAACTCACCAAAAAAACTGTCTACTTCATCATGAACTTTTTGTTGTATGACTGGATGGCGTCCAAGAAGATATAGAGCCCAAGTGATACCAGCCGCTGTGGTGTCATGACCCTGAGAAAAACAGAAGAAATATTTGGTTTAATATTGGTAGTGAATTTAAAGCCAGATGAAAAAAAAGGGAAAGATGATTTTTCAGTCCGTGACACAGGCGGCTCAGAGGAAAAAATCCGTTTCCCCCCAACAGGAGTCAAACTTAACAGTGCCGAATCCAGACCTTGAGATAGGGGGGGGGGGGGGGAGGGGTGGGGTCTCCAAAAAAAATTTCGGGCCTCAGTTTGCCTAAAAATAAGGGGGGGCGGGTCCCCCGGATCCCTCCCCTGGATCCGCCACTGCCTATGACCTTCTGGTTACTAGTCCTGATACTCTAGCACTTAACTCTAGCACTGAGTTGCAGGAGAATCATAGGAGCTGTTTGCAGGTCTCTGCTTCCACTCCTCCCAACCTCAAATAGGTAGGCATTCCATCGAACGTCTTCACTGTGACGTTGCTGGTTGGTTGGTGCTCGAATGGCTGCGATCGTTAGCTCCAAGGGAATGCTTTGTTTTAATCTCCTGAGGCTCGTTTCTCGAAAGGCCCGGAAACTTTTCGGGTTCGAAGGCAAATTTTATAGTCAAAACCGGTTGAATAGCAGCACAGTTCCTAGCTCACAAACCAATTGTGCTTCGTTAACTGATAGATTTATTCTGATATCATTAAAATTATTGGAACCTTGATCTTGAATGCAAACACGACGAAGACGAAACAGCTTTACGGGGCCGAAACGTTTTCGGGACTTTCAAGAAAAAGGCCCGTGGGATCGTTTCTCGTAAGTCCCGGTAACTTTTCAGACCCGAAATCAAATATTCAAATCAAAATCCTAAAGAATAAAAGCGCGGGTCCTAGCCAACAAACCAGTCTTTTTTGCTTTTAGTAACTGGTATCTTTATCATAATATTTGCAAATATAATATAATATTTGTGAATAGGAACAACAACAGCTTCCACCTTGAAGGCACCCGCTCCAAAGCCCATTTTGAACAAAACACTTAGTAAAGTAAAATTATTCTCCCTTATAACGCCACTCCTTTCTACTCAATATTAGGCAAAAATCAAATTGCCATTAAGAAGAAGAAAGAGAAATTCTCACCTCAAACATAAACGTATCCACTTCTTCTCTGACACCTTCCCGTGAAATGTCTCCAGTGTCGTAAGATTCCAGCAGAAGATCGAGGAATGCCAGACGCTTCTTTCCTTTATACAGACCATCGTCCTCATCAACCTCCTCCTTCTCCTTTTCCTCCTGTGTTTTACTTTTGATAGATGCTCTTTCAGCAATCCTTTGGTCAATAACCTACGGATTGAAACAAGATTGCTACTTCTTTGTCACAAGAAGGGATTTTACATCGGTAGTTGAGTTAAGTTGTAGACGTTCAGATGATGTAGCGAGAAATTTTGATGTCGCACACTCTTGCAGTTTGCTATTAAGCGCAAGTCTCCAACACAGCAGTTCTTTGTCATATCACGCAACGCTGCCCCTAGAGGAAGAGCGTTGCGTGACGAATTTCATCAGCATTGTTTTCAAAATTACAATAAATTATTACGCAACGTTTCTGCCATCAAAGTATGCTCTGCTCGTTATTACCTTATTCGTAAAGTCGTGGAGAATTTTTAAACATCTTTTATGTTCTCTTCCAGAAGACAATAAAGCGTACAGTGTATCATTCCATAACCAAGGCGATCTCTGTCGCATCTGAATCAACTCACTCACTCTAGAAAAAAAAAAAAAAAAGATCGTTCAAGAACAAAAAAGCCGGTTCGAAGTTGTTGTAAAAAACGTTGTTTTAACAACATAAATAAACCAACCTCGTGAACAAGAAAGGACGAAACACTTGATATGAGTTTTCCTTTTATTAAAGAAAGTACCTTATATTGGACAAATAGAGATGAACCCTAGGTGTTATGGAACTTTGTATCGACAAAATGTGCACGATATGTTTCGACTTAGAAATTTATCAAGAGAACATTCTTTTAAAGTAGAAATAGACAGATTACACGTGCACAGCTGCCCCCTCCCCTCTCCCCACGATTTTGTTGGTTTTGTTTTTTGTAAGATTGTCGCCATCGAGTAATTACAACAACGCACCACAAGGGGAAGGGAGGGGTTGGGGTTGGGGTTGGGGTTGGGGTTGGGGTTGGGGTTGGGGGTGGGTTGGGGGCATTTTGACTCATACCGAGGGGCGGGGAAACCAAGATAGCCGCCCGTTATAGTACTCGATCGCGACAGTCTTACGAAAAATAGAACTGAGACTGTAAACAGTCTCTATAAGAAGGGGTGGACTGTTTTTTACTTAGAGCGAAGTGTAACTTTACTTAGAGTGAAGCATGGTGGACGGTGCGTTTTACTCAGAGTGAAACAAGGTGGACTGTGCGTTTAATTAGAGTGAAGCGTGGTTGACTGTGCATTTACTTAGAATGAAGCGTGGTGGACTGCGCGTTTACTTAGAGTAAAACGAGGTGGACTGTGCATTTACTTAAAGTAAAGCGTGGTGGACTGTGCGCGGTTACTTTGAGCGAAGCGAGGGAAAAATGCGACCTTGGTTATCTTAGCTATAATTAACTGTAGCTATCAAAATTCTAATCAACACAGATTGAACACCGTAAGCTATGACTTAGACAGGTCTTTTTCAATAGGCTGCATGTCTTTAGAATTGTTACCTTAAAACTGCGCTCACGTATGGGGAGTCGACATCTTCTTGGGCGTTTGGCGACGCATCCATTGAAGTAACTAGAAGAAAACATTATATTAGGTAAACATAAAGGAACGATAGTGCACAGTAAGTAGCGATTACAATAAAAGCACTCAAAACACAAACAGCAAAAAACTGACTCACAAGTCATTCAGTCGAGCATTGTATAAACACACAATATTGAAAGCGAAAAACAAACACGATTTCTGAAGATTTGGCCGGTAAGCGCGTGTCATCTCTTGGCAAGAGGGGTGTGGATGGGGAGAAGAAAGAGCTATCTCTTTTCTCGCTCACCCCTCCCTTCAAACCCGAGTGCTTATATGAAGCGCTCAGGTTAGACGATGTTGTCGTCTTGCATTTTACTGAATACATGTACTTACTGCAAATAACGTCTAGGGCACATAGCGTGATATACGGCATTATGTTGAAGACACCCTTGCTGGCCTCCTTCTGTAAAAAAAAAATGCGATTAAATGTGTGGTATATAAAGTTAGGCGCAACAAATTTGGGAAGGTGTGGTCAGAAATGGGAGATCAGAATAACGGATAATTAAGTCACTGATCTGTAAAAGGCAGCAACGGTCTGGGACAGGACCGGTGAAGCAAATCTCCCCTCGTAAACGATCCCTGCCATTTTTAAGACACTTGACCTGTTATTGAGCGTGTTTCCATTAAAAAGAAAGATGAACGCATCCACTAAAAAATCCCGAAAAAAATTCCGAAAACTTTAAGTACATTAACTACCAAACTGTCTTTCTTAACTGATACATCAATAACAGGTGACTGTAGTCCTTTCTAATTTTTAACGTAAATTTAACTTACGCTCCTACGTCCCTCTTTTTAAGACTATTCAAAAACGTATCATTTGCATTAAACAACTGAAATGAGATATTACATCTATCATGACTTAAGGCTTGCTTACAAACGGTGGCATGGACCGTTAAAATAGCAACGACAGTCACTGTGAAAGGTTTGAACCCAGGAGTCATTTCAAAAGTAGGTTGACTTTGATCGTCCGGGTGAACGTAGTCCTGAATAGGACTGTCGTTGTTGACTGACGTTTCGACAACCTGTGCGGTAGTCATCTTCAGAGTCAAAGCAACGACTGTTTACCAAAGGGAAATAAGCACCAGCCACCTCACAGACATATGGAAAGATTGAGGGACGTACACAGGATTAGTACTCTTATGAGCTCTTTGAATTCCATGACTTTCAGTGAATTTTTCTTTGACCTTTTCAAGTCCTCCATGACTTAAGGTAAGCTGTCGCTTTTAAAAAATGTTCAAAACTATCTTTTTTAGGGCACTTGTGACCTAATTTAGGTCAACAGACACAAACTGATATCCACTAAAATGCGTGCCATTCGCGCAAAAACAGCCGCCATTTCGCAACGCCATCAGTGGTTTCTCCGCGCGGAAATGACAAGAGAAACGAGGTTAGAAATTCTATGATGATAATGCGTCACTTCCCAGATCTGAGTAGTGCTTCTGTTTGGCTGAAGCAAATTAATTTCCCTCTCAGCATGACCAGTCAGAAGCGCTACACAGAACTGGGCATATACGTAGTGATGCGTCATCAGAATGGAATTTCTACGCTCGTTTCTCAGAGGTCATTTCGCGGGGAAACCTGTGGTGGCGTCACGAGCTGTCGGCCGTTTTCCCAGGCTAGCGCTGTCTAAACCCCTAAACTAAAAGGGGATCAATTTAGGTTTCCGGGGAAACTGCCCACCTACCCCTCCCCTAAGCCATCATTTTGCCCTAAGTGAGAAGTAAGTGTTAATTTTAGCTTAGGGGAGGGGTAGGTGGGCAGTTTCTCAGAAACCTAAATTGTTCCCTTAATGATACCAATCTGGGAGTGGCTACCCCTAAAGGAGACCATAACCCAACACAGTATGAAAGCCCTTGGTTATTTTGTGATGGTGTTTTCTTATGCGCAATTCTGATCACCAAACATGTAACTCAACACTCAATACACAACGGTTTTTCTCACACATGCTCTCTTATGGCCTGTTAGAGGAGTTCAGTTTGCGGGGATGGTACAAAAAGATGCGAGCAGGAAAAAGAGTGAGGGGGGTGGGGTATGGAGTGAGAGCGTAGGATCGCTATCTCCCTCCCCCCCCCCGTTATTTTTTCCCCGTTTGTGACTTTGCACCGCACTTCACCAACTGCCCAGAACAGGCTAGCTCTCTTGCCACAAGCCATATCGTTATGAGTAACAATATTGGCTTCCTTCGACTCCTACATTTGGACTTTTCTTTCTTATACGGGACGCGTTTTTTTCCCGCGAAACCAATCACATAAAAGGGTGAATGCAGATGGATTCTGCACTTTAGCGCGTAATTCGTGACCACAATTGGCTCACAGATACGTTACGAGATATTCAGCAAACTGTCAAGTGTAACGTCTGTGGGGTACCATGTTGTAATTTTTAACCTACATTATCAATGTTTTTTTTTTTTCCGCGAAAACAACCTTGGAAACGAAACTTCAGTGAATTATATGTCGCTGAAATTGCATTGCTTGACAGTGAAACTTGGCAGACAGCTTTATTTTGTTGTAATCTTTAAACTAGTGAAAAAGTGTGCAATTTCTTAAGGGGTCACTTTAGCTCCCAAGAATACCTTAAGTGAGAGCAAAATTTGTAATTTCTACCCCTAAGGCAGCCAACGAGGTATCGCTTTCACTTTAACAAAAAAGTACTTTGTGACCCGCCTGATATCGAGTAATTACCTCAAGATGTTTCACCAAAATTGCTGCTTGTTCTTCGAACACCTGAATAAAATCATTTAAAATCCTGAAGTGAAAGGTTGGGGTAATCAACCTCCTTCTAGTCTTCCACTTTGAACCATCACTAAACAAAAGAAAACGAAAAGGAATAACTATAAATATCAACACATTTTATTTGTATACGTAACTGTGCTTTGCAGTTTCGACTTTTTCTAAAAAAAAAAATGTATTATTAAACATCATGGTATGGACGTTTTAATGAGACTTTTTAATGGTTTAAGATTTTTTTCTTCCTTTTCTTTCTGTCTTTTTCTTTTCCTTTTTTCTTCTTCTTTTATGTTTTAATTTTGACATTTTCATTATAATTTATAACTGCGAATCGGGGAATGGATATCAAAGAGCTTTACAGTCATCTCACATCATGATACAGTAGTTATAATGCTTTTGACAACTTGGTATAAAGACATGTAATTTAATTTTTCTCTTTAAATTCCTTTAAATGACTCTTTACTGGACAGACATCACTCTTAGATGCACAAATAATTACTGCCCGTCTCAAAGGTGTCTGTCTTAAGTAGAATTGACTGTATTCCAGATCAAGTGGTATTGAGTTTTGACAGCTATACACCTGGTACAGCAGTATGTGACTGTACAGTAAACTGCAATGATATGCAATTTATAGATCGCTAGAATTTAAATTAAATTTCTTGTCTTGTCAGAAACTAGACTACCTACCTGGTCAACAAGCCTTAATATTGGATAGGAGCCACAAGTTGAGATTCAGAATCAGACACAAGAGGGAAATAAAAAATGAGAAAAACAATCAGAGTCAACAAACTTACACTGTAAATACTAACGATTATCTAACTGGGATGAATTAAAATGGCCTTTTACTTAAAATGCAAGTGTCGCTTTATTTTTATCAAAATTCAAAACAATTATAGCAACACTCGTAAATTAAAAAAGTGGTTGATTTAATTGGCCCAGGTTAACAATCTTTTATTTTCTATAAATCACAAGTTAGATTTAGTGCAAATATAAAGGTAAAGCAACCATATTTTACGTGAAAAACTTGTGACAGTAATTCAACTGAAAAACTTGAGGTCAACAATGCACTAATTTTACCCACCTCCCTCCATTATGTGCTCCATTTTAAATGTATTTAATCAGTGACAAAATTGTTAAGACATGGGTATACGTAGGAGAAACACATATCCCTAGGAATATGTGTTTCCTGGGTAGGGGAACACATATCATTAGGGTTTTGTGTTTCCTGGGTAGGGCAACACATATAACTAGGGATATGTGTTTCCCGGGTGAGGTCATACATAACACTAGGGTTTTGTGTTTCCCAGGAAGGGGAACACGTGATAGGGTTATGTGTTTCCTGTGAAGGGGTACACATATCTCTAGGGATATGTGTTTCCTGAGTAGGGAAACAAATATGACTAAGGATATGTGTTTCCTTGGTAGAGGAACACATATCACTAGGGATATGTGTTTTCTGCGCAGGGGAACACATATCACTAAGGATATGTGTTTCCCAGGTAGTGGAACACATATCACTAGGGTTTTGCGTTTCCCGGGTAGGGGAACACATATCACTAAGAATATGTGTTTCCTTGGTAGAAGAACACATATCACTAGGGATATGTGTGTCCTGGATAGGGGAACACATATCATTAGGGTTTTCTGTTTGCCCCCTTCCCCAAGAAAACAATGTTAAAGGTGTGGCTGGATCATTTCTGACCTCCAATGAACAACATTGACCACCAAATCCACGAGACAGGCATTCTGTGGGTGAGAGAGAGCAAATTCTTAACACTTTTTGTGCAAGATTGAAGGTTAGCTATCTTTAAAACTCACCAGTTCCAAGCCATGGATGTAAAAAGCTGTAATCAAAAGACTTCCCCATATGCTTTGAGGTAGACAGAAGTATCTAAAAGGAATACACAAAGAATGAGACAAATGTGATGTGCAGTATGCATGCAGGCACAGGGCTTGAAATAGTGGCCAGTCAACGGACAATTGTCCAGTCTAAAGTACATTGTAGGCTTTGTACGATAAAATCCTTGGATGACCTGATTTTGCAAGTCTGGTTATTTATGAAACTAATGGGAAATTTTTATTTTCAGAACCGGGGGCAGAGGGGGGAGCTTTTATGGAGCTGTGATGTAGTACATATTTTGTAGATATTTGTCCAGGCTAAAACAAGTTCAGTTCAAGCATGAGACCAAAAAAGGTTTGCCAGGACAATTTGATCGGTGCCAGCTGCAAAATAATTTCAAGCCCTGAGGTGTACGGATGTGAAGCCCAAAGTTCCAGCCTATAACTCCCAATGCAAAACTTCTTTTTAAATGCTTCAGTCATAGCCTGCGTAGCACAGCAGTTTTGGTCGGTTTTTTTTCTAATTACTTCAGTTGCTTTGCAAAAGCATGCAACTATAAAAACTTAATATCAAAACAAGTGCACCCCTCCTTTGTACAGGTTTTTGCCAGTGAGCAAGGGACTGGTGAAAAAAGAGATTTGCAAGACTAAAGGCATATTTTCCTACTAATTGGATGTAATATTTATTTATTAGGTAAGTTAATTTTTATTATTATTATCATTATTAAATTATTATTATTATTATTATTATTATTCCAAAGACATTTTTTTAAACTTAAATCACTATCAATTTTATTAGAACCTAAAATAGTTTCCCATTTTCGTTATTTTAGGGGCACAATATTAGTTCACCTAGATATGCCCCTCTCCATTCCAGTCTTCATTCTTTCTTCGTTTTGTGACAAACACAAACACATATATGTGATGATCTTAACTGCACTTTATCACATATTATAAACTTTCTATGACTCAAGCTCCAAGGTTTGTCTGTCAATATCTTGCACTCTTTATTTAACAAATCAACTGTAATTTTCTATGGTCTATACTCTCATAGAATATAGCTCTCGACCAATCAGTGCGCAAGGAATTGCTCAGTTATTGCAGAAAAGGAAATGGACAAAATGAAATGAAAGGAAATGAAAATGAAATTATTATTTTTTATTTTTGCGCATCCACATTAGGCCAAAATTTGGACTTACCGTAAATCCTCTATTTCAATCTGTCAGTTTTTGCCAATGAAACGTTGTCGGTTAGTCTCTGTCGTGAAATTGACAACGTTTTTGGTGCTGTACGAACATGTTTTGATCACGTGCTGTCTAAGTTTTCGGCTTTTTTGAGAGAGCATATTCTAATTTTAAAGTCTGCATGTGTCAATTTGCATCACCATATTAAAGTTCACATTGGAGATACTAGAAGAGTTTTTTTTTGTGAATCCGCATTGGAGTGTTGAGGATTTAAAAAACTAAATTTTGTGTGAGATTCCGAAGACACGTTTTATGGATTTTGGTTTACTTCACGAAGGAGAATATGTAGTGTTGAATGACGTTCGCACGGTAGACATTTGCCTCGCTTCGCTTGTTTACTTGCTTGTTTACGTTAGCACGTATTGCATGCCTATTGCACTTTTGCGTCATAACAAGCCGTTTCCATCACTCTATTTGGGCCATGCCCAAATAATGAGGAGGCAATAAATTTGTGGCAAATGGTTAACACCTCAAACTCCGGATCTGGAGGTCTGGGGTTCAAGCCTCGCCGGTAGCATTAATTACTGGGGGGCTTTTTCTTTAAGCTCACTTGAGTGGGGGGGGGCTAATAGAGATTGGGGGGGAATTTGAGAGGTACGGCTTATTTAATTTAGAAAAGACAATGTTATCAGTTCTCCATAAAGAACTGCAACCAAAGCAGTTGTTGAAGGGTTAAACTCACCTCAGCATATTCAGGCTTGAACAGCAGTGTGATAGAATACACTGGCCCTAGCCAAATACATATTAGTCCCTCTTTCTGAAACTGCTGGGTGAATCCAAGCATTTGTTTTATTAACTCTGAAAAATAGATGCATGTTAAAGAAATGACAATAAATTAATTTGATTGACTGACTGTCAAGTATAATTTTGTGGATAAATTCTACACATAACCCTTACAGTGCATCATATTTGCCCCTTGTTTTAAGAGCAAAGCAAGGCCATTTAAAAGGAGAATCGATCATTAATTGACTAACAGTAGAACCCCAGTAACCTGAACTCTGAAAAAAAAAAATTGAGACAATTACAGCATTGAAGAAATCAGTTCCAGGGTCAAAAACATAACAAGTCCGCACCGGCGCGACTTGGCGATAATCAAAGTTCCCACCACAGCCTCCACCCTCTTCCAGTTTGACATTGACAGGTGCATAATGCAAAGCCAATGTACAGTTGGAACTATGAGACTCTCAGGGAGGTTAGCCATGGTGAAAAAGGGCTTTTAGATTGACTTCTCTGAATACTACAGCTGTAGTTGGTGAACAGTCAAGACATAAACATCCCGAATGAAGATCACTTGAGACAATAGCACTTTTCACTAATGATGTCACAAATTTCTGGTCCCTGCTGTGACTCTGAGATTAAACCTGACCAGGGTAAGAGTTTAGTGTGGGAAAGTCACGTTCGGCAAAAAGTTTTTGTCGTCTTTGAAGATATGTTTATCGTTAAAGAAAACAAAATCCAGCTTGGTTTCGATAATAAATATCCTGATAATAATCAACGCGTGCCAAGACAGCGTTAAACATGGAAAATACTGTACAGATGAGTGGTTTTATTTCTTATGCGGCGTCATAATACTGTGAGTAAAATTATGTGAAAATGTGTGGAGTCGAGAGCAGGGCTTCATAGCTGTTCACGAAACGGTGCATTTGGTGAAATTTATAGGCAAAGGTTGCTCAATTTTTTTTTTTGAGTGTTCATGTTACACTACTTAGTACCACAGGATATAAAGTACTCAAGTATTCGTCCCGGATTCGTATATGGTATCTACCTGGCCGCACAACAACAGAACAAACTTACACAATTTCCGGTTTGTGCTAATGTTGGTGTGCTTTCCACCTTAGATATTCTGCCACAGGCTTGCGAGAAGCACATCCAAACTCGATTTTGTCTTTAATTAGCAATTTCGGTTTTGGAGTATTACACAGCCAATAATGTCATGTCATGTTTCAGTGCATAGCAGTGCTTTCTGCTTAAGACACAGAGCTAGGGATCCGATTTCAGTAGCCTTCTATGATCGAGTCGTTTTATTTTCTGATTTTAACCATTTATTTGAGTTACTGGACCAGGTTTTGCCCCTTTAGCAGTAGTGCCTTTTATATACTGGAAGTATGCTCAAAAAACATTTTAAAAACGCTCACGGCGAATTTTATGAACAATTTTCATGTGGAAATGCATGTTTCCCATACAAAGCCTTGGAGTAGAATCCCGGGAGTAGAATGCAAAGTTTGTCTGAGTCACGGGGGGTCTAAGGTGATAAAACCTAGTTTTACAGGGTGTAACTAATCAATATTTTCGATACTCGATAGAAATCGAACGTAATCGATCGTAATCGACACTAATTAATCGATTACTATCGGAAATCGATAGAAATCAATCACTCGAGTCTTTGTGATTGTCGATTTTGATCGATTTCAGTTAAGTTAGCTATCGATTTTTATCGATTTGTTTGACAATGATCAAAAAGAAAATGGACGAAGATTCTCTGCGCTCCGTAAGCCACCATGCGTGCCTGCCCATAAGCGCTCGAAAAATATCCTTTTAACTTCTCGGAGAACGGACGACAGTTTGCCAATTTCTACAGTAGTGATTCAGGATATTAACCATTATTCTGATGATTCTAGAGTACAAATGCGCGTAAAAGTTTTCCTTTGATTTGTTTGTTACTTAGCGATATTCAATACTCCTAAGTACAGCAAAGATCGAATACACAGTACACAGCACCATAGGACTGCTGGGCTGAAATCTGCTGAAATATTGCTTTAAACAACTTTACAGCAGTGATCCCGGTGAAAAAAAAAAACAAGAAAAGTAGCTACCACTGGAGAAAGAAGTAACATCGTCTTTATCAACAAAGCGGATTCGAAGGTAAGCTTGAAGGTAAGTGTTATCGATTTCAATCGATTAAATTGACTAATCAATCGACAAATATCGTGTACTATCGAGTATTATCGATTAATTGATTACATTTTCGATGATCGATTTCTATCGATTAGTTACGGCTTGATTTTTAGTAATAGTGGAAAGCGCTATTACAGCACTGAAATCGGTCAGTATAAAACACGGACTGCGGACTGCGGACTGCCGACCACGGACGGCGGACTGGGTATAAAATACGGACTAGGTATAAAATGCAGACTCCGGACTGAGTATAAAACACGGACTGGGTATAAAACGCGGACTACGGACTATGTAAATCAAAACAGCCTTAGAAAGGTAAAACTGAGAGAAATGGAAAGCGGACTAGCAAAAACAGTAGTCCCAGCTTTAACATTCCCTTGGCTGTTCACGTAGTCTATTCTTCCCTCGGAGAAGGAAGGTTATGCCGGTACTCAAGGCAAGTGAAATTTAACTCTGAATTTTATAAAAAGAAGGAGTTAGAAGAGATAGTTTTAGACCAATAAGAAGCACCGAATTAAAAAAATAGTGTTGGTGTCTGAGTCAGATCAGTAAAATTCTTATCGAACGCCACAATTCCGTATGAGGACTGAATGAAGAACTCAGACGAGAAGGTCAATGTAGGGCATTCCGCGATGCACAAAAGCGGTATTTAGGGGGGAGGGATTACTCACATACGTGAATAATAACTGAAATGAGTCATCCAACGTTATATTCCAAGCGATGATTATGATGACATGATTTACACCCTGCTCCTTATCCCCGGAGGGGGGTACTACTGGGAATTCTTGGTGTGGGGTGGTGCCTGGTTCTCCGAATCCTGATCATCCTGACCCCTTTCATGATTGTTGGAGACCGAGACAAGGTCTAAAAATCGGTGAAGAAAATAGCATTTTGATCAGGCACAGGATTTGGAAAACCGGGCGGCACACCTCCACCAAGAATTTATAGGAGTATTTACACCTTTAACTCACGTGTCTCGCTATTTAGCGATCTTTTGATCTTATTTTTCCTTACCTAGAACCAATTAGCACCGGTTTTTTTTTTTGTAGTAAGTAGTCCGTATTTTATACCCAGTCGGCAGTCCGCAGTCCGCGTTTTATACTTAATCCGTGTTTTATACCCAGTCCATATTTTCCAGTCCTCGTTTTATATCTAGTCCGTATTTTATACCCAGTCCGCAGTCCGTAGTCCGCAGCCGTGTTTTATACTGACCGCTGAAGAAATCAGTTCCAGGGTAAAAAAAGTGTGACTTTTGATAGCGTCTGGATCTTGATCTGGGGAATGGATGATATCACAAACTGAAACTAAGCAACTCTATTTTCTGGGGTCAATAACATCTCAATCTCATTACATGGGGCCAGCTTACATGTACGTTTTGTCTTTATAAGATGAAGTTTTGGCTTGTACTTACCATCGGGCAACCGAGCAAGCTGCAGCGCGTTTCCAAATAGAAAATCCGGTTCGGGACCTGGTAGCTTTCGTAGGACAGCGACGGATCGATGCTTCAAAAGAACGAACGTTGCCGCGAGAACCGCGGCTGCTAAAAACAGCGACGAAACAGCAGCAGCAACAAGAATCATCTTCGAAGAAGTGATGCAAAAGCTTCCTTAGTTATAACGTAATCGTAAAGTTTATATTATAGCATGACTTAACAAGGTCAGAGGGACATCGGTTGTCTTTACACTAAGCTGTTAACCCTTGGCAAATTTTAGGCAAAGGCAAATTTCGACCAAGTTTGCAAATTTTCTTTTGTAACGTTTCGAAAAACAAATAGCACTATGTAAAAGTACAGGCAGAGAGCTTTCATTTGAATGGTCACATCACAGGATTTCGTCCACAGACTCAAAAGTTAGAGTCATCTTACAAAACTCTATCAAACACTCTGGCAGTGAAAGGGTTAAGTTAAAGTAAGACTTAGGAGCCGCTAAGTTTTACTTAACCAAAAATTCGTGTGTGAAGGCCTAAGTAAAATCTCAAGTAACTTTGCTTTGCATCTCATTGGTAGTCTTTACACTAGAGCCTAAATAAGCTTAAAGAAATATTTGAAGACAAGTAAATTTTAATTACTTCAAGGAAAATAAAGCTTCACACACAGGCCGTCGATAAAACCAGGAACATGGAACATTCCGGAACATGCCGGAACATTCCGGAACATGAAAAATTTTTTACAATTTTAAAAAAATAATAGCAAGAAATAAATAAGACAATAAATATACTTTATATATAACCAAAATAGACATAAATACATAAAATGAAAACGAAAAATAAAGAAAGAAAATGAATCTAGTATCTTCTCCGAGTATAAGGAAACAATATTTTGTGGGAATCACGAGAGGATGAAGCTTTATCCTCTCTTGGTCGGAATTGATTTGCTGGGCGAGTGAGGGCAGTTCCATGCAAATGATAGTCATGATTGACGGTTCGCCTCTTTAAAATATAGTAGATTGGGTTGCGAAGACGGGAATTTTTAAGCTTTCCTCACACAGAAAAAAATCTTTGGAAGTCGCTGGGACGATTTCCGAAATCCTGGTCATTACAAGACGAAAATCTCACGCATTTGGCTCGGAAAAAAGTTGGCAGGTACATGACTCTCATATAAATACTGTAAGCTTTAATATCGCTTGAATAAAAAAATGTAATCTACTTTGCCTTTTTCCTGAGAAACGAAAATACAAGGGATCGTACCTTTCGCAGGAAAATGAAGGGTACTCACCTTGATTTTTCCACTTCGTTTGGTCCCCGGTTTAAGATATGTAACACCAGTGATCTTCAAAAGCGAAGAAAAAGTCTTACAAAACATTTTAAGATAACAAAAGCAACATTTAACAAAGGAAACTGCACGAATTACCTGGCAGTCATCGTCCAAACTGCTGTCTGAATCCATGTTTGCTTTCCATGTTGTTATGAAGCAAGAGTGTAGCGTGATTGTGAGATGGCGTGATTTTATTATCCCTTTGATTTTGTTATTAATAGTTTCACTCGTCTGTCAGAGCGACAGAGAACTTGATGACAGATGGCATTAAAATCAAAAGCTTATAGATTCAAGAAAGTCACGATTTTGTGTGGTGTGTGAGCGAGCCGTTGTACTGTCAGGATCGAAGCTGTGAAATAAACCCTGTTTGCTTTAAAACTGTGATATCGTGAAGAACGGCCCTTCGGCATTCACGACACATGTGATCCTGAGCTGAGTTGGCGGGAAAGTATTGGAGCCTTCACTCATATGCTCTTTCTTTCTTTAGTTTTATTTTTTGGGCTCTTTAGTTATGTTTATATTTATTGTCTTATTTATTTCTTGCTATTATTTTTTTGAAATTTTAAAATTTTTTTCATGTTCCGGGATGTTCCGGGATGTTCCGGAATGTTCCGGCATGTTCCGGAATGTTCCATGTTCCGGGTTTTATCGACGGCCTCACACACAACCGATTCTTTTTTACTTCAGGTTAACTAAGGTCATTTTCCCACGCAACATAATTAAGACTGATTGGCATGTTTTGCCTTTCTCAATGCTCAAGAAACCGCAAGTCAGCTAAGTCGGCCATAAGGATGGTTTTCAAGTCGCTTGAAACTTTCTTGAATCGTTTCAACTTTCCGACTTTAAAGACAACCATTAAAGTCGGAAAGTTGAAACGATTCAAGAAAGTTTTAAGCAGCTTGAAAACCACCCTTATGACCAACTTAGCTGACTTGCGGTTTTGCGGTTTCTTGAGCTTTGAGAAAAGCGAGACATGTCAATCAATCTTAATTTTGTTGAGAGGGAAAATAACCGAAGTAAAAAAGAATCGGTTGTGTGTTAAGCTTTATTTTACTTGAAGTAATTAAAATTTACTTGTCTTGAAATATTTCTTCGCTTATTTAGGCTCTAGTGTAAAGATTACCATCGGTTCACCTTGAATGTCCTGCGATCAAGTGTTTCGCAAGTGCATGTTCTTGTAACCTGAGATCAGGCTCAATTTTCGTTTCGCTTTGTAAATAACATTCCGGTGGGCAAGGTGAAACGGAAACAGAGGGCGCTTTCCATTTACTCAAAATTTCCGGAATTTCCGGTTCGGCGGTAAATGGAACACGTTTCGTCGGTTCGTCCCACTGGAAAATTCCCAGAAAAAGTGGAAAATCTAAAAAGGTGGTCCCGTTTTCCCGGTTGGAATTTCCGAACGGAATCTCGTGTTCCATTTACGTTTCTCATAGTTTGTACCAGTTCCAGGTCCACGGTCGGGCACCGCCACGTACCGGGGTTTACGACCAAATGGAACAACTTTTTACCAATCGGAAATTCCACTTTTGCTACCACCGAAATTTCCGGGTTTTTTTCCTAAATGGAAAGCGCCCAGAGCCTGATACAAACCTTCTACGAAACGTCTGCCGCCCACTTTTTGATTGATTGACATTTCTTGAATCGGCCAACCAAAATTACTTCCGTTGCTTGATTTTTTAGTATGCAAATTTTTGATACGTGTGAAAGCTGCAGACTCGCTGACTTAAAAAATAGCATTTACCATATAATTTTTTCGACTAAAAATAAAACAGTCAGCACAATCGCATTTTAAAAGTTCTTGCGAGATTAAAGGAGACCTCGAAGGTTATTTCTGTTGGCGTAGAAGGTAAAAATTTCTCGAAAAGACGGCGACACGAAGTTCTAGTTTTAATATATTTTGGCTATCGCGCTCGAATTAAAATACTGAAATTTCTATTTTTCTGTTGCCTTTACATTTTCCTCAGCAATCTTCCCCGATTTTCAGTACACAAATCTTTAAAACTCTTGGAGAAATAAATCGCGAACTTCTTCAAAGGATATATAAATTATCTCAGAATAAACCAAACCAGTTCTCAAGTGCATTTAATTTAGCTGACTTAGTCCCGTGAGTACACTTACAATTTGCGAATTTACTAGAGAAACAAACGTCTAACAAAATATATTTTTTTACCAGTCAAGGAAAATATTATCTGCCAATTTGGAAAGACGAAACGACACTATTAAAAATGCATGCTTAACTCACCTATAAATAAAACGAAAAAAAAAATATTACAAACACACTTTGTAGTTCTCTTTAGTTGTGTTGTTGTTTTTACTGCAGGTCTGAAAAGCTCGCTAAATTTATTAATCGAAGTTAACAAACAGCAAACAGCTAACGAGCGAGGTCACCAGTTTTCCTGGTTTATTTTTACACGAAGAGAAGGCAAACAACAAGTCTGTTACCTTAAGAGTAGCGCCACGTAGCTTTTATAATAATGCCTACAAAAATTCCTTGAACAGCGATGCCATATTTACTTCACAGTTGGCGATTGAGGTTTCTTTCGCAGTGAGCCTCCGCTTGCGTACCCCGTTCAGAAAAGTCGTTCCCGGCTAAACTTTCAAATGAAACCAGGTATTTTGATTTGCACTCGTTTGTTGGTAGATGAAAAGGCACATTGTTCGCGGTGAACAACTTGAAGAGAGATTCAACTCTGCGATACAGTCACATCAGCTGTCACATTAGTTCCGTAAATAAAGCAAATCCTGAGAAGATATGAACAACCACCTGAATTTTCTGAATTTCCATGGCACATATTAAGGCATATTTTCCTACTATAAGACCATAAAACAATAAAAAATACAGGAAAATCGATCCTTCTCTCCGCAACGGCTGATCATTCGCGAAATCAACCACGCGAGGAAAAAGCACTTTCAACTTCCGTTGATTCCGACAGCCAATCAAATCTTGTGGCATTGTTCTAACAGCCAATCAGCGTTACGGCTAAAATCTGGCCGTAACTTGCATAAACGTGAGAGAGTTTGTGTCAGGCGATCAGGCCCAATTTTAGCGGTAGCCGTCATTCTCGTCCCCAGAGCCCGTCGTTTCTTGGTCACGTGGTAGGGAAACGAGGGTCGGTTACAAATTAAGCCGAGTGTCTCTGGGGACGAGAATGCGGTAGCCGTTGGAGAGAATAGGGACTTTAAGATTCGCGAAAGCAAGGGGCTACTACGGCTACATAAGGTCAAAATCACTTCCGGTGACGTCACCACGCGAGTGGCAGTACGGCTTTCCCGCCGTAGCCTCGTTTTCTGCTGCGTCAAATTGCCTTCTTTGCCGTACTCTTCACTACGTGAGTATTCAGCTGTCATTTCTTTGCCATTTTAAAGCTTATTTCGCTTTTCTGAGAAGCCTACCTCAAAGACTAAGTACTTAAACATACGTAGATATTCCTTAGGTATTATTGCTTCGTTGTTTAAGCGAAAACTCAAAAGATTTGGATACCTTATAATCATGGCTGCAGACAAGAAAGCCTCGTAAGAGAGCTTATATTTAAGCTTATAGAAGTTTAGTTTCAATAAGTGATTGTCAGGACTTAATTTCACCTATTAAATTTTTTTTATCTTTTGGCTTATCTGCCAGGGATATTCTTAACAACTTGTTTCGCTTTGAGAATAAATTTGTTATAATTTACCGGCGCTAGAGCGAGCGAACGCTCATTTTAAAGTATTAAAGTTGTGTGACATTTATATTATTTAGTTTATTCCCGACAGATTTAGACTAAATGTTCAATCCCGTCACAAATCGTTCCTTGGTAGCATCCTATGACATCAGGGATTTGTAAAGCCCGCGCAAGCCTTGGGATGTCAGCTTTCTTGAAACGAAATTCTGTAAGACATTCATCTTCGTTGAAATTTTGAAGGTCGAACTCGGGATACAAATGATATGGCAAATAAAGGTTTTCTGAGCTATACGAATTATATAACAACAGAAATGCAGCATCATTTATAAAATTCATGCCATAAGAAAGCACAGCAAGGTCTGCTATTTCTTGAAACGAAACCATTGAAGAGAAATCAACCAAAACGTAGACGGGAAAACTAGTCCTGTCGTCCGAGTTTGTTTACATTTTGTGTCGGTTGTGACGTTGCCGTACCGAGCGTAACTTAACCATTCTGAGCTTTGGCGGGAGACCGGGTAGTCGCCCCAGCCCTTCCCGGTTACAACAGCCGTAGCAGAGCTATGCCGTAGCGAATCTCAAAGTCACTAATGTATGAGAACCGCTAAATTGAGCCTGATCTCAGGTAGCCTGAGTATAAGGCCTTCCTAAAGGGCTAGGGGAGTTTTCCCCAGAAACGCCTGATACTCAGGCTAGATCTCAGGTTAATGTTCTTGCCTCCTTGCCGCCATGATTTATTTTTGCGCGGAGATACTGGGGCCAAGGCTGCTAATCTCAGACAAACGTTTCTCATTTCCGGTTCCGGTAGCTTGCTTTCTCGCTCCGGCTTTTGCCGCAGAAAACACAAAAATCTACCGCTCACGCTTCGCGCTCGTGAAAGAATTTGAGCTCGACTTGTAGGCAAGTCTAGGAAGATCGAAACAAATACCGTAGCCGGGTAGGGGCGTTACTTTTAGGTCGATTTAGGGATCCAAGACAAGGCGTTTAATAGATAGGAGGTGTTTAAAAGAGAGACGTTTATTTTCATTTTTGTGACAACCTTTACAAAACTAATATTCGTTTAGCGAAAATATGAAGAGAGTTTATAAGTAAGTTTAATCCGATGGTGACCAGTGAATTACGGGCGTTTTGTTCAAAATGCGCCGTTAAGAGACACATCGAACTTCCGGTTGCTATTCATGACGTCCGGGATGTCGATCAATCACACAGCAAATATCTCGTAGCCACAGCAGACGAAAGTGATCTGGGTAAAACTCGAGCTTGTTGACTCAAGCCGAAGAATAGGCCCTCCAGCCACCGAAGGACTGGCGTGACTCTCTCAAGCGCAGCCAACGACGTTTTTCTGGAAAAATAAACTGTTCATGTTCGAAGGAGCATATATTGCCTCCAAATTTCTACAGCCCGAGAAAGGCTAAAAATTTCCTGATAACCAATTCATTCGTCTCAGATATTCGGAGGGTTTCTTTCATGACTTACCAACAATTTTCGGAGATTTTGTTTGTCACATCTTATAATCAAGATACATTATATTGCGATTATTAGTGGAGAAGGTCTCCCAAAAATGTTGGATTAAGACAAAACTTCCTCCTAGGATCTTCTCATGAAAATGCGGATACTCGACCCATCAGTATATAGGTATCAGTATCAAATACTTTCGAGACGACCAAAGTTTCCCCAAGACAACCGATCAGATCAAAAGTGTTTAGGATAGCTTCAATTTAAAACATGGAGAAAACCAATACATATGAGGTACCGTATTCATTCGAACGAGCGCCCACCTTCGAATAAGCGCCAATCCTAAAGATTGAAAAAGTTACTAAGCGACCAGCCTCGAATAAGCGCCCTTCTCACTTAAACTTAAATAGGCTGTATCTGCTTCTCGGGCGACTAACCCACTTGCCGACGTTACGATGTCGGACATCGAGGATGCAGCTGCAGAGAATTCACTTGTTGACTTGAGTGACGATGAGATTGAAATTGAAATTAAGTACTTGAATAACTGACAAACTTCCCGGAAGACCGAATTTTCCGCGGACTATTTTACAGAAACCATGCTTTGTTACTTTTTCGCGTTTTGATATTACCATTTGTTGTTTTGTTGCAAAATAAACATACTACACTTGATGAAAATGGTGCAGAAAATTTAATAAACCGTCCCGCCTCTATTAAGCGCCCACCTCGAATAAGCGCCCGATCTCAAGGGCCAATAATTTAATAAGCGCCCAGGGCGGTTAATTGATCGAATAAATACGGTATTTGCAAAAATTCGATCGTTGAGTGACCAGGTACTAGTCGTACTATAGGCGAATATCATCTCTTAATTTTGAAAATTTACAGCATAGCGGTATTAGTAATCTGAAAATTTCAGCTCAACATACCGAATAGTTTCGGAGTAACTCTCTTTAAAAATGAAATTTTTGCCACCAACATAATTTCGCAGTTTTGAAGGCTGTTTTTTCCTTAGATTTTACTTTCAGAAAATTTAAAAATTGCACATATTGCTCAAGTTTACCAGTTTAGTCAACCAGCTTTGAACTTGATTTGTAAGTACGGCGCTCGATCTTCCAGTGGTATGCCAATACATAAGTAAAAATATAAACAGCAACGTACGTCAGCGCAGATAGGCAAATAAAAAGAAGATTTCTCTTCTGCATAGCCCCTTACTTCATACTAGAAAGGAATAAGATTAATTGCTCCATTGCAGTATACTTCACAATGCAAGCTTCATGCACAAAAAAATATTTCAGTATTGTCTCACATTTTCACGCCCAAATCGTTGCCTTGTATAGCCCTAACCACTCTAGCCAAGGGAGTCCTCATTGATACCATGCAACAACCCCACTCCCCGGGGTTTACTTCCTTTCACGGCGAGATGCTTCACCCAGAAGACGTATTAAGGAGTAGGGATTTCGTTCACTTGTTTATAAATGATTATTACAGCAAATGCTCACCATACTGAGCAAGAATAATGCTAATAAACAAGAAGCAAATTGCTTCAAATATAGCAATCGAGTTTCGCACAGAAAAGCCTAATACCTAACTGACCACGAGTCAGCTTTTTTTAGTGAGTTAGTTTTTTGTTTGTTTGTTTGTTTTGTTTGGTTTTTTCTATCTGTTTAAAAATGCGATTTGGATACAGCTAAATCAAAAAAGGTTGCCTTAGTAATTAGTTATTGGTAATTGGGCATTGGACATTTGGACATATATGGAAAAATGCTATGATTTACTTGAGTGACCACCAAACAATAGCTTCCCAATGCGCAATTCCCGATGCCCAAAGCAACCTTTATTGAATCAGCTATATCTTTAAGGGGTATGGCCAAAAATTTCCCGGAGGCAAAACCATTTCTAGCCTCCTTAAAAGACCAGCACCTTACCTACTTTAAAATGGCAAGTTCTGCGTCATCATTTAGCCTCGTTCCCAGGGATTTTTTAGTGTAGACTCAGGAAATGAGGTTGCAGCATCATCGACGTAATTAAGGAGGGGATCGAGAGGGGCAACTGTTTAACAGCAAGGTGGAATCAATACAGATAACCAGTTCTTGTGTTTATTGTAAAGAGAATACCTTATTGCTAACCGAAACACTATCTGAGCGTCCCAAGACTGCGCCATCTTCACTCGGCTAATTTCAAATTGGCACAACATGTTCCTGTATATAACACTGGGGTCACTTGTTACAGTTGATGAAGTAAAATGTAGAAATGTCTTGTTTCGAGAATCTAGTTGCGCAGTACTTACCGTACTTCAATAAAACAGGAAAATACTAATATGTCACCCTACCTGGCCATTCGTCAGTGTCACTAAGCAGTCTATATATTTGATTTTGCATAGCATTGCTGTTCAACGATTTATTTTACTCTAAAAACGTTTAGCTAACGTTACAAATATGCCTTCCTTTGGTCGGGTGATCAGTTCTCCACAGGTCCGTAGGTCATCAAAGGTCTGCGCAGACTCAATGGAGAAATTCCGCATCACGTGATACAAGACTATTTTCTCTTCCAAGAAGGCAAACCGCTGACCTAAAAAGAAAAAGAGAGCAAAGATTAGGAGAAATTAAATAAGTCACTACTAACGATGTAACAAAGCGGCACTTTTTATTAAAATGATTCTTTGACAGTTGCTCTCCCACGGAGAAAGAGATCATAGAAATGGCAGACAAACAACAACAAAAGAAATCGAAACAACAACAACAAGAGTGCCGATGTATTTAGCACGAAGTACCTATTAAAGACACTTTTTTATTTGTTTGTTTGTTTACTAGTAGTTTTTTTATTCACTTGTTACCTTCGTCTGCTGGAGACGAAACCGCCATTATTACATGGTCAACTGAGTCCAAAAAAAGGTTTAACCGTTTCAACAAGCTTAAAAAAGCTAAATGAACTAACTTCTTCATTAGGTAATTAAACACCTTGTACGACGGTTGAATGTTCATAACTTTGTCGTAAGACCACTCGCCATAAAACTTGAGCCTTGAAAATTTTGACGTCATTTCAACGACGCGAAGACAAACTCAGAAATTCTGATGCAACGCCCATATGATTTAAAGTATGAACGCAAACTCACCAATGCAGTTTCTTGGCCCTGCTGAAAAGGGAATATACGCGAATGGATGTCTTCCTTGGCTGTTTTCTGGAAGGAACCGATCTGGATTGAACTCCAGCGGTGCTGGCCACACATCCGAGTTTCTGTGAAGAGCAAGAGTCGCAACTCCAACAGAAGTTCCTTTGGGAGCTGTGTACCCATCTGAAAAGCAATTTTAAGTTACGTCAAACTGCGCGCTTACAAGCAAAATTTACTTCTCAAGCTCTCTCAGAGCAGCAATTCCAAGACAACAACAAAAACAAAACAAAAACAAATCCTTAATTGGCCGCCAGAATTAATTGTGTCCCGGAATTAAAATAGTATAGGCCGTTCACAAGTTTCCAGTTTTTCAGTTTCCAAATGGCAGTTGTGACTGCAATGCGAAGCCTTTCATGCGAAAATAAGGGGCTGTCCACACCTGATGCTCGGGAACCAGTACGTTGGTAGCAGCACTAAATGATGTTGCGTTCACACCTTGAGTACCCGACATGTGAGTGTGTACATAGTTACCTTATATCGCCCTCCCAGACGCCATTTTGAAACACGAGCTTAGCAACGGGTACAAAGCAATGGACTGTCCCAGAACTAAAGACGGTGTGTTTACAGGGACCCGGTGCCCAATTTGTGCCCGAGTAGGCACCGGCACCGTGCCCGAATTTTAGCGTGGGAATTTGAAAGAAGGGTGTGTTCACATTAGCGCACAGCAAGTACCGTACTTGGGCACCGTGCCCGGCCACCAAGCCGGTATGAACGCTGCCTATGACAGCTATAAGCTATTTTTAGATCAAAGACTTCGCACTTTCCCTCGACTCAAAGAACGACTGCGTAAGTGATTAACGAATAGGAAACACCGAGAAAAATACTATACCTATATGGAAGTCTTCAGTAGTCGTTCGTGCAAAGAATGGGACTGACGGGAACAATCGTAGGGCTTCCTGTGAAAGAAGGAATAAAAACAGTCAGACCAATAATGATCCCGCACTTTTGCTACGAGTGCTAGATGGAGTCTCATACGAGCGAGCTAAAAGCCCGTGGCAGTATTTGCCTGTGCTATTGCGGCAGAAGACGGCGGGCAAGTTTTACTACCGCCATAATTGGCAGTTTTCACATTACGTCCTCAAATTCAGTTCAAACGACAGAATTATCGATCCTCCTAAAGATTTACTTCTGATGAAGTATTAGAGCAGCTAAAAGGGGTACCACAAGTCGCCGCTTAATGGAGGTTGGCCGCTCAATAGAGGTTCGTCAGAAATTGGCAAAATGTTTAGCAGGCACAATCCTTTATTTTGAATCAAAGAGCTTAAGCAACGACGACGGCGACGGCACCGAGAACGGCAAAAAAGCAATAGGTTTAGATTGGCCAAACAATAACTTTGCACGTGCATCACGCTTTTTTGTACATTTCTTAGCCGTCACTGCACGACTACGACGTGAAAGTGCCTAATTTCACGTTTTGTGGAGGAAGTAGGGTTCGCAAATACGCCAAATTTGGCGTATTTTACGCCAAAATTGTTCAGATGACTCCACAGAGGTTACGGAGGGAGTCACTTCAACTCCAGAAATTTTCGGTAACAAACAGTGAGCCACTTCGACTCCAGAAATTTTTGCTCTGACCTTTTTCGCAACAAATACAATTTACGTTAATTGTAAACGTTGTAAACCTTAATTAAATCATCAAAATTAAAGAATTATACTGCAAGACAAAACAGGAATGGGGTAAATTACGATCAAAGTTTACCCGATGACTGCCATCATGGATTTGAGCTTTCTAGATCAGCAAACCGCCACAGCTACTTCGTGTATCCATCACGATAGTGTATTTTTCGTTGTGATACTTGACTCCAAATATTCCAAAATGACTCCAAAATTTGTGAAGCAGAAGTCACAGTGACTCCACTCATCAATAAAATTTGCAAACCCTGAGGAAGTGAATTCAAGACAACAACTTTCTTTTTCTTTTCCTGGACATTGCGGATAAAGTCCTTTGGAATTCAACTCCAAATAATTTGCCAACATTTGACGAATTAAACGAGATGGAATAAGCGTGATAAAGTTTGAGACAACGCAAATTCACTTTTTAAGTGACGTTTTCGTAGCCAATGCCGTCCTTGTTGCTTAAGCTCCCTAATTACGCAACGGGAGCAGTAATACTGGTCCGCACTCGGTCGTCACTATCCTGGACTGTATTTTCCTTCACCATATACTTGAAAGAAAGCCAAACTACGTGTATCAAACGCTTGATGACCGCTCCAAAGAGTTGACAACGGCGGGAGAACTCTCGTTGAGACGGCCAATAGGTGGCCGTGGCCGTTTAATTAACAATGAGGCTGAGTATCTTATGAAGAATTATGGAGATCGAGAAGGGTTCGATAGTGCACGTTTAGTGTTGTTCAGCCCCACAAATATTATCCAAACAGCAGATGTCGCCCTTCGAGTTGTCTTCTTACTGTTCTTGCCATGTTTTTACCTATTCTTTCGCCTAGTTCTTACTCTTGAAACGAGCGAAATGTTCGCCATTTTTGTTTTCACAACCAAAACAACTCAACCTCGTCCTCACTTCTTCTCGGTTAACAGTGCATTAAACTGCAAGAACGCTGCACTTTTGACGTCATCGGTTCATTAAACGCAAACTTCTTCCAAATTTGGTCATCAGTGGCTGGCTATGGTGAATTATGTGTGTGCTTTTAGCCAATCAGGAACGACGCAATATTTTGAATGAATAATAGTAGAGGTTTAAGTTCCCATTTTTTTCTACAATTGTTTCGGGACTTTCAACAATAAAACGAAAGGAAACAAAATCACAAAGTAGTTAGCTACCGCCAGTGGTGGCTATTTTTACAAATATTACAAATTTCTACTGTAAATTATATTTTAGAGTAGTAGGTATTTCAGTATGAGGAACCAAATGGACTCTCACCTTAATAACACATTCCAGGTAACGCAGATCCTTTAAATCATCAACTGTTAACGTTTCTGGGCGTTGTTCTGAAATAATAATAATAATAATAATAATAATAATAATAATAATAATAATAATAATAACGATGATGATGATGCACTTTTACAGTCGTGAATTCTTACGGTATTTTCTCTTTTTCAAAGGCTAACAGCTTTTGTCCGCTATTTGCCTATACCGTTTCACAAAGACTGCCGACCACCGAAAGTTCACCAGAATGGGAGTTAACGTTTTCCACTGGTGTTCATGATCTGCATTAAATAATTCGCTACTGTTTGGAACTAGTGACAGCATGAATATCTTCTTACTTGTGTTTGCTTGCTTTTCGAAGACGATTACAAAAAAACACGCGACAATTTAAACACGCTGGAAGAACACAGGGCTCAAAGCGCCACCTACAGAAACGAGCAGTATATCTGCTTGTACCAAGGAATGTACGAGTAGTACTAACTGAAAAAAAAAAACGAAAACAAAAACAGAAAACAGACAGAACGAACTCACCTAAAAAGCTGTCTACTTCCTCATGAACTTTCTGTTGTATCACTGGATGGCGTCCAAGAAGATACAAAGCCCACGTGATAGCAGCCGCTGTTGTATCATGACCCTGAGGAAAACGCAATAAATTTAGAGTAAGAAGTGTGATGTCTCAAAAGAAACGTTTACGATCCAAGTGCCCGTCTCTAGAAAGTCCCCTTTTTTGCGGATACATATTAAAATTATCAGTTAAAAAAACAAAATCGACTGGTATTTTTTAGCTAGGACCCACGCTTTTATACTTAAGATTTTGATTTCGAAACCGAATACAGTCAACCCTCTCACAGCGACCTCTCGGAAGCGACCACTTTACAAATAATCCTTTTGTTTCTCAGTCCAACACTGTTTCCAAAACTCTCTCTTAAGCGACCACTACCTAATTTTCCAAAGCGACCGCGACCACTTTTTGGACCAGAAATTTGATATATTCTTTTGTTTTCTGTTTCCGGTAAGCGACCACCCGGCATGATCACGTATGATTGTAAGAAAACCGTTGCTCGAATGTCACAAAAGTTAATTTTTGAACAGTGCTGACCAAGTTAGCTGACAGATTATAGCAGTTGACTTACAAAAAAGATGTCTGTAATACGATCTCTAGGTAAAAAATTGGATTGTCACATTCATGCATAATGTTATGTACAAAGTTTCATCAGTTCCAAGCGCCATTCGAGTTAAACATTATTAGAAGTTCTCTATTTGCCTCATATTTCCTTGTAAGATAATAACTTTACGTAATTACGTTAATCACTTCTTTTTCTTGATTTTTCCCGTACACGACCACCTCCCGTAAGCGACCACTCTGTCGTGCACCATGGGTGGTCGCTTACGAGAGAGTTGACTGTAGTTACCGGGACTTACGAGCCCAAGGCCCTTCCACCTTTAAGGCACCCGCTCCCAGGCTCATCTTGAACAAAACACTCATTAAAGTGAAATCATACTTAGAACGGTAACCCTTTCAGACTAAATATCAGACAAAAACCATTGAATCAAACTGCTTTCAAGAAGCAGAAACAGAAACTCTCACCTCAAACATAAAAGTATCCACTTCTTCCCTGACACCTTCCCGTGAAATGTCTCCAGTGTCGTAAGATTCCAGCAACAAATCAAGGAACGCTAGACGCTTCTTTCTTTTATACAAACCATCAACCTCATCAACCTCCTCCTTCTCCTTCTCCTCCTGTGTTTTACTTTTGATAGACGCTCTTTCAGCAATCCTTTGGTCAATAACCTACGGATTGAAACAAGATTGCTACTTCTTTGTCTCAAGAAGGGATTTTATATCGGTAGTTCAGTTACGTTGTAGACGTTCAGATGATGTGGCGAGAAATTTTGATGTCACACACTCTTGCAGTTTGCTATCAAGCGTAAGTCTCCAACACAGCAGTTCTTTGTCATGTCAGGCAACGCCGTCCCCAGAGGAAGAGCGTTGCGTGACGAATTTCATCAGTATTGATAGTCTTTACACTAGAGCCTAAATAAGCTAAGAAATATTTCAAGACAAGTAAATTTTAATTACTTCAAGTAAAATAAAGCTTCACACACAACCGATTCTTTTTTACTTCAGGTTATTTTCCCACGCAAAAAAATTAAGACTGATTGACATGTCTTGCCTTTCTCAAAGCTCAAGAAACCGCAAAACCGCAAAACCGCAAGTCAGCTATTAAGTCAGACATCAGGATGGTCCTCAAGTCGCTTGAAACTTTCTTGAATCGTTTCAACTTTCCGACTTTAATGAGATGCAAAGCAAAGTTACTTGAGATTTTACTTAAGCCTTCACACACGAATTTTTGGTTAAGTAAAACTTAGCGGCCCTTAAGTCTTACTTAACAGCCTAGTGTAAAGACAACCATTGTCTTCAAAATTACAATAAATTATTACTTAACGTTTCTGCCATCAAAGTATGCTCGGCCATACACTGTTGTTTGCTTGGTCTTATTTTCAAGCCCTGGTGAGTTTCAAAGATGTCCCACAAAAGATCTCTCACTAGAGACCTTAAGATTCTAAGACGAGGACGACTACGAGAAAGAAATTTTCTCAATTACCAAGTAATGCGGGCGCGCGACCAACGTATTTTGGCGGGAAAACGTGATAGCCGTCGACGTTTTACTACGGGTTTCAGCGAGAATGTCAAAGTGACGGAAAAAAGATATCAAATGTTAGAAGTTTATCATTTTCGATCGGGATCGATCGATCCTTCAACGGAAATATCCGTGCCAACTTTTCGGATGAACAGAAAAGAACTATGAAGCTTTTTTGAGAATATGCAAAAACACTTGAAGCTAAGTCTCGTACACACATTAGATCATAAATATCGTCATCATCATCATCATCACCATCATCATCATTTCTATTATTATCATTATTATTATTAATCGTTATTACCTTATTCGTAAAGTCGTGGAGAATTTTTAAACATCTTTTATGTTCTCTTCCAGAAGGCAATAAACCGTACAGTGTATCGTTCCATAACCACGGCGATCTCTGTCGCATCTGAATCAACTCGCTCACTCTAGAAAAGAAACAAAAAAAAGATCGTTCAAGAACAAAAAAGCCGGTGCGAAGTTTTTGTAAAAAAACTTTGTTTAACAGCATAAATAAACCAACCTCGTGAACAAGAAAGGAGGAAACACTTGATATGAGTTTTCCTTTTATTAAGGAAAGTACCTTATATTGGACAAATAGAGATGAACCCTAGGTGTTATGGAACTTTATATCGACAAAATGTGCACCATATGTTTCGACTTAGAAATTTATCAAGAGAACGTTCTTTTAAAGTAGAAATAGACAGATTACACGTGCACAGCTGCCCCCTCCCCTCTCCCCACGATTTTGTTGGTTTTGTTTTTTGTAAGATTGTAGCCATCGAGTAATTACAACAACGCACCACAAGGGGAAGGGAGGGGTTGGGGTTGGGGTTGGGGGTGGGTTGGGGGCATTTTGACTCATACCGAGGGGCGGGGAAACCAAGATAGCCGCCCGTTATAGTACTCGATCGCGACAGTCTTACCTAAAATAGAACTGAGACTGTAAACAGTCTATATAAGAAGGGGTGGACTGTGTTTTACTTAGAGTGAAGTGTAACTTTACTTAGAGTGAAGCATGGTGGACTGTTCGTTTACCTAGAGTGAAGGGTGGTGGACGGTGCGTTTTACTCAGAGTGAAACAAGGTGGACTGTGCGTTTAATTAGAGTGAAGCGTGGTTGACTGTGCAATTTACTTAGAATGAAGCGTAGTGGACTGTGCGTGTACTTAGAGTAAAACAAGGTGGACTGTACTTTTACTTAAAGTAAAGTGTGGTGGACTGTGCGCGGTTACTTTGAGTGAAGCGAGGGGAAAATGCGTCCTTGGTTATCTTAGCTATTATTAACTGTGGCTATCAAAATTCTAATCAACACAGATTGAACGCCGTAAGCTATAACTTAGACAGGTCTTTTTCAATAGGCTGCATGTCTTTAGAATTGTTACCTTAAAACTGCGCTCACGTATGGGGAGTCGACATCTTCTTGGGCGTTTGGCGACGCATCCATTGAAGTGACTAGAAGAAAACATTATATTAGGTAAACATAAAGGAAAGATAGTACACAGTAAGTAGCGGTTACAATAACAGCAATCAAACACAAAAGGCAAAAATCTGACTCACTAGTCATTCAGTTGAACATTGTATAAACACACAATATTGAAAGCGAAAAACAAACACGATTTCTAAAGATTTGGCCTGCGAGCGTGCCATCTCTTGGCTAGAGGGGTGGGGATGGGGAGAAGAAAGAGCTATCTCTTTTCTCGCTCACCCCTCCCTCCAGACCCGAGTGCTTATATGAAGCGCTCACGTTAGACGATGTTGTCGTCTTGCATTTTACTGAATACATGTACTTACTGCAAATAACGTCCAGGGCACATAGTGTGATATACGGCATTATGTTGAAGACACCCTTGTTGGCCTCCTTCTGTAATGCGAATAAATGTGGGATGTATGAAGTTAGGCACGACAAATTTGGGAAGGTGTGGTCAGAAATGTGAGATCAAAAATGATTAAGACAATAATGGATAATTAAGACACTGATCTGTAAGGGACTGCAACGGTCTGGGACAGGACCGGTGAAGCAAATCTCCCTTTCGTAAACGATCGCTGCCATTTTTAAAACACTTGACCTGTTATGGAGAGTGTTTCTATTCTCTATTTTCCAATTCCCCATAATACACTCTGTTTGCCCCCCCCTCCCCAATTTTGCATAAACCATTGTTTTTAAATGCTCCTGGGAGTATTGCATTTTCCCATGAGCATTTTAAGACAATAAGTTATGCAAAATTTGGGGGGCAAACAGAGTGTATTATGGGGAATTGGAAAATAGTCAATTACAAAGAAAGATGAACCCATCCAGAGTCGAACCCGGACCTTTCGTATCCTAAACTCTCTCCCTTACCACTACACTTCCACACAAGGCGACCCGCTCGTAAAAATTCCGAAAACTTTAAGTACATTAACTACCAAACTGTCTTTCTTAACTGATACATCAATAACAGATGACCCTACCCCTTTCTAACTTTTAACGTAAATTTAGTTTAGGCTCCTACGTCGCTCTTTTTAAGACTACTCAAAAACGTATCATTTGCTTTAATCAACTGTGGCATGGACCGTTAAAATGGCAACGACTGTTTACCAGAGGGAAATAAGCACCGGCCACCTCACAGACATATGGATAGATTGAGGGACGTACACAGGATTAGTACTCTTAAGAGCTCTTCGAATTCCATGACTTTCAGTGAATTTTTCTGTGACCTTTTCAAGTCCTCCATGACTTATGGTAAGCTGTCGCTTTTAAAAAACGTTCAAAACTATCTTTTTTAGGGCACTTGTGACCCAACTCAGGTCAACAGACACAAACTCTGATATCCACTAAAATGCGTGCCATTCGCGCAAAAACAGCCGCCATTTCGCAACGCCATCAATGGTTTCTCCGCGCGGAAATGACAAGAGAAACGAGCTTAGAAATTCTATGATGATAACGCGTCACTACCCAGATCTGAGTAGTGATTCTGATTGGCTGAAGCAAATTTCCCACGCAGCATGACCAATCAGAAGCACTACTGACCCAGATCTGGGTATAATACGTAGTGATGTGTCATCAGAATGGAATTTCTACGCTCGTTTCTCAGACGTCATTTCGCGGGGAAACCCGTGGTGGCGTCGCGAGCTGTCGGCTATTTTCCCAGGCTAGCGCTGTCTAAACCCCTGAACTAAAAGAGGATCAATTTAGGTTTCAGGGGAAACTGCCCACCTACCCCTCCCCTAAGCCATCATTTTGCCCTAAGTGAGAAGTAAGTGTTAATGTTAGCTTAGGGGAGGGGTAGGTGGGCAGTTTCCCAGAAAACTAAATTGTTCCCTAAAAGGATACTAATCTGGGCGTGGCTACCCCTAAACGAGACCATAACCCAACACAGTCTGAAAGCCTTTGATTATTTTGCGAAGATATTTTCTTATGCGCAATTCTGATCACCAAACATGTAACTCAACACTCAACGGTTTTTCTCACACATGCTCTCTTATGGCCTGTTCCAAGAGTTCAGATTGCGGGGATGGCGCAAAAAGATGCGAGCAGGAAAAACAGTGAGAGGGGTGGGGTAAGGAGTGAGAGCATAGGATCTCTGTCTCCCTCTCCTTCCCCCTTATTTTTTTCCCCGGTTTGTGACTTTACCCCGCACTTCACCAACTGCCCAGAACAGGCTAGCTCTCTTGCCACAAGCCATATCGTTATGAGTAACAACATTGGCTTCCTTCCATTCCGAAATTTGGACCTTTCTTTTTTATACGGGAAGCGTTTTTTTTTCCGCGAAACCAATCACATAAAAGGGTGAATGCAGATGGATTCTGCACTTTACTGTGTAATTTGTGACCACAATCGTCTCACAGATATGTTACCAGATATTCAGCAAACTGTCAAATGTAACGTGTGCGGGGTACCATGTTGTAATTTTTAACCTACATTATCATTGTTTTTTTTCCACGAAAACAATCTTGGAAACGAAACTTCAGCGAATTATATGTCGCTGAAATTGCATTGCTTGACAGTGAAACTTGGCAGACAGCTTTATTTTGTTGTAATCTTTAAACTAGTGAAAAAGTGCACAATTTCTTAAGGGTCACTTTAGCCCCCAAGAGTACCTTAAGTGAGGGCAAAATTCGTAATTTCTACCCCTAAGGCAGCCAACGAGTATCGCTTTCACTTTAATAAAAAAGTACTTTGTAACCCGCCTGATATCCATTAATTACCTCAAGATGTTTCACCAAAATTGCTGCTTGTTCTTCGAACACCTGAATAAAATCATTTAAAATCCTGAAGTGAAAGGTTGGGGTAATCAACCTCCTTCTAGTCTTCCACTTGGAACCATCACTAAAGAAAAAAAAAACGAAAAATAATAACTATAAATATCAAAACATTTTATTTGTATACATAACTGTGCTTTGTAGTTTCGACAATTTCTAAAAAAATGTATTATTAAACGCCATGGTATGGACTTCTTAGGCTGCGTGCAAATGGGCGCAACAACTCCCAACATTGTTGCGCCAACAATGTTGAGAGTTGCTGCGTGCGTGTTGGCAGTGGTGTGCAAACGGATGCAACAATTCCCAACGAGTTTGGGACCTGCAGTGCATCGTGGGAAGAATACAACCCATAAGTCTTTGAAATCCACGCGTAATGAGCGTGCGTGGCCCCAACAATGTTGGAAGAGCTGTGCAAACGGATCCAACATTGTTGCGCTACGCTTTGGCGATCACGGAACAAAAGAAATGTTGGGAGTTGTTGACTGAAAAGTTTGACGGGTTTCAAACTTTGCGCAACAAAACGCAACAACATCCAACAACATGCAACAGGGTGTGCAAACGGACACAACATGTAACATCCAACAATGTTGGGAGTTGTTGGCCAACAATGTTGCATCCGTTTGCACGGGGCTTTAGAAACTTTTTAATGGTTTAACCATAGTTAGTAGAGGGGACTGGTTATGAAAGTCGGCGAGCTTCAAAGAGCGATGTCTTTGTTATGATTTTTGCATTGTCACGTGATCGCGAAAGTGCACACAAAATCATCGATCGAGTACTCTCGTTGTTATTAGTGCGCTATTCGTTAGTTTTCTCCGGGTGTTTAAGCACTATATACTTATTATTGTGCAAGAAATATATATTTATGTTATGCCGGGGGTCAACTGTTCCGTCTTTGGCTGTGGTTCGTGTAGAAGGACTAAGGGAATGGGTATTTGGAAGCTACCTCTAGCAAAGGACGAAGCACATGGAAAATGGCGAGACGAATGGCTTGGCGAGATAAAAAAGACCAGAGAAATGGATCAGAATTTCAGGGAACAGTTAAAGAACGACAGAATTTATACTTGTGAGAGGCATTTTGCGCCTGAAGATATCGAAATATGTAAGTATACTTATTCCTTTGATTGTGTGAGTTTTATTTGTGTTTTTCGCATATTTCTTGACAGCTCTTGACCGGTGCTTTGATCTGCTGTCTGAAGTTCTTTCTGAAAGCGGACATAGTTTTTGTTTAACTATTTCGAAATGTGACAATTTTAACCTTTCTCTCATAGTTCACTCAGAGAAAATGACCAAAAAGAAGCCCAGATTTGGTGCTTTACCGACGCTAAACTTGCCAAAGAAAAGTCATGAAAGCCGCAAGCCTGCACCACGTCCGGAACGATCGATTGTAAAAGATAACAAGGAGCCTCTTCCAAACCGTTATTATAAGGGATTTAACGAACTTTGTCAGAGAGTGAAAAGCCTAAAAAGTCTTAAAAATTGGAAAGTGAAGATCAAGGAGGACAGAATATTGCTGAAGAAAAGGTTGGATCCATACGTGCTTCCACAGTTGGAAATTGTTGTGGATGACAGTCTTGGCTTTACTGTGAAGGTTTTTGGTTCATATTTACCAGAAGATCACCCTATATACCTCGAGTATCGTCGAACAGTGCAAAATGTTACTGTGTCCAGCTTAATTAAGGAACTGGAGGGGTACAGATTGTGTGATGGAGTTTCAACTTTGGAACTTAGTGGCAAAATGTTTCATCATGTCATACCAGTAATTCATGATTCACTTGGGGAAGAAGAAGAGGAGCAGCAGTTCCCACATAAGGGATTTTGGAGAGCCAAAGGGTGTCTGCTGTTGAACCAGCAAGTTGATATCTGCAATGAATGTGATGAATTTGTAAGCTCTGTCGAAAATGCAAGGAAAGGAAAAGAAAGTCGATCAGCAAAACCTGCACATGTTAAAGCACCTGTTTCCAAGACAGACCCAGAGCGCATAAAGTTAACTTTACAGGGACAAAGACTGAGGTGTGCTGAGCTTGAACGGCAGTTGAATGACATGCAGGCAGAATTAAAAAAGTCCAATATTGAAATAGATCATGAACTTAGTGATGACTTCAGTAGAATTCTTGGTTCAGCCCAAAACATCACTCCATTTATGAGTCTATTTTGGCAGGAGCAAAAAAAAGCTGTTCTCAAAAAGCAGCACGGGAGTACGTTTTCATCCCATGATTATTCGTTTTTGTCTCTCTTTGGCAGCTAAATCTCCTTCATGTTATGAGGAACTCAGAAATAGCGGAGTGTTGGTGCTTCCAAGTCAAAGACGACTAAAAGACTACCGCAATGCCATAAAACCAGAAAGGGGTTTTCAGAGAGGAGTAATAGATGTTCTTAAGGAAGAGACAAACAGTTACTTTGATGTGCAGCGTTATGTCATTCTTTTGTTTGATGAAATGAAAGTGATGGCAAACCTTGTACTAGACAAGACAACTGGAGAGCTGATTGGTTTCACAGATCTGGGTGACCCTGATTTGAACTTTGCGGTGATAGAGAAAGTAGACATGATTGCAACACATGCTCTCGCATTTCTAGTACGTGGAGTGTGCACTGAACTCAAGTTTGGGTTAGCTCACTTTGCTACTACAGGCATCACTGCAGCTCAGCTGATGCCTCTATTCTGGGAGGCGGTGTGTATTTTAGAGACTACTTGCAACTTGTGGGTCATCGCGCCACTTCTGATGGGGCTTCCCCAAACAGGAGATTTTATCGTCTCCACAAGCCACTGGATGGGGATGCTGTAAGTGACGTTTGCTTCCGCACAGCTAACTTGTATGCACCGCATCGCTACATATACTTTTTTTTTTCTGATGCACCACACCTTGTCAAGACCACAAGGAACTGCCTAAAGAGCTCGGGGTCTGGATCATGTACAAGGTACATGTGGAATGATGGACAGTATATTCTGTGGCAACATATCACAGAGATCTTCTACCAAGACATGGATAGTGGACTCAAATTACTTCCAAAATTGACGTATGAGCATGTGAACCTGAATGCCTATTCAGTAATGCGGGTGAATCTTGCTGCACAAGTGCTGAGTGCATCCGTAGCAGCCGTGCTTAAGGCATTTGGCCCCCTGAGACAGCAGCTACAGGGAAACTCTGTGAAATGGTAGACAGCTTCTTCGATTGCCTGAATGTTCGAAGCAGGACAGAGCATGTGAGAAAGCGCAAGCCATACCTTGCTCCCTACACATCAGTTAATGATAGAAGGTATGTCTTATAAATTTTAAGAATTAGAAATAATTGTTTAGCACAGACAAACGGTTTTAAAATGCATCATTTGTTTAAAATGTTTTTTAGTGAACCACAAAAGCATGACAATCATTTTTATTATCTAGTGATCACCAACAAGGCAAATATTGTTTATGGTTTCGACTGATTTCTTTTCTTGAGTTAAAGAGTTGCAAATGCAAGATAAACCATTCAAGGGATTTGAAACATAGAATTCTGTACTTGAGTACAATTTACTAATAACAGTGACTGGATACCACTAATAGCACCAACTAGTACTATTTACTAGCAACATGAAATTTAACAGGGTGTGGTTTTTTGGTTTGTGTACTTTTATCCCCTTGTGCTTCACAGTTTGTGAGTTGGTTTCCCTGTTTTCCTATGAAAATATTTCCACTGTTCTTTCATTTTTCCTTTCACACAGATTTCAATTTTTGATGGACTTCTTGGACTACCTCAGACTGTGGAAAGAAAGCACTGAGAACAGAGCAGGAAATTCCACCCAAAATGCACGAGCCCGCATGTTTCTTTCCTGGCAGACATATGAGGGCTTCAAACTAACAGTTTTCTCAGCCATTGAAGCTACCAAGTTCTTACTTCAAGAAGGAATGGAGTATGTGCTGACAGAGCGTTTCTGTCAAGACCCACTGGAGGAATACTTTGGAAAGCAGCGTCAACTGTGAAGGCGAAGTGACAATCCAGATATTCATACATTTGGTTACAATAGTAACGCCATAAGAATTCAAAGGTCAATTTCATGTCAAAGTGGAAACACAAGAGGTAGAAAGGAGAAAGAAAGAGCATGGGAACAGATTACTGATGCCAAATTACCTTGCAGAAAAAAGCCCAAACTAAATTAAAACTGCGGTCATATTTATGGCTGTCACTAAAATGTCAAGTTGCATTAAATATTAGTGGGGAGGGAAAGAAAGTTTTTGATTTTATTTTCCCAGTTATTTCCAGAGTTTACTCAGAAAAATCATCATGCATTTACTTTTGTTAAAGGTTTCTTATAGATGATAATGCATATACCATCATCCCATTAAATTTATCATGAAGGACAAAAAAAGTTTTTTCTGACCTTTATTCGAACAGTAACAACCAAGTATTTTATAAAATAACAGGAATTTTTTTTCAGATTCCAGAACTCTAAACCTATCATGCATGGTACCCTAATACTATTTAAGGTACCTGCTATAAATAAAAATTAAAATTGAAAAATTAAGTTTTTTATACTGTATGTGAACTACTTTCAGATGAAAATGTTCTTGATGAATGATAAATATATTATTACAAAATTTTCATGTATCATATAACTAGTTTTACCTTGAATAATAAAATGTTTTACATTACTCAGGCCTTAATTGTTCTTGGTCATGAGTTCTCATGATTTCCTTTCGGAGAGCTTTAGCCTTTGTTTGCTTTGCATTCACTTTGAAGTGTTGAATAATGTCCTTAGCACATGAAAATGAGCGCACCCTTATATACAAGCTTACAACAGCATGCAGCACATTTTTGCTCACTTCACCTTCTGGGATCAGCTCTGCATCAGAAACCATACATTGAAAGCTTGACAATACATCACTGTCAGTTACTGATTTGCGAGTTATGCCAGCAATATCCACTTTTTTCAGGCAGTTTCCCGAAGTGAAATGCCTAAATTGATGCTCTGTTTTAAGGAAAATGTTCTGTGCATACTTGGTAATGTTCCACAAGCCACCACGGCTTAAACTTGACACCAGTTTTTGACTCTGACACCCATGCTCTAGTTTACCAGCTTTCAAGATTGCCATTGCCTGTTGGTTCTCTGTTTTGTTATTTCTTGCATACTTTTTATGCAAGTTATGCAAGACATATCCACCAACATACTGCAGACCAGCTTGTTGTTTTTCTGACAGCACAGTTTGGGCCGAAGGTGGGTTATTGTCGGAAGAAGACTTAATGCCCTTGCAGTAGGAGAGAATAAAATCAGCTACCTTGGTTGCGAGCAGTGTTGCAGCATTACGAGACAGTCCTTTGAAAAACATTGCAGACTTCAATGGTACTTGAGCATAATAGTTGCCATAGAATTTCTCAGCATTCCCATTTTTTGAATAGCCTTCAAATAATGCCTTCATTACAGAGAATTCTTGTGTTCCTTCTTCAAGCACTGCATACTCATACTGTTTTAACTCCTCCCTTAGTTCTTCTGCAAACACTTCTCTTTGATAAATGTTCTTTAAAGCATTGCGTACAATCTCAGCTAGAATGCTTGGAGTCAAAGTCAAACGATGCTCGTTCGGATTTGGACTGTGTTTTGCAGCTCGGTGCCTTTGATATCCTCCTCTTGTTTTATACTTTTTCCCACAGTCGCTGCACACGATCTCGCTTGATTGGACCTACGAAAAAAAAAATAGTTCTATCATATTACAGTCTGCCTCCACTATATATGATCAAATGTTAAGATTCTTGCCGTCTTTTGAAGGCATTTGTGTCGTGTCGAGTTTGTTGTCAGGTTGCAATCGCATTCTCTGTAAACGCTTCTCAACAAAGCAAACCCCAGGCAATTTTTAGCATCTAAGGCACTTCTGCCAAATAAACTAAATATAGTTTTATAAATTTTCTAGAATATAGCTTGGGAATTATCATCTGAAAACGTCGGGAAATTCTTTGTTTACTGTTGTTTGCTCGCGTGACAGTACAGTCGCGTGTGGCTCCGTAAATCCTTCGAATAGACCAAACACGTGTAAATGTTTACATATTTTGCACTTACTTCACTGGCAGCAGTTGAAAATTGTTCCTGTAGCACCTCATCTTCATCAAGGATGTCTAAAATCGCCTCAAAATCATCGCCAAACAAAAAAAGATCGTCTCCACGATCCGCCATCGTGGAAAGTTTGTTTGGGTTTGTGCACCGTCGCGGTCACGTGACAAGTACTTTCAACATCAGCGACGGCTCTTTTGTCTCGCTCTTTGAAGCTCGCCGACTTTCATAACCAGTCCCCTCTACTAACTATGGTTTAACATTTCTTTCTCTCCTTTCTTTCTTTCTTTTTCTTTTTTTCCTCTTCTTTTTTGTTTTAATTTTGATATTTTCATTATAATTTATAACTACGAATCGCGGAATGGTTATCAAAGAGCTATACAGTCATCTCATATCATGATGCAGTAGTTATAATGCTTTTTACAACTTGGCATAAAGACATCTAATTTAATTTTTCTCTTTAAATCCCTTTATATGACTCTCTACGAGACAGACATCACTCTTAGATGGACACTTACTGCCCGTTTCAAATGTGCCTGTCTTAAGGAGAATTGACTGTATTCCAGATCAAGTGGTATTCAGCTATACACCTGGTACAGCAGTATGTGACTGTACAGTACACTGCATTGATGTGTAATTCATAGATCACTACAATTTAAATTAAATTTATTGCCTTCTCAGAAGCTAGATAACCTACCTGGTCAACAAGCCTTAATATTGCATAGGAGCGAAAAGTTGAGATTCAGAGTCAGACAAAAGAGGGAAATAAAAAAAGAGAAAAACAGTCAGAGCCGACAAACTTACACTGTAAATACTGCTGATTATCTAACTGGGAACAATTAAAACTTAGTGTCGCTTTATTGTTATCAAAATTCAAAACAATAGCAACACTTGTAAATTAAAAAAGTGGTTTAATTTAATTGGTCCAGGTAAACAACCTTTTGTTTTCTATAAATCACAAGTTAGCGACAAAATCAGTGACAAAATTGTTAAGACATGGGTAGGAGAAAAACATATCCTTAGGAATATGTGTTTCCTGGGTAGGGGAACCCATATCACTAGGGATACATGTTCCTGGGGTAGGGAAACACATAACACTAGGGATATGTGTTTCCAAGGTAGGGGAACACATACCACTAGGGTTTCCTGTTTCCCAGGAAGGGAAACACATATCACTAGGGATATGTGTTTCCTGAGTAGGGAAACAAATATCACTAGGTATATGTGTTTCCTTGGTAGAGGAACACATATCACTAGGGATATGTGTTTTCTGCGCAGGGGAACACATATCACTAAGGATATGTGTTTCCCAGGTAGTGGAACACAAATCACTAGGGTTTTGTGTTGAAATGAGCCCTCCACTGTGGGGAGTGGATTTTTTCTGGAATAACCTATTAAGGAGCTTCAATCTTGGACAAAAATATGAAGGAAAATAGAGTTTGCCATATGTCTTGCTTTCAGATGAAGCTCTTGAAATCACACGTAACTACAAATACTTCCCCCCTTCCCCAAGAAAACAATGTTAAGGTGTGCCTGGATCATTTCTGACCTCCAATGAACAACATTGACCACCAAATCCACGGGACAGGCATTCTGTGGGTGAGAGAGTGCAAATTCTTAACACTTTTTGTGCAAGATTGAAGGTTAGCTATCTTTAAAACTCACCAGTTCCAAGCCATGGATGTAAAAAGCTGTAATCAAAAGACTTCCCCATATGCTTTGAGGTAGACAGAAGTATCTAAAAGGAATATACACAAAGAATGAAACAAATGTGATGTGCAGTATGCATGCAGGGACAGGGCTTGAAATAGCGGCCAGTCAACGGACAATTGTCCAGTCTAAAGTACATTGTAGGCTTTGTACGATAAAATCCTTGGATGACCTGATACTCCAAGTCTGGTTATTTATGAAACTAATGGAAAATTTTTATTTTCAGAACCGGGGGCATGGGGGGGGGGGAGCTTTTATGGAGCTGTGATGTAGTACATATTTTGTAGATATTTGTCCAGGCTAAAACAAGTTGAGTTCAAGCATGAGACAAAAAAGGTTTGCCAGGACAATTTGATCGGTGCCAGCTGCAAAATAATTTCCAGCCCTGTACCCATTTCTACACCTGGATGAAGAGAGACAAAGTGGAGTAAAGTTTCTTGACAAAGTAAGCAACACTACAGGCGAGGCTTGAACCCCAGACCTCCAGATCTGTTCAGGAGTTCGAGGTGTCAACCATTTGCCAGAAATTTATTGCCTCCTCATTCCATATGGAGTGAAAACAACCAAAGCAGTTTTTTGAAGGGTTAAACTCACCTCAGCATATTCAGGCTTGAACAGCAGTGTGATAGGATACATTGGCCCTAGCCAAATGCATATTAGTCCCTCTTTCTGAAACTGCTGCGTGAATCCAAGTATTTGTTTCATTAACTCTGAAAAATAGATGCACGTTAAAGAAATAACAATAAATTAATTTGATTGACTGATTGTCACATATAATTTTGTGGATAAATTCTACACATGACCCTTATACTGCATCATATTTGCCCCTTGTTTCAAGAGCAATGAAAGGCCATTTAACCCTTTAAGTCCCAATAGTGACCAAGATCAATTTTCTCCTGACAATATCCATACACTGTCAAGAGATAAGTTATGAGAATTAATAAAGTGATCAGCCAAGAGAAAATGCCTTGATCTATCATCAAATTCTCTCAACTAATTCTTTAAGGAAATGTATGGGGATTAGTTTGGAGAATTTGTATGTGGATACTGGGGTTTACAGGGTTAAAAGGAGAATCATTGACTAACATTAGAAACTCAGTAACACGAACTCTGAAAGGAAACATTAAAGGCAATTACAACAATGAAGAAATCACTGGTTCCAGAGTCAAAAACACAAAAAGTCCCCACCGGCGGGACTTGGTGATAATCAAAGTTCCCACCACAGGCCGACTTCCTTTGTCTAATCCTTGACCTTTGCCGAGCCTCCACCCTCTTCCAGTTTGACATTGATAGGTGCCTAATTTAAAGCCAATGTACAGTTGGAAAATGCGACACCAAGGGAGGTTAGCCAAGGCGAATAGGGGCTTTTACATTGATGTCTCTGAATACTAGTTGATGAACACTCAATACATAAACATCCCGGATAAAGATTTATTTCACACAATTACAGCAATGAAGAAATCAGTTCCAGGGTAAAAAAAAGTGTGACTTTAAGAATTGTCTGGATCTTGATCTGGGCAATGGATATCACAAACTGAAACAAAGCAACTATATTTTCTGGGGTCTATCACAATCATCTCGATACATGCGGCGCGCCAGCTTACATTTTGTCTTAAGATGAAGTATTGGCTTGTACTTACCATCGGGCAACCGAGCAAGCTGCAGCGCGTTTCCAAATAGAAAATTCGGTTTGGGACCGGGTAGCTTTCGTAGGACAGCGACGGATTGATGCTTCAAAAGAACGAATGTTGCCGCGAGAACCGCGGCTGCTAAAAACAGCGACGAAACAGCAGCAGCAACAAGAATCATCTTCGAAGAAGTGATGCAAAAGCTTCCTTAGTTATGACATAATCGTAAATTTTATATTGTAGCATGACTAAACAAGGTCAGAGGGATATCGGTTCACCTTGAATGTCCTTCGATCAAGTGTTTCGCAAGTGCATGTTCTTACCTCCGTGCGCTGATTTGATTTTTGCGCGGGAGATACGGGACCAAGGATGCTAATCTCAGATAAGCGCTCCTCATTTTCTGGTTCCGGTGGATTCAGCTCTCGAGTCTCGCTCGCTTTTGCCGCAGAAACACAAAAATCTGCAACTCGCTTCGCGCTCATTGAAAACAATTTTGAGCTCGGCTTGTAGGCAGGTCTAGGAAGACCTGAACAAGAACCGTAGCCTGGTAGGCGCGTTACTTTTAGGTCGATTTGGGGATCGAAAGGGCGTTTAATAGATACGACGTGTTTAAAGAGAAACGTTTAGTTTCGTTTTGTGACAACTCACAAAACTAATATTCGTTCAGCGAAAATATGAAGAGAGTTTATAAGTATGTGTAATCCGATGATGACCACTGAAATTAGGGAAAAGTTTTACGGGCGTTTTGTCCAAAATGCGCCGTTAACCCGTGGAGACATCGAACTTCCGGTAGCTATTCATGACGTCCGGGAAGTCAGTGTGTATTATCCATTTTTTTATATTTTTCTCTGACAACTATTGTATTCTGCTCCCTGTCTTTTTATTGTTGGTGTTGTTTATTTTTTTCTGCGCTTCCCCCTTAGCTTGTATTTGGCGCTCCTCGCTCTCTTCTCGCTTTCCTTTGCTCTTCTGAAAAAACGCAAAAAATAACTCCTGTTATACAGGTCATGTTTTGTCTTGAAAAATTGTACACATTTTGTGTTTAAACAAGTTATAACGAAATTGAAGTTCAGTCTGCCCCTCTTGCCCTCTTTAGCAATGTCGCAACCTTGCGACATTTTTTGACAATGATGTTGTTTTTCTGTCGGTTTCAAACCAAGATGGCTGCTTGCTTACACCAAGCGCTCATTTTTACGATCTGACAGGAAAATCGGAGACTATAAGCGACATGGAACACTGTACAGAAACCTAAAGGGCGTTTTAACTGCCCAAGGATTGATAAAAAGACAGAGAGATCTACTGAGCCAAAGCAAATCGAAATCGTTTAATATCGCTAGTAAAGTCGACTTTTCGTGGTTCTTCAAAACAACTGCAACGCGATGATCATCGTCTTCTCAGTGGTTGCTTCAACTCTCTTGGCTAGCATTGTATTTTTGGTTATTAGACTGATCGGAAAATATCACGCTTTAGCAGACCTAAAAAACTACCGTCAAGGCCCTAATATTTTCTTTGCAAACGCATAGCGCTTCTCAGTAACCCTGAAGGTACCCATACCGCAGTATCGATCTGTTTTCAGGTTATACTTACTTAACTTGTTGTAAAACATTTAAATAATATGCTTTACTTATTGTAGGCCCCTCGTCTTGAGCTCAGTTTTTATTGACCAAAATTTCAGGAAACTTCTGTCTTCTTAACTCCCACGCAGGTGTTTTAGGAGCCTCGTTTTCATCCTTGTGAAAAACGGCTCCCCGGAAAACGGCTGCGTGGAACTTCTCGTCTTCTCGGAAAGGGAATATTCGACGGATCTGGCCTCGCTTGAACTTCTAATCCTCCTTAATCCGACTATGCAGCCTTCGAGGTCATTTCGATCGTCCTAAAAATTCCTTTTAACTTTCAGTGGTCACGCAAGTAATCGACCACTTACGGTAAGACATTTCCGGTCGCTTCTCTCCAACCGAAGAAATTAACCCCGATCTAATTCTGTCTTGATAATGAACGTTCTTGTAAGCTACATATCCTTTTTGAAATTAACATTCGTATCGAGCCTGAAATAAACTAAGTAAGAAATATTTCAAGACAAAGTAAATTTTAAAATACTTCAGTAAAATTAAGCTTCACCACACAACCGTTTCTTTTTAACTCAAGGCTATTTTCGACACACATAATTAAGATTGATTGACATGATTCGCCTTTTTTCAAAGCTTATGAAACCGCAAGTTCCCAAAGTCGGTTTAGGGATGGTTTTCAAGTCACTTGAGGTCTTCTAGAATTGTTTCAACTTTCCGACTCAGGGGCGGATCCAGGATTTTAGGAGGGGGCACTCGTCTCTTGCTCTACTTCAATAAACCACATAGTTTTTTTTTTTTTTTAATGGCAAAATACCAGTTGTATTAGAAAACCGCAGGTCATCTCTGGGCACCCTGCACCTCCCTAGATCCGCCCCTGCGACTTAAAATGTAAAAAGTAAAATAACTTGAGATTTTACTAAGGCCTTTACACACTGCACGTATCTTTGGTTAAGTAAAACTGAGCAGCTCTCAGTCTTACTCCGGTAACGGCAAAGTGCAAAAGGCTACCATTCTTTTTTAAAATTTCTAGGCATGTTTAAACAAGTACTGCAGTGGGCAGATGAACATTGGAAGAGGGAGTTTTCTTTTCTGGCTAGGGCCTTTTACCCTTTTATGTGCTAACATTTAAACCTGAATTTGCCGGAGGTAAGAAATGTCTAGTATTATATATAGCACAGAATTGTATAATTATTTTTAGCTGACCCTGTGACCATTTCCCAAACGCATATCAACTTCAGCCCTTCCCAGAATACGCCGTGTGTCTTAACCACGATACGTAACCGTGAAAATTGGTCACGCAACACTTCTTCTTTCTTTTTGAGAAGGGGCGTTGCGTGGAAACCCTGATAACGGCTGCAAAGGCGAGACTGTGTAGTTCCGCACTTCCAGAGAAAGTAAGGTTTTTTAGAGACCTCACAGCATAACAACGGCGACGACCGAATGGAAACGTCTGTGGAAAACGGGTTCTTACAAACTTCTTTCACGATTACTATTAAAGTTGGGAAATTAAGTCAGTGAAGGTTTAGCTAAAAAGAAGCGTCGAACTCAGAAAAAGATAGCCTTGTTTGTCATGTTCTCAAGAAAAAGGTGAAGAAAATTGAGCTTTGACGTAGTAGTTTTGTCAGGATGTTGTGTCACGGAAGGCAACTGAAAAGCATGTTGCACAAGAGGAGTTCTTGTTCTTCTTCTAACTTGTTGTTTTTTTTTTGTTTTGTTATTGTATTTTTCACTTATAATCTATCGTTGACATTCCCTCTCTCAGTTTGATGAAAGAAGTGCAAGGGAAACCCTTTGGTCAGAGAAGTGACTGAATACGTACAGACACAAAGTTCATGAGTACTTAAATTCTCTTTATATTTTCAGATTCTCTTGGACAGCTCAAAACACTTGACCAAATCTAATGATTATTCATACATGATTCCGTGGCTTGGGACAGGTTAGTGATGTTCTAAAAAACCACTCTGTGTTGGAGTCTATGGCATAAGAATCAAACTGGCTCTTCAAAACACAAGGGATCGAAAGAGAACACCTTCATAAAAAAAAAATTTCACTTTGATTTCTTTTATATTGCCTCCTGCTCATTTCATCTGTGCAGAACATTTGGACCACTTATACGAGAAAAAATAAGACGTGTCTTACATAAGACGCGTCCTAAATAAGACGCAAACTATCCCGTATGAACGGCACATTTCGTCTGAAATTTAGCTAAGACGCGTCTTATTTAAGAACAGCCCTTCACACCTGTTCTTCGATAAGACGCGTCTTAGCTAAGTCGCGTCTTCTTATGCAAGACGCATCTTATTTTTCCTCGTATGAATGTCCCTATTGACTCCGATGGATAGCAACATCCTTGGAAAGAATTAATCCTTTTTTAACTATTCGACGACCTTCACAAACGCATACTCATTAAAAAAATTCACCACTTCGTAGGTCACCCCCACTCGCCTTAATACCCCCCAATCTTCTCTTAGCCAGTTCAGACATCAGGTTTGGACTGAGGGTGGTGCGAGATAAGAGCACCAGGGAGGAAAAAAACGCGGAAGATTTGAAGAAGGGGAGGTTAAAGAAGGTTTTTCGCCCTCTCCCTACCCCCTCCCTTGCTGTTTTTTCCTGCTCCTTTTCTTTGCGACAATTAAATTCTGTTGTTAAAGTAGTCTTGTTTTTATTTTCATGTTTTCCTGCCTGTGTGTGATGTGTTGTTCCATCATCCATCATGACATGCAATCACCGCAATGCCGGGCTGGATAACAAACAAAGGCTTATTAATTAGGTAGGTAAAATAATTCCTACCTTGATCTCATCGGTTTCTCTTATTATCCTCAACCCTTGAACCTATGAACAAATTCATGACTCACTATGTGAAAAAGCAAATCTATATTGTAGAGCACGAAAGAAACGGGTCCAAACATCGAAAAGCTTTTGAGAACTCGTTTTCCATACCCTTGTGCATTCCAGATCGAGCAAATTGGAATAAAAGTGTTCGCTACTTAAAGCGATTGAGTTTTTGCTGTGGGTTCTGCTCCACTAACCAGAGAGATTAATCTGTTTACATAGAACCTGTGACAAGCTCTACTGGGCGAATAAACAGATAACAATGAAAGAATGGAACTCTTTCATTAACCCATGGCTAACATCTTTGCGAGAGAAGAGAGAGAGAGAAACCGAAACCCGCTGGTGCCTGCTCCCGTTTTTGCGCTTACCTGGAGGCAAATGAGCCTCAATCTTTGCTGTATTATTTAAACTATTTTTATCCTTGCCTCACCTTCTCTTGACATGTGACTTTTTTTGGCTAAAACAGTGAAGGCTCGAAGTGGCGGACGAGAAGAAAATTGATCACGCCAACCTTCCACTTCAGAATTTTGAATGATTTTCTTCAAGTATTCGAAGAACAAGCAGCGATTTTGGTTACTCGCCTTGAGGTAATTAAAATTTATATTTTCTCCAACCCTCCGAAGGGTTAACTGAGTTTAATATTCAGCATGGTGTATGCGAGAAAACTTACAATATGCCCTATTTTAACAGAAACATGTCGGCAAACGAGTCTTCAACTTGATGCCCTTCATCTCGCTTTGTACGCTGGATATCATTTGCAGTAAGTATAATTGAATTCTAAAATATCGAATGTAACCTCGGTTTTCACTGGGATCAATATTTATATTCCCTAAGCTGCATTAACAGAACGCCTGCCACTCATCCAAACCTAGCTCCTATCTTCTACTTAAATAGATGAAGTTGTATCAGAGGTTACAGCCTCACGCGATATTCAGGGATTATATCGACCCATTCGCTCTTGAAAATTTTGCCGCAAACGCGTCTTGAAGCTAGTTTGAGCCGTTTTCTGGTCACTGTCTAGCTATAAAGAGCTAAACCTTACCACAAATCCGTTTATAGGTCGTAGACTTCGCGGCCGGATCGAGATCCAAAAATTCGCTTCCGAAGTTAGAGCATGCGCAAAAAGCAAAATTTTGAGAAGGTTCAATAATGACACGGCAGTCTTAACTTCCCTCCTCCCCTCTTTTTTGGCCTTTTTCTCTGGCCTTCGTGACTGAGCTCAGTGGTATGTTCTGAAAGATCTCTTCACCCTGCACAAGTTAGCTGACAAAGTTTACGTCCTTGGACGTCAAAACTGATGACGTCAAAAGCGGTAGAAGGAGCGTGGATTCACACGGGCGAATGGGTTAAGAAAGTCAGGGTCCTTAATTTCTATTGTTAAGGAACTTAGTGTACATGTGATCATAGAGGTCATGATAATCTGATGGAAATTATTCCTTTTGTTTGTTTTCTTTGATTTTAAGTCACCTCTATGGATTCATCGCCAAACGCTCAAGAAAATAATGATTCTCCATACGTAAATGCTGTCTTGAGGTTTGGAATAGCCATAGAACTCATTTCGCTGAATTACTTAATTACTTCCTAACGTAGCTTAGAGTCTAGCAAGATGGTCCCCAAAGAGTCTGAAATAGGCTCTTCGAGATGTGGAGTTGGCCTTATTTGTATGCCCGCATTCGGGATATCGATTTCATAGCAAAATAGTAGCAAGATTCAGAATTGAAAGTATGCACGAGATGCGGGATCCCGAAAATAACCAGCGGGAATACGGGATTGTGAGAGATAAGGTTCGGGATGTGGGATTTCCCTTATTTGAAGTTCGGGATTCGGGACTTAAAGCAAAACGAGGGCAAGATTCGGGATTGAAAGTATGCACGAGATGCCGGATCCCAAAATTAAACATTGGGATTACGGAATGCTTCAAATCACTGCTAGCCACAGGTCTGTGAGGTATAATACTAACCTCTCTCCTCCCATTCAGAGTTGTTCCTTCAAGTTTTGAGCCTGTTCTTGTATTGCTAGTGACTTTGATAAGGGGTTGAGGGGGGTCACAAGCACAAGTTCATGGACGGGCCAATTAACCCAAAATACGGTACAGTGTCTCAAGTACTTTTGCAACTGGCTGTAGATCCCCGGCTGTTATTCTTTAGATTTTTACTTTTTTTGCGTGACCGGGCTCCACCTCGAGAATGCCGGCCTCTAATTGGCATGGCCTATGGAGTGTTTTTACATGACGTCACGGCGGCCATATTGGTGCCCCAAAACAATGAAACGGCGGCCATGTTGGTCTCCCAAACTAGTCCTGTGGGAGTTGAACTCTTTTCTTATGCAAACGCTTTCTTTTGTTCTAATAAATTTGCTTAGATGCTGATCACATGAGTGAAAACACTCTATAAAAACGTAAAGGACCCAAGCCCCGCGAACCGAAACTTTGTCCTAAATAGCTAAGAGATTCATAACTGACAGATCATACACACACTTACGAAGGACTAGTTTACTTTTACATGCAACAGAATGTCCAAGCTGGTTCACAAGAGGCAGAGGTCTCCTTGGCTTTGGAATGATGTCATTTATAGCTTTACGCCTTCGGGAAGAGAACATGATAAATGCCTTAGGATTCTTCACGATTTCACAAACAAGGTACTTTTTTACTTTACTTTTTAGCAAATGCAGGCCTGAATTATCGATGACACATTGTCAACTCGTCCCACCCCTTTATTTCCCTCAACCATGTCTTATATCTTAGTACCGTAGATGCTCGAATAAGCGCCTATTTGATTTTTTTTTTGGTTCGAGAGGGGGCACTAATTTTGGGGAGACCCTTATTATATAGACTTGAGTTTCAACGTCCTGTAGTCGCCAAATTCGCTGTCCTTGTCAGATATCATGCTACATTCATTGAAGATATACCTACTAAATCCTATATTAATATAAACAATAAGGGGACGCTTATATGTAGAATTCAAAACAAAAGGTTTCATGAATAATTATTCTTTCTAGGTGGTTTCTTAGCGCGAAACTCCGACACAAATGCCTGAACAGGCTGTCATGTCAGCTGACAAGTAAACCATTAAATATATTCCATTAGGTCATTGATGAGCGAATCGCTGACCGAGCTGCCAAGAACAATATTTCACAAAAAGAGGAAGAAGACGGGGAAACCAGTAAAGAAGAGGATGTGTTTAAAAGACAGAAGCGTCTGGCATTTCTCGATCTATTACTGGAAGCGTATGACAAAGGGGAAATTTCACGGGAAGGAGTTAGAGAAGAAGTGGATACGTTTATGTTCGAGGTCTGAATGCTTGTGATAATTGCGCTTTGGCTCGTTTTCTTTTGTTTTTGTCATTATTGGCGTCGATGTTTTGCATTTTGTTTCGGCTGTTTTAATATGTGACGAAATGGAAATACTCGGTCGCATTATAGAAAAGAACTTAGAGCATACTTCTCACTCACCTACAACCTAGCGTGTGCATAGACATTTTTATATTTTTCTTTTTGAAAATCGACGAGCGCAGAGCGCGCTTCCCCCCACCCCTTGCGCTAGCGGTCAGTAAATCCCCCGATTTCAAATCCATACGCGCGCACGATGATCTCGAAAGAGAAAATAGAAGGTCTATGAACAGGCTACCTACACCCATGACGTGATAACCAGGCCCCTCTTTTTCAAACGGTGAATAACTATATCCCCTGGATAAATCATCATTCACTTAATGAAGCAATTGGTTTCCCTCATACTAATCCACTGGATAGTAATTTATCCGGTGAACTTTTGAATAACTGGGACCAGATCAGAAATAAAACAAGGCCCAACAAAACTGAAATTGGTCACAGAGACGTAACTATAACTTTCACTTAGAGTTGAAGTTGAAAAAACTTTCTAACTTCTGCACAGTGTGTCCAAATGAGACTCACATTTTCCGACTGTCCTATAGTAGGGTAGTGTGACGTCATGTTACCATAGTAACAAAATTTCTGGATTTTCAACAATCTTTCTTGAAAAAGACGGCATTTGCATTGTCAACAGTTCGTGGAGATCCAGAAATTTTGCTACCATGGTAACATGACGAAACGACTTCTCCTCTCCATTCAGGACTCCACCCATATTCAATCCATTAACCCTTTAAGACCCAATATCCACAAACAAATTCTCCAAACTGATCTCTATACATTTCCTTACAGAATTAGTTGAGAGAAATTGATAAAAGATCAGAGATTTTTCTCTTTGTGATCATTTGATTAATTCTCATAGATGTTGCACTTGACAATCTATGGGTATTGTTAGGAGAAAATTGATGTTGGTTACTATGGAACTTAAAGGGTTAAAATATTACTTCACAATGTTTACTTGAGTGAGCAACTGATCATCAGCCAAGGCTCCGAGGTTATGCAAGATGAAGTCTCCAGGAACATCCTTTAATCGCTTTTCTGTTCGTTTAAGGGTCATGACACCACAGCTGCCGGTATTTTGTTTGCCTTATACCTTCTTGGGCGCCATCCAGAAATTCAGCAAAAAGTACAGGAAGAGGTGGATCTGTTTTTTGGTGAGGGCAAATCAAGAGTAAGAAGTGTGAATACTGTTCAAAAGTAAAGTTTGCGATTATTGTCTAACTGAATCGATGTTTTACAGACCGTCGCCCTGAAACACTGTCAGTGGATGATTTAAAGGACTTGCGTTACCTGGAATGTGTTATTAAGGTACTGAAATTAATATTTCATTTTTTTTTTTTTGAGTTGTGAGATTAATAGAAAGTGGGAGTCTGCCGTAATCCAAAGACTGGTTTTCCTCGATTGTTTTGAATGATCAAGGTAGCTGATCTGGGCACGATTAAACCAGTCAACCTATCTGTCAGGCAATTGCCGCGGTAGCCCAAATAGTCCAGATCACCTCCATCGCCCGAACACATCTTGAGACAACTCGGGCCATCGAAGATAATCCGGACAATTATATGAAAACAGTCCGATAATATCCTCCATGACAGGCGCAGTGGGCATTTCGCACGAAGCCGGCTCATCTCGCGCTTCTTGCGAAATGCTCTGTTCGCCTCGCTGCGCTGGAGGATACCCTATCCAGACTTAAGATATACCAATCATGTAACTTGTCCCTCGTTGCAGCTAGAGGTGTTTTGCGATCGCCTGAAGGAATTTGGAGACGATACAGGCGAAAATTTAGAGCTTCGGCGATACTTGTTATCCACTCATTTTAACCTTATTATTTATGTTAATTTCCAGGAAGCCCAGCGTATATTTCCATCGGTTCCACATTTCGCTAGAACGACTACAGAAGACTGTCAATTGGGTAAGTAATGTTACTATGTCTTCCTTTCCACCTGCAAGCAGTTCTAAAAGTATCGACCCTAAGCAAGGTTATTCATGCTATGGTGAGAGGTCATGTGACGAGGGAATGACGTCATGATTTAAGTTGACTACCATATATCAGATTCACCAACCAGGGGATCCATTAGGTCAGGTCACAGCCCACAAACATGCCAAAATTAACATCATTAAAATGATCTTACGTAAACAGCGCGCCTTTCCTTTTTCCGCCTGCACACTCCAAGCGCCTGGGGCCCCGAATTCCCCTTACCCGTAACATCAGAAAGAAAAAAGTGCCCACTCATGCGCAGGCTATAGCCTGGATAATTTAGGAAAAGAAAAAAGATAATTCAAATTCCGTTAAATTGTAGGTGAATATTTCGCTCCGAAAGGCACAACGGTTGGGGTTTCACCAATGGCTCTTCACAGAAATCCGGAAATATGGCCAGCACCGTTGCAATTCGATCCAGATCGCTTCCTTCCAGAAAACAGCCAAGGGAGACATCCATTTGCTTTTCTTCCATTTTCAGCAGGACCGAGAAACTGCATCGGTAGGACATTAAAATTTACAAAACAAGCGGTTATTAAAACAGGCAAACAGGTTTAATTTTGTCATGCCAAAATTATAATCCCAGTGGACAGCTAACGTCTTCCACTGGATAATCCAGCCGTCCCTCCTTGCTCCTCGCCGTTCGCATGTGAGACGTCTTTGCTTCAGCGACAGAAATTCCATACTGATGACGTCAATTGATGTTTACATACTGTAATTAATCCTGTGTTCACGGGTTTCCAAATATAAATCTGATTGATTTTATGTTTCTCCAGGTCGATTAAGGTAAAGTATGATGTTCTTCTAGGAACGAGCTCCAGCAAAACTCAATTGTTTAATTCTCTTAAAAGAAGAATATATTCCACGAATATTGACTGTTTTGTAGTCGATTCATCGTGTTCACATTTGACCTTTAGCCCTTTGTCAGTCATTCTTAAACGATAGCTAAAAAAAACAATAGAACTATTACTTCGTCGACCTATCAGAGCTTCAGACCAGATTCCAGATTCCAGATAGATTTTACGTCATCAGTACGGAATTTCTGTCGCTGAGGCGCAGACGTCTCTACTGCGAAACCTCCCTAGTGGCAAGGGGTGATGAGAGACGTCTGTATTCGCAGGCTATCATAAGTACCTAGAGTCGTCGCCTTACAAGAGCGGAGCGGAGCGTCGGTTACGAGGGATTCGCGACTGTATTTTTTTTTCTTCCTTACAGGTCAGCGGTTTGCCCTCATGGAAGAAAAGATTGTGTTATCTCATGTTCTGCGCTCCTTTAACGTGGAGTCCACTCAGACTTTTGATGAACTTTTGACATGCGCGGAGCTTATTACCCGACCTAAAGAAGGACTATTCGTCACCTTAGGAAAACGCCAGTAAAGCCACAGAAGACGCGAATACAACAAAGGACATTGGTGACCTCAGAGGAACTATGCAAGAGTTAAAAATTGTACACGTTTTACTTTTCAAACTACAATAATCAGAAGATATCTTAAAATCACGGGCTTTTCACTACGGCTAAAAGGCTGTAGTTTCTTTTTAACAGAGTAGGCGCCCAATTTCAGGAAACGTACCATACATCCCGCCAAACATTTTAAAGCTCTCACTTCCCAGGATTTTAAGATGTTATTTATAATTAAAGGAGCTGCGTCAAAAAATTTATTAAATTAAAATTGCATTACCGAGAGCTGTCACCAAATTGTGTGGAAACACAAGCAAATACAAAAGAAGGCACGAATGGATAAACTTGAAGATTAAAACGATGTACAAGTGCTGTTTTTGAAAACTTGTTTGCAATTGCCTAACAGTGTTTTTCAAAGTTCATTTTTGTTGTTTTTAACGTTAGATATAATGCTTTCAGAGCCTGAAATATTTATTTGATAGGAAGCTGTGATTTTTTTGTGATTACTGAGTAAATTCATCGCTAACGTTAAGTTCCTTCGCGAATGTAGACGCGCTATTGGCAATAATAATTATAGACACGTTAAGATGAGGTTTAATCATTTTACTGTAAACGACAAACTGCCGTTTGCGGTTAACAGTTTCACGTTACCCGTCTGCCCATATTTGGGACTTAAGATTCGCGGGTGGTATTTTGCGGCTGCCATGTTTGTTTTTATTTGTCCACTTACTTCTATTTTAGCTGAAAATTTGTCTCCAAAATTACGTTTTCTGAAATATAATTCGATGGCTCATAAGCAAAAGAGTTCCAGAAAGTCGCATTTTTTCTCAAACGTGGGATTGTGATGTTTTAGGGTGCAAAAAACCTTGCGGTAAATCACTTACCTATGGAGCGTGGTCTAGCCGTATAAACGTGGACCTCAAACCGCAAACCTGACGGCAAGGCCCTGGTCACGTGACTACTTGACGTTCGCGGTTAGCGGGAAATGCCGAAAAAACCTCCATCTTAAGGTCTCTAATAACCTAATGAGTCAAACTTGTGACACAACCCTTCTAACGACTATTACTAGTAATAACCTAAGTTTAGGGAGTGCGGGCGACAACGATAGAATGTCAAAACGCTTTTGCTCCAACGCTGTGCTTTGCGTAAGTTTCACTTGATATATGGTCAAAACACGCGTGATCAGAATACGCCGGAGGGGTAGAAGGGCGAAACGCGCGTGATCAAATTGCGTTTTGTGCATCCTTTCATTCTTAGTGGAAGTCTAAACGAATGCTTGCTACACTGTAATTTTCAGGGAGTTATAATAACTCCTCTAGTGGGGCTAATTTAACTCCTTACAGTGGAGTTATTTTTCGTGGAGTTATTTTAACTCCAAAAGGAGTTTAAAGAACTCTTTTCAGGAGTAAAAGTGACCACAGATTTTGAGGAGTTAAAATAACCCCAAAAAGGAGTTATCCTGTACCTAACATTTTTACTCCACTTTCAGAGTTAAATTAACTCCAAAAAAAGAGTGAAAACAACCCCTGTAAGGAGTACAAGTAACCCCATTTCGGAGTAATTTTAACTCCAAGACTGGGAGTAAAAAAGAACTCTTTTTCAGGAGTAAAAATGACCCCAAATTCGGAGTTAAATTAGGAGTTAAAATAACCCAAAAAAAGGGGTTATCCTGTACCTAAAATTTTTACTCCATTTTTGGAGTTATAATAACTCCCTAAAAATTACGGTCTACATAAACGTCGCATGCGTAATAACAGCCTGGAGATTAGGATTGCATGCTCCTCTTGTCGCCCGCAATTACATTAGCATGGAGTGTCGTCTAATTTATCCAAGTCGCGCATATAAATTGAATAAAGCAGGGAAAACAAGACGGGTTGCGCGTTGCGTTTTTCGATTAAGCTCCAGTAACAAAAGAGAAGTTCCCAGATCATTAGCGGTGCTAATTTAGTTGCAACCTCTGTACGAAAACACCTAGTGATTGTTGCGTAAATATTTTATACTTTCAACTGTTTTTCTCGTGTGGGACTTAGCTTTCTCCGCTTCATTAATGATAACAATAAAAACGAATTCGTCAGTTTTGGAGTAAATGATAAAACACAAATCAAACCAAAAACAACAGAAGAGGAAAAACTGTGCAAAAACAAATCTTTCTTAAGTTTTTTGTTTAAATTCGTTCACACTTTAAAAAGTGGTTCTTTTATTCTTATAGTCAGCTGTCTGTGAAATAGGATATTAAAAAATATGACAAACGTGTACTTCAACAGCAACACATTTCCTTGTTTTTCTATATATGAGATGGAGTTTGTTTTCTTTGAGGTTTTTTTTCTCTAGATTTTGCATACTGTCAACAAACTTCCTTTTCAGACAGTTAATTGCCGTTTACAAGTTACGATATCATAATATCCACGAATACTGTAATACTTCTTGATAAAAGGGTAGGAAGCGATGATAAACTCTAACGCAAAAACTTACTGGCTTGAATATAATCAAAGGACAAATTCTGGCGAAGACACAGTACTGTATACGAACATGTTTTTTTTTTTTTTACCGTGTGTAAGCAGCTGCGCATAAAATGCTACCTATATGCATGTGCGTGTTTCAAGCGCAGTGATTGAAACCTAGTATGTTAGTTGCATTTATAGCTGTTACATACATACATGACATCTGTCAGTAGATTGAACGCCTGAAAAAGATCTCCTTTTTAAGGAGCTGTGGTGCGAAATTTATGAAATTTTAACAGTAGGAAACGGCCACTACATTGTGTGCAACATAAAAAAATAAATGCTCAAAGGATTAATTTAAAAAGAAGATATAAATTACAAGGAAAATGAAAAAAAAAAAAAAAAAAACACGGACAAATTTGAAGAAGTGTAAATAAAAGCGAATTGCTGATTGTGTGTTTTGAAAACTTATTAGGCAAAGCCCAAACGCTTTTCAACGTTCATATTTGTTGTTTATAACGTTTCATATAATGTTTGAGAATTATATTTGTGGGATAAGAAAAGAAGCTGTGTTTTTGTTATTTACAAGTTATTTCTTCGCTAACGTTCAAGTTTACTGTAGCTGTTTGCGAGCGTAATTTGCAGTATTGGCGAATTAAATGTACTTGACTGACAGCCGTGAGCCTCTCTTAAAAGATATTTTGTTATCATCTTCAGAGTATTCAAGAAAGAGCGACTCAGATGACTCTGCAAAAGTCTTTACTTTACCACCTAAGGTCAGGCATAAATTAAACGTTCCATTAGCAAGCTAACTTAACGCAATTAACTTCCTGCTATAAACAAAAAATCTAAAATGCAGGTAAAGTGATGTAAGCGGCATATTACGTCCTGGTCTTGGCTCTTATGCTTTGTTTCCCTGTGCAGACTAAGCGACAGTATTAACAAATCTTTTGGTACGATCAACGGAGCAATATAACGGTAAATATTTGTTTTAACATAGTAGGAAAAATAAGACAAGCCTTACATAAGACGTATTCTGAATAAGACGCAAACTGTACCGTATGAAGACTCTATGAAGAGCATTTCGTCTGAAACAAGATGGGATGTTCTCAGATAAGATGCGCCTTTGATAAGTCCTGTTGTATTTCAGACGTTTTTAATGTGCCAGTATTTAATTGCCTCTTATTTGGGACTCGTCTTATTTTCCCTCGTAAAAGTGGTCCTCGTGTTTATCTTGTGTTTATTTTCTTTTAATCCTTTAAAAGGGAACTTTCTTACTAACTTAATATCAGTATTGTCAGTTAGCTTTAAACACGAGTATATTCTTACAAGAAGCCGATTATTTTAGGAAAGTTATACGTACATTCGCGAAGGAAAACAGCCATAAGACAGTTTATTGGTGGTTTTCTTGCAAGGCAATGACAGCTTCAGTCATATGCATTGGTATCATCATGATTTATAACAACTTTATTTGCTTAAATAAAAGATAAGAATTTGTTTAAAAAGGTAAAAGGTGCCACTATAGAAGAATTGAATCCTTAAACAGGGCTGACCAAATTCTGTACATAAAATATTCTTAAAACTTTTACAGGATGGCGAGTGATGGAAATAAGCCAATTATTCCAGTCATCAGTTCTCTTAATCTTGGCGCATCTGCTCCAAGGAGCACTTACTCAGCAGTGTAGATCCGAGACATCCATTTTAGGCTGGATGCTGCAGGGACACATCTACAAGACAATGCAGGCATATCGTCCACACGCATGCGTATATGGACCCTATTTCAGGCCTTATTTTTTGTTTCTTTGTTTGTTTTTGTCTTCCTTGAACAGGTTAAAACAGATGGAAACTTTTTCAAAACAACTGATTTTTTCCTTCAGGTGTCTGTTAAACATAACGGACAGAAATTTATATGAAAAAATCGTTAGCCGTATATATAAAAGACAAAATGTGGTCATATTTGGGTATTGTTTTCATTTTTCTGAGGTCGGGCTCAGAGAAAGCTTGCTCGCAGCGTATTTAACATCTTTGTCACTTATTATTGACTAAAACATAACATCAACGTTCCAAAAAGGGTCCAAAAATTTAATATTTAACAATTAATGAATGAGGCTGAGTATCTTATGAAGAATTAAGGAGATCGAGAGGGGTGTTATCCGTCGAGGCCGTAGGCCAAGCCGGATAACACCCTCCGAGATCTTCATAATTCTTCATATGATACGAAAGCCTCATTCATTAATTGTTAAATATTAAATAAAAAGCTATTAAAATAAACGTTAAAAAACATACAATTTAACTTAGAGTTGTTAATATTGATAAATGGATTTGAGTTTTTCTTGCTAATACGGTAGAGTCGCACTTTCATTTTTCCCAAGATAAATTAGTTTTTAACGAGAAAAGATTTGGGGGAATAATAATCCCTATGATGGCCTAAACGCTTTGAAAAGTTTTTTTTTAAAATCATGCAGTTAATTTTTCTCCGATTTTGCCACACACGAGAGCAGTAACTGCTGACCCAAAAGCTACCTCCGCTCTCTATATTGTCGGTCAATAGTATTCTTGCTCGTTGTGTAGCTCTTTGAAATATACCGATTGATAATGAAGATTTTCACACATATTCCAAACAATAGCTAGGTGAGATGAATACAGGAAACGCAAGGTTCCAGCATGCACAGTTTCAGTTCGATTTACCTAGCTTTGATCAAAACATTCTCAGTTTCGAGGATAGTTTAAACCATAAGATTTCTCTTTCACTTTTTTACATTCAGTTCATTTTATTTGCCGGAAAGTAAGCCTTAGAAATTAAAAGGACGTTTGATCGATTCACGCTCACGCATTCTAGCCTTATTTTAAACTTTATAGCGGAAGGACATCTGTGAGAAGGGAATAATTATAATTCAGCACAGATTTTGACTGTCGGCGAATTCCTGTAATCGTCAATCGTTCTGCTAGTTATAAGCTAGCCGTTGCTGACTCGTCTTGCTTGTTTGGGGCCGCGTCTTATTCCGGTCAAAGAAAGAGAAAGAGTGTCTGGCAAGGTTTCCAATCATAGATTTTTTGTGAACTCGTGTCTGGCAAACTCTCCAAGTGTTTATATATACACAGTTATACGTACCTTATAACTTCATCTGCGCTTGACGAGTGTCTTTTGGTCCATAACTTTCAAAACAACTGCTCCACAGAATGTCACTGATAACACGTAGCGCAAAAGAGTACCCAAGTATGACTGCACAATAAATGCCACTAAATTTTCTTAAGCGGTCCCTTCGGGATTTTCTGTCTTAACGTCATGCTAGCCATTTGCGGGCGCAAACAATAGAAACGTCATCATTACCCACCGATTCCTCGCGGCCCCCGCTCGAGCAAATTGAGATTTTTTCTATATTGACTGTATGACTGTTTATTTCAACTGTAAGTACTTTCCTTAATATACGCGCGAGTTACTAGAGTGCCTCCTCGGCATTTCTCCTTCTGGGCAAAGTCCCTGAGGGGAGGGGGGCAACTAGTTACCCGTGTGAAAACGATTTTAAAAAAAGGAGACGCGGGGCTGGCTTATATCGAAAACTGTGCGCACCTCTGGAAAATTTCTAACTCACCTCTGGTAATGTCGCTATTTCATAGCTGTCTATTATTTTTTTTCCCAGATCTCAACCCAAGATCAGTTAAGAACAAACTTAAAACGGTCCGTTAAATCTCATCTGAAAAGACCCCAAAAGATTTTTGATTATCTTGAAACTAAGGCCAATTCAAACGACACCGGAGGAATCAGTTTCGACCGGCTGAAAAAATTTAAACGGGGGGATACTTGGTTCACACAGGACTCTCCAATATGTTCGCCCTTTTCACACGAAACATTGAACGGCTAGGCGTCTAAATTTTCGAACGGTTAAGTTGGTTTCCTAATCGCACAAATTTTCAACCTGTCGAAAATTCGTCCGATTCCGTGTGAACGTCGCCCAAGTTGATAATACGGAATGTTGAAATAACTAACTTAACCCTCGGACGTACAAGGAGTGGGGGCGGGATGGTTGCCACCCCCCTCTAAGGTTTTTCTGAGTTTTTCCCTGGACGATAAAACATCAGCACCTGACGGTTTTCAGAAGCTGTTCGTTTATCTCTCATAAGCAATTTGAGACAAGTTTAGTCATGTCAGTTACTATGGTTACGAGGTATGACGTTATAAGTAGCAGGTGGTCAAGCCATTTTTGGGTGAAAATACATGTTTTCTCAATGTACTTCTTTCAACGATAAAAGTAAAGATTGTGGATAAAACGACGCAAATTGCTAATTTATGTGTTATTTTACATGTCAAGCACAAAAAATTATCATGTCCTGCGGTTTTTACATGATTTCTATTAGCCCACGTTCTACATATTAAACATGTTTCTAACCACAGGCGGCCCAGACGTAGTATGTGTCACTGAATGAATATATTAATATCCACATGGACAAATTATTGCGATGAGTCGTCGAAACTCCCATGGACTAAAATAGTCAAAATATAACAAAACAAAGCTAAGATACCTTTAACTGAACGACTCCTTGTCTTTCCTGGCCGGTTTAAGCGGCATTTTGTTGAGTTTTGAAATTGTAGGTACTATCCACTAAAGAAGAATTAAAGGCTGGCTACAAAACAAACAGACCATCTCCACGCGCCTTCACACGAAGCGCTATAAATTCGAGAATAATCGACGAATCTGCTCCAAATAACCATCGGCTAATCTGCAGGTAGCGTGTGCTCCTTCTTCTGGCTCGCTTGCTTCACAAAACCCATCGCAACTGCACAATAATTGCTCGCTCATCAACAACCACTGTTGACCTTTACGCTTCGATATGACCGCAAACGACCAGGTTTAATACGCGACGTGAATATTCAAGCTTAACGACCGCCTTCGCGCAACAATGCAGCACTTGCTATGGGAGGGATGGTACTATTGCTTCTAGGTCAATCGACTGACCGAAGGTTCGCTGCGTTAGTTTTGACCAGAAAACATAAGGCGATCGCGGGACCGTCCGTAAGTTTTCAACAGGGCAGCCCTGGTTTTCAAGTTCGAGTTCTTCTAACGTTCGCTGTCTGAGCTGCCGTCACATTGTTTGTCCAGCCACTTGCATAGGTTCTTGACTCTACCAGACCTATTTGCTTAGATTAACAACGTCTTACTCCATAATATGTTGTCCAAACTGGTGAAGGAGGACGAGAATTTTCCGCCCAGGAAAAAGGCAAAATCTGGCCGCCGCTATTCAGCTAAATAGAAGATACAGCTGAAGATATCGTAAAGTAAAATTTATGTGCGCGATATCTTTTTTATTATTATTATTATTATTATTCTCAAAACTCAGGGGCACCCAACGATGATTTCCCCCTAAATGCATTGAAGACACATTTAAGGCTGTCCAGAGTACTTTTGATCGAAATATGCATTCTAAACAGCGCTTACATAAATTTAGTCAGGAGGGCTAAAAGCGAAGCTAATGATTTATAGTTAGCTCATACTAAATATAAAATATATCGTGTAATGCCAAGCGGAGAAAGCAATGAGACAGGGCCACCCAACGACTGTTTCCTCAAATAATTTCAATTGAAAACACTTCTGTAGCTATTCATAAAGTACTTTTAGCTCTATAGAAATGCACTCTAAGTGGCGCTATAAAATTTGCATCTCAGTGTTTGGCCATTCTAGAGGAACTTGAGTCTTTTCGAAATTACAAGGAATTCAGAACTATTTTCCCGAAAATTTTAGATGCAATTTAACGTATTACGAAGGAGATAATTTTTCAGATACCTTCTTTCATCACATTTTTGAATCCGAAAATTTTAGGATTCCATTTTACTCTCTACGAAAAATTGCCTAACCCGGTGAGTGAAATGTGAAAAATTAAAAGTTGGATGCCCTTGACCAGAACTGTGAAAAAAAACAACAATAGGTCTAATTGCAGCACACTTTCTTGTACATTTCCTTGCCGTTGATTTGCATGACTTCAACGTGAAACGTCCAGAAAACTTCCTGGGTTTCACTTTTTATGGAGAAAATGTGGTATATGTTCTTGTTCACTTTTTCCACTGCCGCTTATTTTTTTTAGGTCCGCTATAAGATTCGTATCTGTTCGGTGCTCCTTGGGCAAATTGGATCTTTTTAAAAATTACATGGGCTTCAATATTATTTTCCCGATTGATTGACCTGGAAGCAATAGTACCATCCCTCCCATAGCAAGTGCTGCATTGTTGCGCGAACGCGGTCGCTAAGCTTGAATATTCACGTCGCGTCACGACGCGTATTAAACCTGGTCGTTTGCGGTCATATCGAAGCGTAAAGGTCAACAGTGGTTGTTGATGAGCGAGCAATTATTGTGCAGTTGCGATGGGTTTTGTGGAGCAAGCGAGCCAGAAGCAGGAGCACACGTTACCTGCAAATTAGCCGATGGTTATTTGGAGCAGATTCGTCGATTATTCTCGAATTTATAGCGCTTCGTGTGAAGGCGCGTGGAGATGGTCTGTTTGTTTTGTAGCCAGCCTTTAATTCTTCTTTAGTGGATAGTACCTACAATTTCAAAACTCAACAAAATGCCGCTTAAACCGGCCAGGAAAGACAAGGAGTCGTTCAGTTAAAGGTATCTTAGCTTTGTTTTGTTATATTTTGACTTTTAGACTATTTTAGTCCATGGGAGTTTCGACGACTCATCGCAATAATTTGTCCATGTGGATATTAATATATTCATTCAGTGACACATACTACGTCTGGGCCGCCTGTGTTCTAACATGACTCCGAGGTTTCACGAATCCATTGTTTCGCAACTCCAAGAAGAGACTTGACCACAAAGAAAACCAAACCAAACGGGGAGTTAGAAAAATGACCAGAAAGCCTCGGAGTCATGTTAGAATTTTAACATGTCGAACGTGGGCTATTCTTGGTAAAATCCAAGATGGCGGCCAAAATTGCGACCATTGTTGGTGACGTCACCGGCCCCCAGCAGCACCACCACCCACAATTATATACCTCATCTTGTTGAGAAGATTAAAGGCTTTCCACTAAGGGCAAAATCGTTTCGAAATACTGAAACTTATCAAAAATCGGGGACGGAGGCCCTCCCTCCCTGATTTTTGATATGTTGCAGTATTTCGAAACGATTTTGCCTTCGGTAGAAAGCCTTTAATCTTGTTCCACCAACCACCCCCCGCTCCCCCCCCACACACACACACACACCTCCCCCTGTACCATGCTAGGGGAAAGAATTTGCGTGTACGTCCGAGAGTTGAAGTAATTTTCTAATTTGTTTCTTCCCTTCAATTTTCAACAGTCCCTCTTGGTTCCATTGCTGAACTTCCTGCTGAGACTTGTTATGAAATAAAAAATAGTGAGGGGAAAGCTCCTAGCGGCAACTACTGGCTTTCCGCCATAAATTCTAGCATGCCAGTCCTTACTTATTGTAATCTAGAAGGTAAGATATCTACGAAATACTTAGCACCTATCCTTACAAATATACCGAGTCCACGTAGCCTGGGGATGGGTATATCAACTCCTCTTGGGGCGCACGGGCGACAATTTGGGAGGAGCCGAGAAAAATACATGGACTGTCGCAACAGCATTGCAGCTCGAGTTCAGGGGGCAAAGATTTTTTTTATGCCTCTCACCATTCATCATTTAACAAACTCCGCTTTAAAAAAAAAATATGGTTGCGTATATACAAACATTTTCTTCGGTTTCGCAATGACGAAAAAAGTGAAAACATTCCCTATTTTTTTCGCCTCCTTCCAAACTAATACTTCGTCAAAGTAAATCTTTTAGAGGATAGATAATTCTTTAGTTTAAACTGAATTTGAGGATCTGACGTAATGTGAAAACTAGCGATAAATTTGCATGGTTGCTGGCCATGTGAGTGATCTAGTATGGGGCGTTGGCTTTACTAGGTCTCAAAATATAAGCCAAGCAAAAACAACAATAAAATTCGATGTAGTCAATCTATACCCTGGTCCAGAGGTTTTTCTTGAAATCTTTCTTTGCGAAAGAAAAAAACAGTTTTCTTCGCGACTTGTTGTCGCCGCTTTGCGGCTCGCTTTCTCTTTGGCGAAGAACAGTTTCAAGAAAAACCTGTGGAACCAGGTAGTCAATCTAATAATCGCATTTCCTTTCGTTTAATTATCCAGAAAGAAGCTGCAGTGACATTAAAGCTCAAAATCCTCAGGCCACGAGTGGCTCTTACGTCATCGACCCAGATGGCGACGGAGGCAACGAGCCTTTTACTGTCTTTTGTGACATGGCTGACAAAAACGGTGTTGGTGTGACGGTGGTAGGTCACGACAGCGAAGCTAGAACGCTAGTTGATGGCTACGAAGGACCAGGGAGTTACGTGAAAAATATCACCTACACTGCAACGGGGCTTACCGGCGTGGCACAGTTAGCAGGCCTAGCAGATGTTTCCGATCACTGCGAACAGTTTATTAAGTATGAATGCTATGGTGCCCTTCTTTTCAGAGATGGTGAATGCTGGTGGGTATCACGTGACAACGAAAAGATGATCTATTGGGGCGGAGCTAGACCAGATGATTACAAAAAGTGTGCATGTGGGGTGACATCGCCAAACTCGTGCGTAGACCCTAATTATGGATGTAACTGCGAGATGAATGATGCCACGTGGCGCGAAGACAGCGGTTTGCTAACTGAGAAATCCCAACTTCCTGTGATGGAGTTAAGATTTGGGGACACTGGTGACTTGTCAGAGAGAGGCTATCACACCCTTGGAAAATTAAAGTGTTACTCTACTCGCTTTCTCTTTGGCGAAGAAAAAATTCTGAAACTAGGTAATCAATCTAATAATCGCATTTGCTTTCGTTTAATTATCCAGAAAGAAGCTGCAGTGACATTAAAGCTCAAAATCCTCAGGCCATGAGTGGCTCTTACGTCATCGACCCAGATGGCGACGGAGGCAACGAGCCTTTTACTGTCTTTTGTGACATGGCTGACAAAAAAGGTGTCGGCGTGACAGTAGTAGGTCACGACAGCGAAGCTAGAACGCTAGTTGATGGCTACGAAGGACCAGGGAGTTACTTGAAATATATCACCTACACCTCAACGGGGCTTACCGGCGTGGCACAGTTAGCAGGGCTGGCAGATGCTTCCGCTCACTGCGAACAGTTTATTAAGTATGAATGCAATGGTGCCCTTCTTTTCAGAAATAATGAATGCTGGTGGGTATCACGTGATAACGAAAAGATGATCTTTTGGGGCGGAGCTAAGCCAGGTGATTACAAAAAGTGCGCATGCGGAGTGACATCGCCAAACTCGTGCGCAGACCCCAGTTATGGATGTAACTGCGAGATGAATGATGCTACGTGGCGCGAAGACAGCGGTTTACTTACTGAGAAATCCCAACTTCCTGTGATGGAGTTAAGATTTGGGGATACTGGTGGCTCATCGGAGAAAGGCTATCACACTCTTGGAAAATTCAAGTGTTACGGCTAGCCATCCCAAAATTGGTTTCCTCTGAGTAGTATTAAGGTTAACACCATTTCTTCTGAGATTGTAAGACGTTTCTCTTATGCCAAAAAAGTCTCTAATGTATTTCGGCCCTATATTCCTAATGAGTTTAAATAATAGCATCAGAGATTACTGCTTTTTACTAAACGCTCAAGTGTCCAACTTGCGTATATTTAAGTTATAGTTCTTGGTAAGACGATGATTTCCCGTGCCCTGTCAGTGTCCTTAACCTGACTTTCCCACCCCTAACAGTGAGGGTGGGGGGGGGGGGACTACAGTATTCTAGATGTGGTAAAATGAAAGACTTGTATAATGCTAGCATTATTATTATTATTAACGTCCATAGGTACAAAACGCCTAATTCTCCCATTAAAGTGCGCCGGTCTTCGCATACGCCTTTTTTAGCTGACTAGAAATATGCTCTATAAAGTTTAACATGCTATCAAGTTCCACGCCCAAGATTCTAATAGAGGGAAGTTTAGTAACGCCAGAACCATTCGAGGTTAATTCAAAATCGGACTTGCAAGGACCGATTCGAAGGGCTTGCGTCTTGGCATTTTTTATCAACAAATAGTTTGCATCGAACCACTCCGACAGGCGGCTGAGACCCTGGTACACAACAAATTGCAGGGCAATGGGAGAGACATCTGATGTATACAGAGTCGTGTCATCAGCGTATAATCTCAGAGACACATCCGGGACCGCGTATTTCAAGTCGTTAATGAATATACTAGTAATAGTTGACACTACATCCTTGTGTAGCTCTTTAAAATATACCGATTCATAATAAAGATGTTCACACATATTCCATACAACAGGTGAGATATATACAGGAAATAAACGCAAGGTTCCATGCACAGTTTCGGTTCGATTTACACAGCTTTGATCAAAACATAATCATTCTCAGTTTCAAGAATAGTTTATTCTAAACCATAAGGAAAGATTTAATTAGAAGTTTAATTTTTCGCTATTTCTATTTCACTTTTTACATTTAGTTCATTTTATTTGCCGGAAAGTAAGCCTTAGAAATTAAAAGGACGTTTGATCAATTCACGTTCGCGCATTCTAGTCTTATTTTAAACTTTACTGAGCGGAAGGACATCTGTGAGCAGGAAATAAGTCAGCACAGAATTTGATGGTCGGCGAATTTCTGTAATCGTTCATCGTTCTGCTAGTGATAAGCTAGCCGTTGAATCATTCGCTCGTCTTGCTTGTTTTGGGCCGAGTCTTATTCGGTCAAAAAGAGAGAAAGAGTGTCTGGCAAGGTTCAGCTGATGGTTTCCAATCAACGATTTGTGAACTCGTGTCTGGCAAACTCACCTAGTGTTAAAATATACTCTGTTCTACGCACCTCATAACTTCATCTACGCTTAACGAATGTCTTTTGGTCCATAACTTTCATAACAACTGCTCCACAGAATGTCACTGATAACTCTTAACGCAAAAGAGTATCGAAGTGTGACTGCACAATTAACGTCACAAAATCTACCTATTGTAAGCTGTTCCTTCGGGATTTTTTGTGTTTTACGTCATTCTAACCATTTCGTACTTGCGGGCGCAAACAATAGAAACGTCATCATTACCTACCGATTCCTCGCGGCCCCTGTTCAAGCAAATCGAGATTTTTTCTATATTGACTGCATGACTGTATATTTTAACTGTAAGTACTTTCCTTAATATACGTGCGAGTTACTAGAGTGCCTTCTAGGGATTTCGCCTTCTGGGCGAAACCCCTGCGGGGGCAATTAAACAACAGTGGCCCGAGAAGGGACCCCTATGGAAGCCCCGCGCTCAACTCTGAAACCTTCTGTTTACGACTCAGTGGATAAGATGACATCAAACTCAAGGCTGCTTGAGAGAGACGATAGGTTTTCAACTTTGCCAATAGAAGATTGTGGTTAGTAGAGTCAAAAGCCGTTTTAAATCAACGGCCGCGGCCATGGCTGACTCTCTGTTGTCAAGGCTCCTCCTCCAATCCTCCGTCATTTTACAAAAAAGTAACATAATATATACTAGTGGCAAAGTTTTAGAAATATAAGAGTACTGCTAGTAGCAAATATCCTACTTTTGCTACCAAAGCCTTAAGCCAACTGCTATGTCAAGTTTAGATTTCCTTTTGTTCAGACTTTATCTACTTTAGATACTGCTTTCCTTGTGCATTGTCCACAAACGGACGATTCTTCCTTATTGATGCCATACAAGATAAAGTCGAGCTAAAAAATAAAATTTGTTACGGCGCAAAATGTAAAAAAATTACGCGGAATGTAACATTTACAGCGGGAAGGGGAACAATTCATTACGCAACAAATGACAAAAAAAAACGAAGCGTAAGTGGGGGTACCTTCCGGCAAGTGCCAACGAGGCGAATTCGTTTATCTTTTGTGGAATGTGCCTATCCAGATCTTTGCCATTTGTTACATAATTTTAGGCTGCCTGCAAACGGACGCAAGAACTCCCAACATTGTTGCGCCGACAATGTTGGGAGTCGTTGCGCTCGTGTTGGCAAGGGTGTGCAAACGGACGCAACATTGTTGGCCAACAACTCCCAGCGTTGTTGGATGTTACATGTTGCGTCTGTTTGTACACCCTGTTGCATGTTGTTGGATGTTGTTGCGTGTCGTTGCGCAAAGTTTGAAACCGGTCAAACTTTTCAGCCAACAACTCCCAACATTTCTTTTGTTCCGTGATCGCCGAAGCGTAGCGCAACAATGTTGGATCCGTTTGCACAACTTTTCCAACATTGTTGGGCCTCGCACGTTCATTACGCATGGTTTACAAAGACTTATGGGTTGTATCCTTCCCACGATGTACTGCAGGTCCCGACATTGTTGGGAGTTGTTGCATTCGTTTGCACACCACTGCCAACACGCACGCAACAACTTCCAACATTGTTGGCGCAACAATGTTGGGAGTTGTTACGTCCGTTTGCATGCAGGCTAAAAATTAAAATTAAATTCCGAGCTTTCGCCGATCAACGGCATCATCAGGGCTAAGAAAAATATACCGCATCGGTAAAATACATATTAAGAAATTGGTGTAAGCAAAATGTGTGAAAAGCGCAAGAATGGGGCGGAATGTATCGGAGGTATAAAAATATAAACTTTAACAAAATACAAAGATCTAATGATCGAGTGGCACAGAACAAAGAGTCTCTCGAAAGCCAAAATTATTCATAATGGTGGTCTTTAAACCAAAAAGTCCGCAAATTCGTTGCATTCCTCATGGGAGTTTAGGGCTGTCTTCAATGTAAATCGAGCTGCAAAAGGACATGAGCTTGTTGATAAAAATCTCTCCAAAGGCAAAAATAACTTTTAAAAAACAAAAGCTCCGCAAATGCGTTGCATTCCTCACGAGATGTGAGGACCGGCTCGATGTAAATCGAACTGCAAAGAACACGCTGGTTCTGATAAACGTTTTGAGAATACAACCTTATTCCTTAATTAGCTACCGCATAAAATGCAATTTAAAAAGGAAAAGGTAACACTGAAAACCCTGGCCTGTTTCTGAGTCGAGAAGCGAACACGCTACCTCAATATAAATCGAGCTGGAAGAACAAGCTGGTTCTGACAAAAATTGGAGCGTAAAACCCTATTCCTTGATCAGCTGCTGCTTTAAACGCAGTTTATAAAGTAAACCAGAGCACTGATATCCCTTTCAAATCTAGAAATTGTATTAAAGGTTGCTCACCTGTTAGGGCCTCTTAAACAGAAAACAAACTAACAGCTGCACACGGGATCACCCAACTTCGAACCGCGGGAGTTGTAAATAGAAGATCATAAGGTCACTGCCTAAATATGGGGTCTTATTTACACCCAAATATGGTCAAAATTGCAAATTCTGAGGGTTACGCAGAATTTGAGGGGTTTTGCCTACATTGCGCGGGATTATAAATCTGCCGCGGAGGCAACCTCGCTTCTTTTGTAGCTCGGTTGCCTCAATGACAATAACTTTCTTGAACCCAAAATGTAGCAAACGTATGCGAAACTGTGTGTAACATTTTTACCTCTAAGATACAGAAAAGAAACATTTAACGGTGATTGCCTCTTTTTGAACATTGACACGGTATATATATATCTCTAAAGGGGTGCTGTAAATGTTCCATCATAGAGAGTGTCTGGTTATAGGAAATAAAGTCATACTTTTCCCACCTCAGCCTTCGCTTCCGCTGAACTCGACTTAATGCGTACGTGTTGTCATCCCCTGCACAAACTCCAATTATGATGCAAATGCGAGTATACTTTTAAATGACTTGGGGAGGCAAAACCTTGAAACTCAGCGGCAAATTCAGAAGGCTGTGATGGTGTATAAATCTTTGAATTGCCTTGCACCTGATTACATGTCTCAGCGATTTGTTTAATTCTTATAACCTGGTCTCGGTTCGGGCCTCAGTTTGGTCCAAAAATTAGGGGAGGGGGCGGGGGGCGGGGGGAGTCCCTCCCCTGGATCCGCCACTGTGTATGATCAAAATGCTTTTCTCGGATTACAAAAAGGCGCCTGGTTTAACTTTTTCCTTACTTTCTTTTTTCCCTTTAAAGTCACATTTCTGGCAACTAAGAGCCTGCAGTGTGAGCAATTAGGGACGGCCCATTTAATTTTTGTGATGGGGGGAGGGGTGGGTGGGTATGCAATTGCCAAAAAAAAACCTGCAGAAGAAATTTAAGAGAAAGAAGAATCGTGCACAAGAAAGCAAGTGTAAAAAAATATCCAAGCAAGCTCTGCGTGCTCATTGGATTTGTATATGTGAGGTATTTCAAGATAAAAGAAAACATCGATCTTCTCAATCTGGCGAGTTTTATTTAGACATTAATAACTTTATTCTGTTTGTCGGTTTTACAAGCGAAACCGACACATCGAGACAAACATTCCCTAATTTATTAATAATTTAGATAGCTCTTACTAATTTTAAGATCTGTTTAAGCCAGTGAACGAAGCAAGCTTTCCGGTAGACATGTAAGTTATTATATTAATAAAGAATTAAACGAATAGGTGTCGAATCCTTGTTAAAAACTCTATTTTATTTTGATATCATGATACAAGAACAGATGACACCTCTTTTGAGATAACAACAAAATTAGTTCTTCTTTAGTATACCCATCTGATGAAAATGAAATGCCAAAATACACATTACATAACTCATTTAAGCCTCGAAATATTATGTGAAGTAGAAGATAACCTCTTAATAACGTTGTTTTTAGTTGTTGGTATATATATACGGTAAGAAAAATATACCGTATTTCAGTTGTCTTATTTTGCTTTATCGACTATTAGAAATTGCTATAATCACAGAGTCTTTCTTAGACGATTTGAGCTGGCCAAAAAATAATCTAGTTAATAATTTATTGCTATCAAAGGAAATTAGTCTGAGATCTTTAGCAAGCTAATGAAGAGAACTGTAGAAAAACGCATAGACGCATATACATTTTAAGCGTTCAGTGTTAAAGATTTCAATGTAGAGAGACTAAGAGGTACAAAGTGAAAAAGCCAGACAGGAAACAGTGTGGGTCAACAGGATTTTCTGCTTGACGAAAACGCCTGAAACTGCATGGTTTAATTAAAGATTATTACCTTGTCAATAAAACTTGAATATAATTCAGTGCTTTGACGTAGTGAGACAAAACGTAATACACCAAGTCTACTTTCCAGTATTTTCGTCGATAATTAACTGAATAACTACTTGAAACTATTATAAAACCTATTTCTCACTATCTCATCTGGACGTTTGAAAATAATTTGGACTGACAGGAGACTGAGGAAAAATGACGCAAATCAAGTAAACTATCCATGACCTTTCAGTTAAGGTTATTCTTATGGTTGAGAAAAGTTAAGTTTTCAAGACGTAACTTGCCCTAGGTTGATATCAGCAAGCCGGATATCAGGATTATCTTGTTATTACTTCATATTTTCTTAGCACACTTTTAGCAAAAAAAAAAGAATGGGAATCGCTTTATGTCTTTAGTCACTTGATATCTTTACACGCCGACGCAGCTTCTTGAAATTAACTTCATTTCACAGTTGGCGGCATACTTTTAGATACAACTTTAATTTGCATGAGAAAGGACGATTTTATCATAAATGGTCTTTTAGTTAAAACCCATGCCATTTAAGTAGCTAACCAGACATTCAGATGATATTCTGCTTTGTCTATGCTATCTCAGCACAACGTCCATTCGCCACTATCTGGCTGGCTACGGATATTTGTAGAAAACGTCGTATCACACACAAGCTAGTAAATACATTGGTAAGAGAAGGTCCATGTTATTTAATTTCTTTACAACTTTTTTTTACTGGTAATTGGCGTTGTTTAATTTCATTCTAATACCGGATAAACCAATGTTCCAGTGACGTTGTTAGGTAAAAGTGATGTTCTTTCCGTATAAGGTTGGCTACTAAGGAACTGCGATCTTTACTCAGCAATATTTTAGCAGCAAGTTTCTTGTTGTTTCTGCAATAAAATAGTGTAAATCCGCTTATTTTTGGATGAACTTTATCAATGTCTTTTAAAAAGGTATGGCGCGGAGGCGATTCTTCCGTATATCATTTCTCCTTGTTGTGGGTACGATCCTTTACAGAGCAGAGGCTCAGCAATGCCCGGGCGGGAGATCCGAGACATCCATCTTGGGCTGGATGTTGCGCGGACACACCTATAAGACAATGCAGGCAGATCTTCCACACACATGCGTGTTTGCCTGTTACAAAGATGATCGATGCCAAAGTCTCAACTGGGTGATCTCTCTCCTCACTTGCGAGTTCAACAACAGAACAAAGGAAGCAAGACCCGAGGATTTCATCCCAAATGCAGACAGATTTTACTTCAAACGAGATAAGAACCGAGGTAATAAGAATATTTTGAAATTGTGCTGCACGAATTCCATAGCAAAAAAATAGTTATTAATAACTGTATGTCTGGCTGTTTTCCCCAGTTCCTTTAGGTTCCATTCCTGAACTGCCTGCAGAGACGTGTCATGAAATAAAGATGAGTGAAGGTAAAGCAACCAGCGACAAATATTGGTTTTCCACCTTAAAACCTAGGACACCAGTTCTCGCTTACTGTAATATGGAAACTGAAGGTGGGTTCAGTTAATATAAAGATTTAGCCAGAGCTAAAGGCGAAGCTCCGTCACAGTTACTTACTTCAAAAAGTGAACTTGGAACTATTGCCAAAGATCTATACTATACTATACTATACCTTGCCACCCCCATAAGGTTTTTGTGAATTTTTTCCTAGACGATAAAACATCGACACCTGAAGTTTTCTGTAGCTGTTCGTTTATCCTTCGCACACATTTCGAGACAAGTTTAATGATGATCAATTACTATGGTTACAAGATATGACGTCATAAGTAGCAGGTGGTCAAGCCATTTTTGAGTGAAAATGCATGTCTTTTGAACTGTTTTCAACAATGAAAGTAAAACTTGTGGATGAAATGATGCAAAGTAATTATTTGTGTGTTATTTCACATGTTAAGCGCAAAACATTATTACTTCTCACTGTTTTTACCTTATCTCTAATTCTTAATAAAATTCAAGATTGCGGCCAAGATGGCGACCATGTTTGGTGACGCCACAGTTTTCCAGGAGCGCCACCACCCATAAAATATACCTCATCTTGTAGAGAAGATGAAAGGCTTTCCACTGAAGGCAAAATGATTTCGAAATATTGCAACATATCAAATCAATCCCCCCTTGTACCATGGTGGGGGTATGACTTTGCGTGTACGTCTGAGGGTTAACATGAAAGGAGGACCATAAGACGTTTGACGAAAGGGGCTGCTGTAAAAACTAACCTCGAGCCTGCGATCAACAAAAAGTTAATAACTGGTCAGCGGAAAACCTTAAATAACATGTGGTCTCGATAAGTCGAAACCTGACCCCGTGTACCGTCATTTGATACTGGTCAGTGGATGCCCCTTACTGACAGCTGCCAATTGACCATAACATAGACGTTTATCATCAAGCTTGATCACAGCTTGCAGGCTCCCACACAAGCTAAATACAATGTCATTACACATTGGTTACCCTGTAGTGCGGATGAACGGGCGGGTAAACGAACGTACGGTCACGTGACAACCAAAATTTCTTGGATGCACAGATAACCAAATTTTCTTACTCATGGTGTTCCGCTATAAAGTACCAGTGACACGAAGTAAAAGGCGATCTGGGCGTAGGAAGCTTACTCTATCAGGAGCCATGCTCCTGACTCTAGTAAGCACTCAAGGAAAGCAGGAACTGTCCTTAATCCTTTCAAGCTATGCACTCCCAGACGTTTTACGGTTTGATGGATCCATAAAGTCGTATAGCCTTCACTGTGCTGCTAAACTGAAATCGATTCAGGTTGGGAGTCTGTTAAAGTCTCTTTTATTGCCTTTAATACACCTAAAGGTACGGAAAAACGGGCAACAAAAAACGGGCAACTTGTTTTGCAACATTGCTGTAAAACGAGTTGAATAGCGATGTTGCACGTTTTACCACCCCTGCTCAAACCTGCTAACAACCTGATTTGTTGCAAGACAGGTTTGATGTGGGTGGTAAAACGCGCAACATCGCTATTCAACTCGTTTTGCAGCAAAGTTGCAAAACAGGTTGCACGTTTTTTGTTGCCCGTTTTTCCGAACCTTAAGTCACGCCTTTGCTTTTTCAGATCTTGACGAGTGCACTTCTTCTCCCCCTGTCTGCGACCTCAATGCTGATTGCACCAATACTCGCGGATCTTATCTCTGCACTTGCAAGGCTGGATTTTCTGGTGACGGAAAAACCTGCTATCGTAAGGGAAAATTTTTATTATCTTTCTCAGTAAAATTTGGGGGCGGGCGACGGGCGGGGGGGGGGGGTGCTGGATTACAATTTTTGTTTATTTTTCGCAAATTACAAAGTTAGTAGCTAAAAACGAGGATTACATTAACAGTTACAATAAATTTTAAATTTGATAAAATAATGCTAAATTGAGCGAAAAAAATTCGATTAAAGTAAAAACCAGCTGAGTCGAGAGCATATCGCTTTGTCCAGCGAACAAGAAGCCATCAGCAAGAGACAGAAGAGAGGCTACAACGACAACAGACATGTGCAGACAGCTGTACTTCGAGACAGCGACAAAATACCGCAATTGCAATGAGAAAGAACCCGATAAAGAGAAGGAACACCGACTCCAGAGGCTTCTAGAAAATACGGACAATAGGATTCGCAACGAAAGGAGATTAGGGAGACAACGCTTACTGGAAGTTTACAGTCAATTTTTTCGATGCAGCGATTGTGGCACGTAGAAGCTGCTTGAAAGAGAAGTCACTAGTGGTGCCTAGCACTGAGGCCAAACAATACTAAAACAATTGAAAGAATGACATTTCATTGTTTCCTGCGGCCAATTATTAGGAGAGTCCTTAGCCTGTAGTTATCCACTATTACACCCATTTCCACTTAACAAAAACTACACTTGAAGGCGGGTCGAATGGGATGAAAACGGGACCTATGCAACTTTGGCTAACCTTTCTTAATAATAACAACCCCACTTAATCCAATCTCGTTTTAAAGCTAGGGCATGCACTGGGTATGAATTGACTGCAACCAAAAGGAGATTGAGTATATCTCAGCTTGCAGTAATAGAGCCGGTTGTGAAATTCGCCCTAACCAGTTACACAATTTACTCTATTTCTCTCCCGCCCTCCCATCCATAACATTTTACGGGCCTTCTTTCCCCGAGCCTCGGGAGGTTCTGCGATAGACGTATTTCTTGTTTCATTTTAAGGTTGGTTATTTACAACAAACGGAGGAAAGGGACGTTTTGGCAGCGTACAAACGTTCACTGTTCCAACCACAACTCGCTATCGTATCACTGCTTGGGGTGCTCGAGGAGGAACCCACTCGCCAACCTATGGACATTTTCCAGGAATTTACCGTGGTGGCAGAGGCGCAATTAAGGAGGTCACGTTTAACCTGAATAAAGGAACTGTGCTGAACATTGTGGTGGGACAAAGAGGAGGAGATTCAGTGGAAGTGCGAGGAGGACAGTCTACTAACTTGACAGCAGCTGAGCTGGGATTGTCCGTAGGAGGACAATGCTGGAACTGGAGGAGGGGGAGGGAGCTTTGTTTATACAACAAGTAACGTGCTTTTGTTAGCTGCTGGAGGGGGAGGGGGTGCATCTAGCGGATATAACGGGACGGATGGACAGTCGGGAACTAACGGCACCAGTAGCGTTGGAAGGTTTTCAAGTCAGGTTCGTAGCGGAGGATCTGGAGGAAACCCTGGTCAATGTAACAATGCAAGGGCTAGTTACCATGGGGGAGTGGGTGCGGGATGGTTAGGCCAAGGTTGTTCCAGAACCTGGTCCTCACACGGTGAAAGAGGTGGATCGCGTGCTCAGGGCTGGGTAGGTGGACGTGCTGGAAGAATGAATAGTGGCTACAACGGAGGGCCTCCCCCTGGGGCCGTAGGAGGGTTTGGCGGTGGTGGAGGGGGATCGGAAGATAATGGTGCCTCAGGAGGAGGTGGTGGATACTCTGGGGGAGGTAGCGGCACATACCCAAACCAAGCAGGCGGGGGAGGGGGCTCTTACTGTAGTGGCTCGAGCTGTTCTGGTGTCACTGGAGATAATGAACATGATGACGGGCAAGTACACATCATTGAGGTGCCCGTTACCAAGGGTGCTGATTAATCATTTTATTATTCATTCAGTTATTTCTCTGTTTCTGAAAAGTATAATCCTCAGTTATAATTAATTCCTTACAACCAGCTGACGTTGACCAAATCTGAAGGACTCCTGCCGATATCAAGACCATAGCGGAATAAAACAAAAGTAATTACTTTGCGGTTCATGGACGAATAATATATTTCTATTGTTTTCTTTCCCCATGCATCGGATACAGTGCCAAGTATGAATTTTAATGTATCGAAATTGGTCTATTGTATTGATAATCTAGGGAAAAAGGGACAGCAGGTAGAGAGCTTTGGAAGATTTCACTTGCTTTGCGTAGACGAAACGGCTAAAATATTGCCTAAAAACATAGCAATAATAGCAAAAATACCACTTGGGGGATGACACCTGCTGTTTGAAGAATACAGTCAACCTACGCTTTACGGACACCTTCCTTTAATACAGACATTTTCTATGGCCCCCTCCATATATTCCTTCAAAGAAAGTCTGTTCTTATAATCTCCGTAAAAAACATTGTGCCCGTCCTAAAATTAATACTGAGCGTTTCATATTTGCGTTTCGTAGTCTAGATTTATTTAATATTTAAACACAACCTTAGTACAGGATAGTTAGGATTCTCTGATAAGTTTATTTATTTTATTATGTTTTACGGTATATATTCATAAACAGTTGTAGCATAGGATATGTATTCTATCTTGTGTGAAATAATAATAATAATAATAATAACAATAATAATAATAATAATAATTATTATTATTATTATTAAAACGTGGTTTGACTGTATCCGCTAGACTAAACATTCCTTTATATCCTGAAACTGCCGAGGAACTGGCAAATGTTATGAAGACGGGAACTTAAGAGGCCCTGCCAGGGTAAATTCCGACAAGCGACACTGAAAAAAAAGTAGCGACAGAGCGTAAAATGAAATGGCGACAAGAGACAACCTCCATCGGCCAAATTGGGACAATGACGGCAAAGCCGAGAATACGCGACAAAGAACGGTGGTTTGGCTAATTTATCACCAGTCTGAATGACAAGAAAAAGTAATTTTCGTCAATTTTCCTTGCGCTTCAGAGAACGCCTCTTGCCAGTGATCTTCAGTGTATTGTCCAGTCCTAAACTGCTTGAAACTACTGTATCCACATAAATTTTATCCTTGTTGGTCCGTTTGGCATTCATCTTTTATCACATGCTCACATTTGTTCGTTTATATATTGAGGTATATTTTACGTGCGCTGGTGGCTTGTCTTCGTTATTACTGAAAGAGGATTTTAATAGAGGTTCTGTTCCACATATTTTACCGTAATTTTGGCCGGTCTGAAGAAAATCGTTCGTTATACCGAGGATTTCGTTATATAGAGGTTGATTAAATCGAGGTTCCACTGTATCATTCTCAGCCTCATCCAATAACGTACTACTTAATTCTCACCGGTTTTACATCGAATGGAAGGGCGTTAGGGGGAGAAGGAAGCTTTAAAGACTCGCACTAACTAAATTTTGAAAGAAGTATAACTTCATAACTGTTTTATGATGTAACCCGGTTGACAAAATTACTGAAAATTAACTAGAGCCACAGTTGACGTGACGTGCTAATATCATAGACTGGCGTTATTTTGCAGCTATATGATTCATGTAAGATTTCTTAGTCACATTTGTATCCGGCTTAACTTTAATGTTAAAGTAGAAAAATAATAAATCAAAGTATAACACCTGTTATTATTCATTCAAAATATTTCCCCAATTCTGATTGGCTAAAAGCACGCGCATAATTCACCATAACCAATTACTGATGACCAAATTTGGAATAATTTTGTGTTTAACGAGGAAATGACGTCAAAAATGCAGCCTTCTACAGGTTAATGCACCGTTAATCGAGAAGACCTGGAGACGAGGTTGAGTTGTTTTGGTTGTGAAAACAAAAACGGCGGACATCTCACTCGTTTCAAGAGTAAGAACTAGGCGAAAAAATAGCTAAAAACATGGCAAGAACAGCAAGAAGACAACTCGAAGGGCGACATCTGCTATTTGGAGAATATTTGCGGAGCTGAACAACGTGCACTATCGAAGATGAACTTAACATCGATGGATCGATGGAGGTAAGCATGTTTAGCCACGTTTTTAAACTAGGAATTATTTTGAATGAATAATAAAACAATTATTGAATTCGGCTTTCGTATCATATGAAGAATTATGGAGATCTAGGAGGGTGGCCTAGGCCTACAGCTTCGACGGATAACAGCCCCCTCGATCTCCACAATTCTTCATAAGATCCTCAGCCTCATTCATTAATTTTTAATTATCAGCAGCTCATTGATGTTAAGTTACCTTAGATGCACAAGTATTCTGAGCTTGTAATGTCCATATTGCTCCCTTATTTTATAGTGACTAGCCAACCTAAGCTTTTTGTATAAAGATAATTTTAGCAAAGCAAAGTGAACAACGCGAAGATACTATTAAACGCAAATGAGTTTGCCTTGGCCAGTCACAGAAAACTTGCGTTATCTTTATCTCGCCCTAAGCTGAGGGAGTTTTCAAGTCGCTATAAAACGAGGTGTAGCAACTTTGATTAACAAAAGTTGTAAGTTAAGTCTGTGAATATTGAATTATATGTCGAATAAAGAAGTTAACTAATGAACAGGTGTTGTTTTTGTTCAAGCAAATCAGTTAGTCTCCCGAGGAAAAGTTCCTTCGACATGACACCAGTTTTGAAATCTTTAAACCCATTGGCTGTTAATTACCAACAATACTTTTGCGGTACAGTTTTCTGCTTTTATTGAAGAGCTGTGTTGCAGGGAGTCCGGTATTTCTTTAACCCTCGGACTTGCAAGGGGGTGGAGTGGAGTGGGGTGGATGTCAAATTTTGATAATTTTTGTTTTACATTAAAGAATACTGGCCTATCGAGTTGACGGCCCTTAGGATCGAGAATGCGCAAAGAAGAAGTCTTACACTACCTTTGGGAGGGTATCCAAGGCAAGATGTTACAGATGGACAATTGCTTGCTGAGTAGAATTTTCCGCGACCGCAAATTGATTGCGATCGAGATGAAAAATATTTATGATGTGCGGGATAAATCATTATAGTCCTCAGTAGTGTATTTCCCTCCATGATCTCCGCAACCTGATCACCGAAGAGAAATAGGTCTGATATGATAGTTTTCGATCATCTTGAGGGATTTCTGTTTAGGGTGGGCACACAACAGCTCTTTTAAAAAGAGGAGACCGAAGCAACAACATCGCGTAGAAAACTAATAGATGTGGGCGACAGTAGGAACCATATCAAATACAAATTAACTCTTTTGGTAGGATGCTGCGATCCCTGTGGTTTCTTGGTAATGCTGATGGTGCAATCACCAAACGACGTAATACATAAGATTGAAAAGACCATGACAAAATTCACACCACAACACAAAAACGAACCACCTACCCCTCCTCTAAGCTAACATTAACACTTATTTCTTACTTAGGGCAAAATGTTGGCTTAGGGGAGGGATAGGTGGGTACTTTCTTAGAAACCTAAATTGATCCCAATGGTTTCTGCAACACAGGGCGAGAAACGCCCGGGATACAGTCGGGGTCAGGTCTTTTTCTGATCTTGGTTTTACGCAATGCAGTGTGCACTTCCCGTTCACGCACAAAGCCCTTCAGATGGAATCTCAGACGCGTCAACTGCGATATAATTCGGACACATCTGTTTGAGCTGACTAAGGGGAACAAAATCTGATTTTTCTCCCAATGTATTACAAGGGAATCAAGTTTTCGGAATTCGGGAAAACTTTTGTTTGTGAAGTCTAGAATTCTGGGCTTTGGAATCGGAAATACAGTTTAAGGAATACTGAATCCCACTAACTAACGGAATCCAGAATCCAAGTTCCACTAACTGGAATCTAGTACCTGGAAACCAGAATCCACGGCGCGGAGTCTAGGTTTCAAGACTGTCTCACATTTCCGTTACATGGGTTAAGATGTTAGACCAATGAGAAAAATCATTGATGCTGCCTCGCAACTGGACAACGGAAGTGATATTATTACTGCCATCTATCTGTTTATATAATACCTATCCAATTTAACTTCCAGAAATTCAACTTTATTGCAGGTACGCCACATGCTCGTTAACTGAAATGTTGCTAATTGTGATTTTTGCTAGCCCCTTATTAGGAAATGCTTAGAGGAGAATTGAAACCCAAGGACTATATATCGCAGTGAAGTCTTAGCAAGAATTGGAGAGTTTCCAGAAGTGAACAAGCTAAGACCAGCTAAGACCGTTCAGTGGAAATTGATAGCTCTTTTAAATTAGAAGTTTTCAAACGTACATAGTGGTACAGTATACAGAATTTATAGCACACGATTGTGATCGATAGTAGTTTGTGTGACTGAATAGCCTACACAAGTCTGTAGGGTTTTATCTGTACAAGTCTATAAGGATTATATCACCTTGGCCATTTATGAACCATAGTAGAGTCATAGTGAGTTGATAGATTATGTTAGCAATATGTATTAGAACTCATGACAGGCGTCTATAAAGAAGGTTTCTTCATCTAAATGTAGACAATTCAAAACTCGAAAAAAACGGGTCACTATCAACGCCTCGCGTTACGGAAAAAATGACAGATTTTGAAGCAACGGATGGCGTAGGACTCTCCAAAGATGGGACAAGCCTAAAAAATTCTGAAAATTCAAAATTTTTTTGGAAATACTTCAGCTTTTAATAATGTATCAAGAAAGCCAACTGGGCAATTATTCACTTGCCAGAGAAAAACTATGCCAGGGCACACATTGAAACTAATTACCCGAACTGAGAATGGATTTTTTTAGCCTGAAAATTACGTTAGACAAAAGAATTGATGTGCATAATCTCACCCTCATTTTTCTTTAGATCGATGCTTAGATCGACTAGTTTCGCTGCTTTGAAATTTAATTTTAATTTCAAAGCCTCTTTTTCGGCAATGAAAAGATCTGAAAAAGTAGGGACATTATGTCCACCAGGAACCGTGCATGAAATCTCTAGGAAAATCTAAATTTCACCAGATATTGTGGGCGTCCACTTTCGATTTTCAATCTAGTTATTGTTCGATTGAAACAAAAAAGTAACTAAGTCGGCATATTAGAAAAAATAAATATAATTATACTATAAATACATAATTGGAGCACCAGTACAAGCCAGTGAGGGACTTCTATAATGTAAGAAGCGATTTACTTTTCCAAGGCAGCCTAAAGGTTCGTTAATGTACAAAAGCTACTTTCGCATGACTTTCGCTATTTCAGATATCATTATTTTACTATATGTGAATGGTTATATAAAAACAATTGTAGTTACTCTAGGAAATTTAATTTATGCCCCCATGCGGTGACTCTTTTCTTCGAAAAAACCGCAGGCTCAGCAAGTGATCTTCGCCCACTTTTGAAATTTTCTTATTAGGACCGAATTCTAAGCGGGTCGGTTATTTAGACGAAGTCTAACTTTAGCCGCAGTTAAAGAAATCCTTGGACCTCCAGATATCTTTCTTAGTGGGTTAATTTCAGAAAACCCATTGCAGTGTACGCTATATGCTAGATTGAAATTGTTAACGATAAAAGGCGATTGGCTAAAAGCGCTGGGAAACTGAAAATGGCTTAGAACTCGGTTTTGTTAAACACGGGCCAAATACTCCGTTTAAATCTGAAATGGCCCTTTAAGAGTTTTTTCATGCTTATTTTCTCAGTTTCAAATGATGTGCACCTGTAAAAGCCAATACATGTAAAATTAAAAACTAGCTTTAATTTAGATTAAGTTAGTTTTAGGATAAAAAAAATAATAATAATAATAATTGAAAAAATGAATCAGTTTCAGTCTGCAAAGGATATCAGGTTAGTTTTATTGACAAATTTAGGGGGATCTGAATATTGTAACGTGTGGGTTCCTAGTAAATGTCGCACATTGTTGGCGAAGGAGTGCATAAATGTAAGGAGATAAAATAAAATAAAATCAATTTGAAGTTTCTCATCAAGGGTTTCCCATTAAGATAAAGTGTCTCTAGGCAATTGTTCATTAAAGTTTTTATTAGCGGCCAACACTATCGTTAGAGATGAACTTAAAATAGTTACATCTCATAAGTTACGCTCAATAAATAAATTAGTGACGCTTACTTGCATAATACATGAAGATGTATTGCGTAAAGAAGTGGAATTCAAACAGAGTTTTCAATTGTTATTTTTTCTATTCATCCGGGCCCTTGAAGTTAAATTATAGCGCCTTATGCGCCATTTTTTCATAACTTGTAGCAACAAAATTGGCAAAGGTTGTATCAACGGACAAGGCTGAATATATTTGGTAAGAGCGCTTGCCTCTATGTTAAAAGCTTTTACAGCCTAGTTAGCAGGTATTAATTCAATCATCTCGCTTCGTTGAAAAAAAAAAAAAATATGGACGTGCGGATACGCAATCAAACTTATGTTGTTACTTAAGTAATAGTTTTATTTCGCACTCCAGAAATCAAACCTCTTAATGAATGAAAGTATATTGTCTATGCCTACTCGTTAGGTGATGTATTTTTAAGAGAATGGAAAAGAAACAGCTCTTTCGCATAGCAGTTATCTTTGCGTTGGGTAAAGTGCTCTATGGAGTAGTGAGTGATCACGATCAGCAATGTACTGGTGGACTATCTAAGGAATCTATCTTCGGCTGGATGTTGCAGGGACACATCTATAAGACCATGCTGGCAGATCTTCCACACGCATGCATATTTGCCTGTTACAAGGATGATCGATGCCAAAGCTTAAACTGGGTAATCTCTCTCCTCACTTGCGAGTTCAGCAACAAAACAAAGGAAGCCAGACCCGAGGATTTCATTCCAAACGAAGACAGGTTTTATTTCAAACGAGATAGGAATCGTGGTAAGTAGAGATTAGTACAACTTTTTGCAACCCACAACAACATGATTTAATTTGTTACAATAGAGGTTTAATTTATTCGTAGGTGGTAAAACGCTCAAAATCGATCGCTTTTTAATTTGTATTGCATGCAGCAATGGAGACGTGTAGATTTGAGGTCAACGAGAACGACTACGACTTGGCGTGTTCGCAAAAAATAGACACTCTGTAAAGCTTCATTGTTAATATATATTTTTTTCACCAGAAAAGTTAGTACTCTTATTTCTTTTGAACGCCTGTTTTAACAGGCCCTTCCCTTCCCTATCGCAAGATGATAAAACTTTCAACATTCACCTGAACATTTGGTAACGTGTCTTCCGCTACTAAGACAATCTCTCTAAAACCCGTAGTAGAATGACAAAGGCTATCATGTTTTTCCGCCAAAATGGTGCTGCATGGTTACGCATGCGTACTTCTTAAGTATAAAGAAGATCTCATCGTCTTAGAACCTAAAGATCTCTAACATGATAAAAAGATGGACAAGAAACCTTGCACATCCAGGGGTTCATGACATGAGCGTGTGAACATTTTACCATTTAAGATCTAACCATGGATAATAGAAAGACTAACTGTCTGCATGCAATTACAGCAAAACATCCTGTTTTTTTTTTTTTTCAGTTCGGTTAGGATCCATTGCCGAATTGCCTGCAGAAACGTGTCATGAAATCAAGTCGAGTGAGGGTCAAGTACCCAGTGGAAAATATTGGTTCTCTACTATAAAAACTGGGTCTTCTATTCTGGCTCATTGTGACATGGAAACTGAAGGTGACTTAAGTTATACTCAGTAGAGCATTATGAGCACTAAAATTTTGGCCCTATCCATCGAATGTCAGTCTTGGTTGTCACCTGATTTGTACGGCTCGTACTTTACTGTGCGCCACAGGAATTTATATAATTCAATTGCAATTACAATCAAATGGTTTGTTTCTTAAAATATTGGAAGGGTTTAAATTCTTGTTGGATTCTGAACTCCACGCAGTGGAGTCGGGATTCCAGGTACTGTATTCCAGTCTTTGTTAATAGTGAAAACTGAATTCAGGATTACTTATTTCTCTTTCCTTTTTACAGTAACGAACGGTAAGCTGATTTCTTCTTGTGGGATTCCGGATTCCTTGAGCTGTATAATTGGATTCCAAAGTTCAGGATTCCGGATTCCACGAGCAAAATTTTCACGGATTCCGGAATTCAACAAACCCCCCCAAAATTCCAGGATTTCGGCATCCAGATTTCCTCACGTAGGTGATCGGTGTCTATTCATTCAATAATTTTACTTGTTCAGATATCGATGAATGCTCCACCTCTCCTCCCGTCTGTGACGTCAATGCTAATTGCACCAATATTCAAGGATCCTATTTCTGTACCTGTAAGACCGGATTCTCGGGTGATGGCAAAACCTGCCAAGGTAGGAAAACGAAAGCATTGTGACCGGAATAACGAATTTCATACTGAGGTATTACATAGACGGTCGAAGGTATAGTAATAATCGTCAGACCACACAGCTCCACGGCATGGTCAGAACCTCCCTGACCGCTGTATGTAGTCTATAGGAGTACAGTCCAAAATTACCCACAATTCATTCCCAAAATGCGAGAGGTTGTTGCCCCACAGGGGGTCTCTTTCGAGAGCTATGTCCCAATATATCTACTTTTTGGCGGAGAATTTATTGCATGTACGTAATTTCTAACTTACGTATAAGTATTGTTTTATGTTGTCACTGAAAGTTATTCGTATTTTTGCAGCGGCGTAGTACGCACAGTGAACAAAAAGGCAACGCCATGCGTCAAATAGTCGCCTACTTGGGGTTAAAAACGATAGAATAAAACCGTAAGACAAAAAGGTGGTCGCGGTTGCTTATAAGAGGTTGTCGTTTACTGGGGGTTGTAGTTATAGGTCTTTAAATGAGAAAATTTGGGTGTTTTGGATAGGTGATTGCTAATGCCGGAGTTGGTCCATCTTACTAGAGATGCTCGCATTTGGAGGTTCTATTGAATAGTTCAGAACCACAAGACAAACTGTGAACAGGGTTATAGTAATAGTTGAAAGCTAGAATTTAAATCAAACGAGCTTTATGAACGTTATTTTTCTTTTTCAATGTTAAAGATGTCGATGAATGCGTGGAAGGATCACATGACTGCTTTCCAAATTTCGCCAACTGCGTTAACATTCCTGGCTCACATAACTGTGTCTGTAGCCACAGCTACACGGAAGACAACACCTGTCTGCCAGAGGGTACTGAGTACTAGTTGTTCTGAGCTAAATTGTGCACTAGCTACCAGTTGTAAAGATATATTCTTTGGAATTTGTCTACGCAAAAGCGATTCGAATTTAATAATCGATTGACATTGCATTTGTTGATTTTGCGATAATTCGAGATGAATGTATATGGTACATTCTCATGCAATACTGCCAGCTCCATCACCATATTTTTCATTCAAAGCAGTCTCCAAACCATCCTATGCAATAATATTCCAGTCCTTTCAATCCGCCTCTTTCTCTATTAGCATCTATTCTGCCCCATTATTGAGTTTGATGTTTGGCGCCGCGCAATTTTCAGCAAGAAATAATAGTTAACTCTGAGGAATCCCGCCTTGCACTGTAAGATGCAACGCACGCTACCTTTCTCGTCTTGCTCTCCGATGCTTAAGTTTTGTTTGCTCATCCGGACGCTTTTACTGTATCCCTCATGAGATATACTTGACGCTCATCGCTAATATTTGGCCTCCAGTTTTCTCTACAAAATTAGACATTCTTCGAAATTTCTTGTATCCTTTGGTCCCTCCTAATGTTGATAATCGCTAAATATTGTCAAGCAGATAAAAGTAAAATTTTGTCACAACGTTTCGTCGTTCCATGATGATATTATTTTGCGGTGTTACAAGCGTGTTGACCCCATAAGAAGGAATCCAGCTAGCGGTCAGGGTGGTACTTAAACTCGGGGGCACCGGATTACAAGTCCAGCTCAGCTCGACCGCGCGCTATAACCTCGAGGCCAAACTGCCTCCTGGTTGGTTTGCGATTAGTCCCTAAACAACACTTTGCACATGGTTGACAATTTTCAATGTCCCTGGTAAATGAACCAGTTGCTCGCATCATGCAGTGTCTATGAAATGCTTTGAGGGTTCATCCACTAGTCAATGAATGATGAATGATTCTTAACTATTTTCTCTCTCTTTCTCTCTCCTACTTAGAATGTGTAAATTATCGACGCATTACCAATGCTGACAGAAAAGTCACGTACGGAAAAGTTTCAGTACAATGTGACAAAACAATAGACATCACATGGTACAGGTTCGAAGGTGCGGCAGGGACAAGGATGCCGACGTCATGTCCGCCTTTATATAAATGTAACACAAACGCTCCAGGCTGGCTGAAGGGCGGGCACCCTAGCGTGGCAGATGGTCAGGTTACAAGGAAAGCGTGTTTTCATTGGTCAAACTGTTGTTCTCTCTCCACCAACATCAAAGTAAGGAACTGTGGTTCCTATTATGTCTACTACCTCAAGAGTACTGGAAGTTGCTGGTATCGCTACTGTAGTACCGAGTAAAAGATCAACATGTAGTCAGAGTATTGAGTAGGTTAGCTGCACTTTATATATGACACCCTTTTGTTAGTAACGTCAGTTAATGTGAAGAATAGACACTAAGGGATTGTTAGCATACGCTTAATTTACCTTAAGGTGGCTCGTACTAGTTTTCTGGCTTCGGGAGTCCATCGTTCGCGTATCCCACTCCACTTTGTACGCGCGAGATACAGAAAAATAAAAATGGCGACGCGCGGCTATTTTTGTGCAAGTTTTAATACTTTCGTGTGAGGTCACTTTTGTGTTTAAATATAATTCGTGTTTATCTAACTCTGTATACACTGTAAAATCCTGTTTTATCTATATATGTTCAAGAAGACAATTATTTCTCCGCTCATTGCGTGAGTTTCAAAAGGAATACTTGCATGCGATGTGCACTACCATCGATCGTGACAGGGATTAGAAGACCAATGACACTCTACGTACTAGCAAAACTACAAAAATAATAAACTAGAATAATACCACAATTAACCACACTTTAACTTCTTGGCTAAAATTTCGTCGTTTGGATCATGTTTACCCCAAAGCTACGGTATAGCCTGCTTACAAGATCGACGAAGGAAACTGAAAACTTTAAGTCGATTTTCCCGACAGTATCCCGCAAACAATTTTTTCTTTGCCACTTCGTTTTGTCGCTTGCTGTTAAAAAGTGAGCCCAGAAGGCGATGTTTCAAGTTACTAAACTTTACACTGAACCGGAAAACCTAGTAACAATGCGTAAATTGGACGCATGTAATTTTTTTCTTCTCTGCAATGACTCTAAACAAACTCAATGGATGCCTGCGAGTGTACACGCAACAGCCAGCGGTAATCAACATAGCGCATGAGTAACCCATGCTCTTATAGGATTCAGATTTTACAAGAACTGAAACACGCGTCTGAATTTGTGAAATCTCGAAGTATTTTACAAGAAAACTATTCCGCTGACCCCTATTTTTATTCCTTTAATATTTTGTCAGAGTTGATAGGAAACGCCAGAGAAAAAAATGAAAAAATTCTACAGAAGGAACCTGTTCTACTGAACAAAAATGTCCTGTTTTCCACTTTCTTAAAAAATCCGCTCTGTAGAATTTTGTTAAAATCACCGTGTATTTTCCTTTTCTAATGCCAAAAGTTGTAATCCAAAAAAAATGAGGGGTCACCGGCTAAGTTTTCTAGTTATCAGTGCTGGAAGCAAAAAAGTAGGTCCAAATAATCCTAAAGATACGTTGCCATGGTAAATGTTAATGACGAAATATGGTAGTTTTAAGTCAAGCATTCGTTGTATAATCCAACTCTACAAAAGTGCTGTCATGGCTTTGGATTGCTTTTTTGCTCTGTCCTTTTAACTGTCAAAAAAGAGGGAAACTGGTACGAGCTACCTTTACGTGGCATCCATTTAAAGATAATATGGCTTTAGACACTTTCCTTGCAAAATTATGTATATGGATCTCTATGTTAAATGTTCATCCAACATTACACCAAGAAAAGCAGCTTCCTAAACACGATCAATCACGAATAATTACTAACATTAAAATCTTGATCAAGTGTTTGCTTGTTTTGTCTTGGTCTGAATATGATAAAATTAGGTTTTCTTATCATTAATAGATAGCCTTTTTGAATTAGATAGGAAGGATCAGTATGCGAATAGAAAATATTAGTGTCATCAGCAAAAGTGCTATCAGCTCTAAGAACTTTGACACATTACATGCACTGTAGATCATTAGAATAGGGGACCTAAGAGAGAGCCCTGAGGGACTCCGCAAGTAATATCTAATGATAAAAGTTATAGCCATTATATTGCACAAATTGTTTTCAGCAAGAAAGATAACTTTTAAACCATTGTAAAACAATACTACGTACTCCATAATATTTTAACTTGTTCAGCAAAATTTCTTTATTTACTGTATCAAAGGCCTTAGTATCAAGTCCATTTGAGATCTTGTCATACAATTGGAATAAAGCATGTGTGGTAGAATAATTTTTTTCTGAATCCAAACTGATTCCGGGAAAGAATTTCATATTAATTTAAAAAACAATAAGGCGATTATAGACGATTCGGTAAACCGGTAAAACTGATACAGGTCTGTAATTTGTGAACAATCGGATAACTCGTACAATTTTCATTTCTTGGCTCAAGAGAGACAATATATATATAATAACATTGAGGCATTCACTATAAATTCCTATATAGCTATGAATGTGTAAAAGAAAACATACTGGCAATACCACGGTACGCACTGTATATTTCACCCAAACTTAGCTGTTCATACCATTACGGTAGCTAAACCAGTGAAACTTCGCATGCGGTCTTCCACTTTAAAATTTCCATTCAGAGCTGTATAATACTGAGAACAATACCAACAAATATAAAAGCAGGTCCTTTCACGCTTGGAAAGTACTAGATAAATTGAAAGCGTAATTGTCGTTCTTTTCCGCCATCACCTACATGTAGTTTTAGCGTACAAAGAAATTAGAGTCCGATAGCCTAGGAAAAGTGGATTTTGGTATCGGGCTAGTGAATTGAAATGAAGCTAGCCTATGCTAGATACTGCTAGTGCCCGAATGGCAAGCTGAAAAAGTGACTTTCTTTGCACCCTGAGTTTTGCCAGAGACTGATATGTCTATCTTAAACCTTTACATTAAGTGGAACGTCTTTTACAAAGCGCTTTGTGGGCTCTTTGATAAGCAGTAAGTACAGCGACTGTTGTTTCGTTACCACCCACTCTAATAGTCTCCGAAACCAAACGCTAGGTGAGAGCCAGAAAAATGTCTAAATCTGATCTGCGTTTGCAGGTTTATATACACCCTCCTCTATTCTCTTCCAGACCCCTGTACTGCTCGCAGGTACCCGCTCTGCTCCACTAAAATAGAATATTATAATACTACAGCTGGTGGTACCGATTACCCTTTTAATGTAATGGTTAAGTAATGTGTTTCCATAGTGAAATGGAACTCACAATACACTTGATTGTCCAATCAATAAGGTTTAGTATTATATTAAATTTAGTCTGAGTGACCTTTGGGTCAATTTACCTCATTTTCCTTTTACGTACCCACGCTTTAAAGCAGTGCAGACGATTTAACGGACTTTATAGTGAAAAAAAAAATCTGTTGAATGAACTCTTGGTCAAGACGATACGTGGAAATGAGTCGGCATGGTAAGTGTTCTGGACATTGCTTTAGAACAAATTACTTATAACGCACACTGAAGTAGCTCCAAACTTTTGATTAAATGCAAATTACCTTTGGCGGTAACATTTAAACGGTTTTTGCTGGATTTGTGAGAAATTAGTCAGATCCGGTTCACAATTTAGAGAGAGACAGTTGTGGAATAATAAGTAGCCCTTTAGGAAGCTTTGAATGGAAGTTCGGTGGCTTCTAACTCACTGTTCTCTACTGAATCAAACAGCTATACGGCTGAGTTACAGCAATCCAACTGTAACGGCCCCATAAAAAATACAGCAAGTGGCGCGGTTTTGTGGTCTACTGGGTTTTATGTTTATTGTTAGCATTATCACTTTTTAAACAGTTTTACTATCATTTTTTTTACCATGCAACTTTGTGAGCTGTTGTTTTGTTTTGATTTTTGATTTTGATTTTTAAGTCACTACACATTTTGGAGGTTTTAATCATAGTTTTATTTAAAAAATTAAGATAGGTCATAGGTGTTTGTTCTGTCGAGGTCCAGAGGGGAGCAGAGTCTTGTCTGTTGTTCCGTGACCACACAAAATTAGCACGCAAAGAATCTACAAAAAATACTTTCTTACGGCTTGCGGGGGAAAATGGAAGCAATGTCTTAACATCTTTTCAGGTGATAATGAGACTTTTTGTGTCGTATCAAGAAACTGCAAAGTATAAAAGCTTCTCCGTATATATACACTTAAGATTAGATACGTAGACTTGAACTAGGTCAAAAACATTTACTTGCTACTCAGAGTTTCATGTTTCATGAGAAGCAATCATCAGGCAACTGCGAAAAAGAAACAATACATTGCCAGAAACAATACATGGTGTTTTATAGTGATTGCTTCTCATGAAGCATGAAACTCTGAGTAGCAAGTAAATGTTTTTGACCTAGTTCAAGTCTACGTATCTATTCAAAGCTCTGGTAAACCCATTGAGCACGTTTTAGTTGATCATAAATTTGAATTTCGTCATTTCATCTTACACTTAAGATTATACATTTAATTTTTTGAAAACTTTGCAGTGACCAGAAAGTTATATACTTTAGCTACATCAAACAACAATCAGACTTAAGTTCAACAGTTCCTTATCTTTAAACGACAGGTTATATATGGAAGTTTTCCTTGACCTTGCCGGGAAAATAACGAAAATGTATACTTATGGAGGTCGATTATTAGTTTCTGCCGTCTCCGAAAATGTCGGGCAGTGCAGATGCCCGCGATGGTAATCGATATATTGAGAGCACGTGGTCGCAAAGCATTGTCTGGAGTTGTCTCGCGAAAAAACTGAGATTCCTGATCACCTTCAAGCTGATCTTTTCGGTTTCCTTCAATAGGCGTTTCAGTGAACTAAGCTTGATAAGGAAAAAAGTGAATAAAAAAAAATTGCAGAAAATGATAGTTAAGAGGAAGCAGCCAATAGCTGTTCGTGACGTGACTCAACAGTCTTCCGGTATTCGTGTCGAAACGCAAAGTTATTGTTAGAACGTACAGTATATACATTTTTCAAAAAAGGCATGTAGGAGATTTTGAGTAATGAAGGCATTTTCATTCAGGAAAAAAGATGTGTTTCAAATTGATATTTAATGGCAAATTCTCGCCAGCTACAATATTTATAAGTTCAATTATTATTTTTGACTATGTAATCAGGGAACGCTGATGCTGGCACTGAAAGAGGACTAAAGGTAAGTTCGAAACTGGTCAATCTAAAAGGTTACCACAGATTAGTATTAAATAGCCCTCTTGAAATAGCTATTGCAAGTGAAGAACGCTAAGATTTATCTATCTCCTTCTTTACAA